CATTTGTTTCCGTACGCTTCCATACAACTCATCCTTATTCATCGATTAGTTCATTATGGTTCATTATCGACTCATTATTACTCGTATATATTGATTCCTCACTCTTGTTCTATATTGCATCGTTATTTACAATCGCTTACTCAGTAGACAAGAGTAGTATATAAAGGACAGTAGACAGGCCCTAGTTCCCCATCTCGACCTCTTGGTCATTGGGCAACTAGGCAAGTACTTGTATCCTTTTAGATACTACCTATCTAACTTGGTCATTGGGCAACTAGATTCCCTTTTGATTGCTGGTGTGATTGGCCTTTGACGCTATCCCACTGTTGTTCGAGATCATTATTTCTTTCATCTGTGCTTTGTGCTTGTTTCTGTGCCTCTTCGCTCTGCCACTGTCGCTCCTAGGCATATCTGGACCTCCCGCCTCCCGCTTCCTGCCTCGTCGCGACACCAACACCCTAATTGACGCTATGATTTTGCCATGATTGACGCTATTTCGGACCAGGATCGTCACGTGAAATCGAAAAATTTTCCAAAATTTTCTTCAAAATTCAAATGTTGGTGTTCTTTTTCCATTTTTTTCCGGTGCTTAAAATTTTTTTGGTTTGGTGCTGGTGCGCCGACTCCTGCCGACTCAAATGACGCTATAAACGGACAAGGACTAAGGATCCTTAGCGCCGTGCTGGCATGGCAATCCCCGACTCTGAATGGTCTCTGATGTATAAGGTAAACTAAAACTGGGAAAGGGCCTCGTTCCGAGGCACTGACCTTGGCTGGATTGCCTGACTTGCCAATAGGATACAAAGATATGGATAGTGAGCTTAGGTACAATTTTTTATGATGTGCACACTTGCAGCAAGTAGATGTCTCAATAGCACAAAAGTAATGCAAAAAACAGATTCTAAACAAACTCCATTTTTACAGCATCTGCAAAACCTGGATATTCGGCTAAGGGTCCAAAAGCAGTTGAAAGCATTTCCCAGCAGTGAAAGTACTCAGAGCAGCCTGCTCTCAGTGCTTTCGGTATTGGGATCTGCTGGGATCTGCTCTCAGCCCTTAGCCGAATATCCATGTTTTGCAGATGAGTAACATTTGGATGAGGTGGTTAGACATTGAGAAGGATGAGATAATTGGAGCAATGAGCAGATGGGGGACAAGTCAGGTCGAGAATCCACCATAACTTGCAGCACTATTAGTCGCAAATTCTAACAATGCTCACTTTCCACTACTACAGCATGTTTCAGCTGCCAAATTCCGATGATGACAATGCATGTAAAGTAAGTTTACACAAGTATGGCTGACACCCCAGAGTGGAACAGAACTGCATAAAAATGCAATGGTTCACTGTAATGATTCCATTTACACAAGATCACAATATTAATGATTTCACTATACTATTATAGTACTTCAACACTGACATATTGTAAGACCTGGGTCAGAATTGGTCTTAAGGGTGGATTTGGTATGGGAGGTTTATGTTGTAGTGTGCTAGGAGCAAGCTGGAGCTCGAAGGGAGCTACAGGAACTGCGACTGAGGACAGGAATGACCTAGTAGTAGTTCTGATTGTGAGATGTAACCCTTGAAGGGGTTCCTAGAAGGTCCAGGGAGGTCCCTAGGATGATAACCGGTGGAGATAAAGATAACTGGGAGCTAGGGGACATAGGAGTGTTGCATAGTATGAATTGTAATAGCTAGGAACGTCAATGTAGGATCATTATAGCTAGTAGATGGTGTGAGCTTCAGACATGAAAGCTCCCAATAGAGTGTGAGCCCGGGAAGTGGGGGGTAGCAGTTGGCGTCCTCAAGTGGTGGGGGTGGTAACGGAGAAATGGCACATAGTTGGACGTAAGGGGGAGCTTCGACGTTACCTAAGTCAAGGTCCAGAGCTCATGGAGCAACTAGGGAGCTTGAGAAGGTTTGGGGGAGGTTGGCTCACTGGAACAATAGATGTTTGGGGAGCTTGAAGACTCACTCGGATTGCTTAGACATGAAGTAGAAGTGTATATTAGATCATGTAGATGAGAAACAGAAGTAGAGAGACTGAGATAATGAAACAGAGAGTAGAGAGAAAATCTGTATAGTTAGCAGAGACTGGACCTATGTAAAAGTGTGTGTGTTCAAAATATACCAAGCTGGTGTTTGGGACACTACAGGACTGCTTAAATAGGTATGGTGACACACCTAAATTTTGGCTAGACGTCTATGCTGTGAATTGTGACATTTTCACGTATAGATTCGTATCGAGAGGACTGTAATTGAGACTCAGATTGACAGTCAAAGTCAATACTGAATCAGTTTAATAAGTTGAAGGGACCATATACCCATACTACCATAAGTTGGTTAGTTTACCCATCCCCGATACTACCTTCGGATAGCAGTCTACCTGTTTGTCAAGCAGGATTATACCAGACTCGGACTACATCCGAAGGATGACCATTCACATATGACATACCAAGGGTATTCTTATTGGATCTTACACTGGCAGGAGTTTGGAAGAACTTACTCAAGTGACCATGAGCCGAGGATTGACTCGAAATGACTTTCTAGAACTCAGGAATTATCAAATACTCCTTCTAGAACAAGATCATGCATTAATCTAAAAGACTGCGATTTAGTCTAATAGACCAATGAGGTTGCATGGTTGAGGAAAATGACTAGAAGAACGATCGAAGTACTGCAAGGCTCCGAAGACATATCAAATGAATGTCAAAGAGTCCTGACGTAGAAAATATTGAAGAATGCAATTAAATAAATACTATGAGTAACTCCCTTGATAGAGTATGGGCACAATGGGTGTCTATTGAAAGAGAGAAGCAATTAGTTTAATCCAGATGAATCAGATTAATAGGATTAGAATCGAGGAGAGCTGATTTGCCTCCGGACAAGGTGACAAACGATCGAAGTAAGTGTTGAACAGCAATGACAGCTGAACACCATTCGAGTCATTCTCCAAAACAATTAAATTAAATGAATATTGAAGTACCTACCTATGTTTGGAGGTATACTAGAATCTTGGAAATTATGGACCAAATAAGGATATGTAGATTCAAATTAAATGGTATCTGACCGATTGTAAAAGTTTCCTTGCGGTTCCGAACATTTATTGTATTAAATTAATTGTACTGTGCGACTCTATATTCTGTATGTATAAATAGTGATCCGATGTATCTGGAATACAAGTGATTTTGGGACAACGTTGCAGTGCTAATCCGTAAAAAGGAAAGACACACTCCCGCCAGACTGAAACCTCTTCGCTAGCAGCCATTCAGGCCCGGCACTTGTGAGTATAGGAACATTGTGTTCTGCTCCTTGTGACTGCGAGAAGTATATCCAGTTGTTAGGATCAGTCGTTGGTCTTAAGGGCAAATCACGCTGTGTGGTTGTGCCAGCACATAGTTCTAGCCCTCCGAGGGGTCTGTGTGTTTTGGTTTTAATTTACTTTGATTCAAAACCCCAATTCTTGATATACCCATATCAATACAATCAAAGCACAAACCGTGCTGAATCTACCTTGATCAAAGGAATATATCGAATCCTTGGAACAATTCAAATTGATTGATCGAAGCTTCTTACTTAGCTCTCAAAGCTATGCGGAACCTTTGCCAACACTACCCCTTGCTATTAAATAAATTTGATAGCAGTGAACTCGCATATTGTGTATTAGATTGGTTGGTTGGAGTGCCCATTAGATTCCTTCCTTTCTCTTTTACACAAAAACAAGGCAAGCTCATTAACGGAGAAGTTAACAAGGGAGCATCAGGGGATCTGGTATGTGTAAGGTAAATGATCAAGATTAGGTACTAATGGGGTTGCTGCAATGGGAAGGTCCTGGCCCGAAAGGGGTTAAGTCTGTGCATGCTTGTATCCTGGGAGGTGTGGTGAGTTATCAAAGTTGAGGTAAGGCGGGGGAGCTTATGGAGGAGGTCCCAGGGAAGGTCCCGCAATGAAGTAGAGAGAATGAGGGGGTCTCTCCAAGGTTGGATAAGAATAAAGGGAGGTAGGTTAGGGCATGAAGGTAGGTCAGAGCATGACGCATATATAGAAACACACTACAAATGCATACTATAGTATTCAGTGGCACCCAAAAAGGCAACAATATCATTAAACCATGTGCACCATCTATATACCTAAAGTTAAACCATACAACACAATAAAAAAAGTAGCTACACACACTGCCACCAAATTGGTTCAAACAGTTACACCTATGTATCATACAGCTCCTCTTGCAAAATGATCTCACAAAACATGGCCATTTTAATCCTCCTCCTCTTTCACAGTCGGTGAATACTTCTATCATCAAACAAAAATTACTGCCAACGCCACATGACAATTTACCAAGCAAAACGAATCTACGGCTCCACTACCGTAACAGGTATACAACCAATGATCATCAGACTCCTGACATCATACTCAACCCATATTACGGCTCAATATATTTGCAGAATGATCTTGAAAAACAAGGCCGTTTGAAACCTACAAGGACCTCCTCCTTCAGAGTCGGTGATTTTGACTGAAAATGACGCTATTTTAGGACCAGGAAATCGTCAAAATCGGGCCCAAAATGACGCTATTTCGGGTGAGGTTCTGCAGGAGATTCTGGGGGCCTCAAGGTCCCAGTTATCCTTCGCGCGGTGCTCGGGAGCTAATACAGCAACTCCAACACCTGAACGGGAACCATGGCAAATGGATAAACCTTTTATACCCTGTAAGCTGCTTCGTTTGCCCCGCCTTCCACACGGAAACATCTACCTCCCATCTCGAAGTTCATTGACCTGCCAGTGTAAAGCAATAAATGGCAATCTGGATCGTCCCCATACAACTGAAAGTCGATGAGCCCCGTGAAAACGGGTCATAATCATGAGGTAGACTGGCCCGGTCGCACTCTCTCAAGTTTCCCGACGTTGAAAATTGTATAAAGATTCAGAACGAATTCGGGGACAGACAAAATCTCGACCTCAGCTAACTCAGTTTTTGCACTACGACGAAAATACTCTCTAGTATGAAGCTCACCATCCTTATCGCTGCTGTGCTCGTTACTGGTGCTCTGGCTGAGACTCACACCGTCGTGTTCAATAATTTGTGGATGTTCTTTTTTTTGGTCACTGGCATTCAATGTCCTCTCCATGTCCTAACTCAGATGCGGTCGAGGTGTAGTGAGTGTTTTACTTACTTTCTATGGAACAAATCCTTATTCCTTGATGCACCTCCTAAATTAGCCTACTTTGAAGCGAAACGGTGTAACATTGTCAACTGGGGGAGCCTTCACCTCCAACGGTTAGTGCAGTCAGAGCTATCCACACACATTCTATAATCATGATCAATATATATTTTCGTAAAGGCCCTTTGATTGCTGCCATTGCGTGAGTTGCCTCAAAATGTCACCTTTATATGTGCTCAATGTAAATCTTCGTCATTAGCTACCTCGACGTTGGTGAGAAACTCAAAAGATTCCCCACGCTTACTGGTCACCATCAAGATTAATGCAGGTTGTGGTGCTGATGGACAAGGATGCACCATGGTTGAGACTACTCTTGTCAACCCCACTACGCCAGGATCTGGCTCTAGCACAGATATCACCTTGATCCTCCCGTAGGGCTTAATCCACTGATTGAGCATACGTATCCTGTACTCATTTTCGGTATGACGCAGTCACTCGTTCTCCGTAACCACTGGATTCGGGTGAATTCCATATGATCATTGTCATAGAAATTGACTTTGACAAGTTTGCAGATATTTCAATGGCTGCAACGGTGCAGGAGCTGATTGTATATTCAACGTCGCTTTCCAACTGGGTCCGGTCACTGCTGATGTATCCTTTAGGCACCAGCGCCAACTGCCCCACTGCGTTTCACGACCCAAACAATACCCATGTTCAAGTTGCGTGCCAAAGTGACAATGTAAGTCGTCATAATTCGAGAACTGATCCGCTGAATAGGTCAATCTGGTCATCACATTCTGTGAATAGAGGAAAGCCCTCTGATTCCACTCATGTCTAGCGAAATTTCGTATTGCTACTTACTGGCTCTGTGTTGATATGTAACGCACCAACGCCCAAAGGGTAACGCATTCCAACCAATTACTTAATTCCTCTTTTCCGTTTCATTGTTTTTTTTTACCTTCGTACAACATCGATATATATACCAAAATGGCTCGAGCACCCTCCAAATTAAACATGGCTACGGTGTATGATCGATGTCTGAGCAAGTCTGAAAAAGCAATCCTCGTGTACAGTCAAGAGATGCGAATGCATTTTCTAAGATTCCAAGTATGATCCCGCGAAAGCTGCAGACTTATTGAGGATAATGACATAGGTGAGGTCTTTATGTCCCGACAGTTTCCCCTTGGTCAGGGATGAAAGCTTGGAGTTGCGCGTGTCGTAATATACGCCAGCGGCGACAAATTGGCTCACAGCCTTGCCTTTGTCCGCGAATTGGATTTTCTTAATTTCCTGCTCAAATTCCGCCTGCTGCCCCTTTCCGAATTGCCTGAGAATCAGATCCTTCTTTCCATCATATTCCGAGAGGGAATAATCGAAGAATTGATAGTCATGGTTGTCTAGAACTTGTTCGCCGATGTTTTTTTGGTCCAACTTGACTTGAATGTGGAAAATTCAAAGTTGGCATGGGAGCTTAGTTACGGATACTAGAACACTGACGTTTAAGATAAGTTTCAACTTTTGCCTTTGCCGAAGCGGAAGGCTGCAGTGAACTCGCCGAGTCTTGGGTGGGCGTTCCGACTGCCGCCTGACCTCTCTGAAAAGGTGTAGATATATAACTATTTGTGCAACACAGAAACAAACAGACGACATACGCGTTCGAGATTGGTACTGATATCGTTCAGTTGAGCGTGAGGTGCAGCGAGCACCGTCAGCAGGAAAGAAGAGAAAAGAAGGAGAGGGTAGAAGCGCATGACGACGGCTGATATAAATGTGCACAGATGAGGTGAACCACCAGGGTTGGATTTTCTGACCAGCAGAAATAGTGAAGACGGAAAGGTAGAAAGAATCCAGCAGCCTGACCGAGCTTTATAACAGGCGCAGTACGTACATCATAGATGTATGATGCAAGATGGCTGCCAATGTTGGAACTTGGAAGTAGCCTGATATGGTATAGCAGCCCCGACGGTGGGTGGAAGAGAATGAGCGAATTAGATACTGCTCCACATGAAGTGGGCAATGTTTCGGTATGGGAAGATGTTGTGTCTAATCTTGGGCTGGACTATAAGGCAGGGCAGGTTCTCGCAAGGTCATTCTCTGCTTTTGCATTCATGAATTCGTATATACTGAGCGTTGTCTCAGAAGCTCACCTGAGATGACTACATATGTATATATTCCAAGATCAGAGAAACAGTTGAGGGACAGATGAATATCACCACAGCTCGGATCAACTACCAAGAATTTGGAAGCCATCCACCAAAGAGTTCAGAGGAGCCAACTGCTGTTGGTCAGTGTTGGACGAGCTGCAAAAGTTGGTAAGTCTACATTTGTGTTGCTCAGAATTGTATGGAATAGCTCAGAGCCCTCGTAGATTTATGGATTGGGCTCGTCGTGTAGTTGCATCCGCCCTGACATCGTCAAACCAAACGCGTTTGTGGACCAATAATAAAATGGCCCCTGGGAGCCCCTGGGTCGCGTTTTGGGCGAATCGAACCTGTGATGATTATGTAAATGCCCCTCAGCGGCGCGCGCTTAATATTATCTTTTTTCTTTAATTTTCAACTTCGCGCGCCATGGATTCAAGGATGTCGGATAATGAAGACATGGATGTAGATCTTGCTCCTGCTTTGAAACGGTTCAAAGTACGTTCTCAATATCTGCTATCACTCAGTTTATTCACCCACTGTGCTTTTTGCGTTAGTATAAATCATACAACGCGGAACTCAAAGATGTTCATCTACCCTCCGCTCTAAATGCACACTCGCATCTCGATGAAGAATTAGAGGTCTGCGTTTCATCGCCTCCCCTCCCGTCAATAATATTATTTTACCGATAAAAGTCTTGCTCAGGACACACAATCCCACTTCTTCGAGGCTTTATTACACTGGCAACAGTTAAACTTGTCCCCAAGCTTCATTAAGTTCTCACAAAAATCGGCGTCCCTGTCTTCAACCTTACCGCTTCTCCTACATAATTGGCATGAGGTCGTAGATTTATGGCTGGAAACTCAGGCTTCCTCAGACGATGAAGGTTTAAAAGCTATCCTTGAGTGTGTTGAATTTTTTTTTTTTTTTTTTGCATTTAATGGCACACTTTTTGACTTTCGTGTTTTCACTTAGTCTTTTGCAAAAAATTGCACAGGATTTACGGCTCACGCTTGCTCCTGTATACCCTGAATTGCTCGAACGACTACTTCAGCTTTCAGCACGATCTATCTCAAGTGAAGTGCTGACTGTACTTTTATCGACCTTATCGGCACTTTTCAAGTATCTCCTTGTCCCTTCTACGGATTCCACGCTACTGGAACAGACCTGGTCAGCTTTCCGAACGACATTACCGAAATGTTTACCGGAACTACAGAGAGCCCTTGCAGAGGTGTGGGGATCTGTTTTGCGAAGGTTAAAGGTTGCACTCCGCCCCAAGGCAATCGTTCTCCTCGCTGAAAATCTAGAAGACATCGGTGACGCTGCTGCCTGGTGTTTAGTATTTGCTTGTAAAGTCAGTACATCGATTTTAGCTCTCTTTACCCGAAGACTCATTCTTTTTCCATACAGTCTGTATCGCAAACCCTACACACTGTCACTCCAACGCTAATATCCCCCCTGCTCGAGTTTCATCTGTCCTGCATGGACAGCGATGCATCTTACACCCTCATCCGACGCGTTGTCACCGCTTTCATCCATCATATCAAAGGCCCAGACCAGTTTTCACCAATCGCAGACATTATCGTCAAACAATATGCCAAAATATGTTCTGTAGATCACGAAGCTGAGGTCGGACATGAGGAAAAGCTTAAAAAAATATTAGAAGTTGCCGCAGTACCAGCTTCAGTTCGAAACGGATCCAGATTAGCATCTGCTAGCCTCACACAACTGCACGCTTCAACAATGAAAATTTCAGTCCCCGTATCCCCCCTTTTGCATTCCGCTATGCTCAAGTTCACGTCGGCGCTTCTTACGGCGGGTGATCTATCCTTCTGGATGTCGTCTGGTCGGAATCTTCTTGCGCGGCTGTGGAATGAAGGTTCTCAGCCGGATAGCCTATTCTGTCTGGAGCTGCACGGTGTTTTGGCGGAAATGAAATGGGGTGGGTGGAAATCGCTTGCTCTTCCGGGGTTGCTCAAGCGTACTGGGAAGTTGCTGGAAGTGGAACCTAGTCATACATTGAGGCTGATGGCATCGCTTTGCCGAAATGACAAGCTGGGAGAGGTTGATCTGGTTTGGAAGAAGAAAATCACAGATTGGGTGTCTGTAAGATTAGAGGACATGAACCGTCATGAAATTGGCCCCGAACTCAATGAAGAAAAGGTATATTTAGTGATCCTTTGTTCTGCTGTTCACCCTTGCTCATGATATCGTTAGGGTGCAGAACTATATGACATTCTAGCTTTCTCAACATTTTTCACCTCGAATATTTCCCGCTCTCTTGTTGTCTTGGCCGACAAGCATATCAGATGTACACCAACTATCTCTGAAGAAGACGTCGACTTGTTCCCTCATTCAGCTTGGATCATCAACGTCTGTTTACGCTGTTTAGCGACGCGCCCGATCGCGGAATGGGCTAAACACGTTGATATTACACAGTGGCTACGATCAGGTGTCGAACATTGGTCTTGGTCGAGACATGTCCTTGAAGCACTAGTGGAGTTGGCGGAAGTCTGGTACGTAGTGCGCAACATATATTCTTGTTTCCATTACTTACTGCCTCCCAACAGTGAATCGTCTACTGCCACTCTCCCATTCGAAGAAACGTATGATTTTTTGAAGGATGCTATCCTCTCGCACTCGCACTCGCACCGCCTAAACGCATTGAAGATCCTTACATCGCAACTAGTCAATGCCCCTGCAGACACGCGGGAAGTCATAGAGCGATGCTTACAAGGAGAGCAGGTTCCCTTGGATGTTCAAGGTGTCAGAGAACGTGTAGTAAGAATTGGACGCGTGGCGCAAGTGGTGAAACAGAGCGATGAGATCGGGGCAAATTTATGTGCTCGGTGGCTCACGGGTGATTACCATTACGCCTGATTCAAAACACGAATACTCATATATCATGGCAGCTCAATTGAAGGTTAACTTACGACCAGTATGGTCGCCCGCTGCGACGGCTTTGTTTGACCTTTCGCAACGGTTTGGTGATGTCGTTTGGAGTGTGTTGTTCACAGAGTTGAAGACGCTCTCGTTGGAGGAAGGGGCATTGTCATTATCATCATCAACGTCACATCCAGAAAAGAAAAAGATCCAGGGCCGCAATTTTGGAGAGGGAGAGGTAGCAACTCAGATGACCCTTGGGAAGAGGAACGGTCTTGGAGGGATCCTAGTGCTCATAAGCTGAGGGAGATCGTTATACAATGGCTAGATGTCCGGTTGCATTGGAAGAAGCTTCTGCAAGTGCGTTTTCTGAAGCATCAACTTGCCCAGTAATCCACGCTCAAATTTTCTCCAATTTTTTTCCCCAGGACTCTACAGCAAACGATCGGTTAGACAAACGGTCGTACGAAAACCAGATTTTACACACCTTTGAGGAGTGCCATTTGTTGGCAGAAAAACATAATCGCGAATTGATCCTACTCTTCCTTGAGATAATTAGCCCAGTAATAAAGCCGAAGCTTCCTCGGACCAAGCTCAGTGTCTGGCTCTCCCTGTTCTCCAAATTCTCCAATCCAAAAGCTCTCTATGCGAGTGATTCACTCCGGTCCCTATATATCACCCTACTTTCAAACCCCGATCGGACGCTTCAATCATCAGCGTTATCCTGTCTCTCCACCTACAAACAACGTTCGTTATCGTTATATGAGAATAGACTACGTACATTGCTGGATGACACCAGATGGCGCGACGAGCTTACCTTGCTCGATATTTCCGCCATAGAGCCTCAAGATAGAACGGAAGTGGTCGACATCATCATCCGACTGCTCTTTGGAATGATGTTGGAGAAGAAGGGGCGGTCGAGAGGGGCAGACCGCCGGTCAGCCGTCTTGACAACTCTTGCAGGGTGTACCAATGACGAGCTTGCTCTTCTCATCGATCTGATGCTGCGACCACTCACAGAGGGACAAGGTTTGAAGCAAGGAGGAGCTATCATACAACGAACGTCGACTGAAGCCTTAGATCGACAGTTAGTCGGTTTCCTCACCTTGTTGGGCGATGTCCTGAAAAATCTAGGCTCAAGAATCACCAAGTATTGGGATGCTCTGTTGGGGACCACTATAGATATTATCGCAAAATCCCAGAGTCGAATTGACGGCGATGACACTGAGGCAGAGGTTGAAGATATGGAGGAGGACGATACTTCTCTACCAACAACGAAGATAATACGGTCGATTCGACAGTTGGGTCTCAAACGTCTTGCTGATTTCTTCCGCTGCCGGGTAGAGTTTGATTTTAGTCCGTACATGAAAGCTGCGTTTACGGCTTTCATCACTCCTCGGATACCCCTCCTTGACAGGGAAAATACACAAGCACCATCTGCTCTTCTTGAGCTCTTCTACGTTTGGACACTAGATAGTGAACAGATACATTTCCTTGTCGAATATGACCGACAAGTGATACCGAAAATTTTCAGCTGTCTGACCGCGACAAATGTCAAACCTGCTGTCATATCTCGGATCTTCGATATTGTAGACAGGCTTATCGCATTCTCTGCAGATGACGAGGAAATTTTGGGGAACATCTTGCGGCCAAACGTATCGCTCCTCCTTTCGAGCCTATCCGTCCTTGTTCAGCAGTCGAAAAATATTACCTCTATCTCCACACTGTTGGGTCAACGACAAATTGGGATTCTTTCCCAAGTTGCACAGTATTCGAGCGATGCGGAGGAAGCCATTACACTGCTCAAACTGTTCTCACCACTACTTCGCAAACCACCAAAGGTTGTTTCAGAGAAGATCAAGTCAGACCTGCTTAACATCCTTGGACATCAGATGCGTCTCATTCCCGATCTTCACGACATAACGTCGGAGGTTTATCAACAACTTTATGAGCTACTATCAATGCTTTTCCAATCTCTTCGCTCACGCCAAGCTAGGATTAACCTTGTCAGTGCTTTCCACGATCTTGCCAATCTACAGACATCACTACAGGATCTAGCTCAACTAATGGATGAGCTAAATGCTTACTCAACGAAGAGAATAGACGAGCCCGACTTTGAACGTCGCTTGGCGGCGTTTGCCTATTTAAACGATACATTCTATCGATCTTTATCGATCTCTGACTGGCTTCCGGTCTTATACAACATGCTCAGTTTCATCCAAGATCCTGAAGAGTTGTCCATACGTAATCATGCCTCGTTCTCAATGCGCCATTTTGTTGATCTCGTCGCCGCTCAAACTTCAGTTGAGCACGATCGAGCTTTTTCACGTGTGCTTTTCCCTGGTCTGAAGAACGGGTTGAGGTCGAAGAAAGAGATGGTGCGCGCAGAGGTCGTTGCAGTCATTGCATACGCTGTGGAGAAATGCGAGAATAACATTTCGCTTCAAGACATGAGAATACTTTTAGCTAATGGCGATGAAGAGGCAAATTTCTTCAACAACATACATCATGTTCAGTTGCACCGCCGCTCCAGAGCCTTACGTCGACTTGCAGATCAATGCGACGAACAGCCGTTGCGAAATTCCACGCTCACCGAAATACTCATTCCTCTCATTTCCAACTACATTGTCGAAACGGCTTCCTTAGATCATCATCTCGTGAATGACTCGATCAACACTACAGGCCGCCTAGCTAAGCATCTCTCGTGGAAATCATACTATGCTCTCGTACAGAAATACCTTCGTCTCTCCAAGGCAAAGGATGAGAGGGAACGTGTATACATCCGGACAATCGTCGCTATACTCGAAAACTTTCCTTTTTCAATGCAGGAAGAGGTTCACGTGAGTGAAGATGCCGAAGGGGACTTAGATGATGATGATGATGATGTCGAGACTGCCACCAAACCCGCAATTCCGATCAATCAAATCGCCGACGCCGTCAATCTCCGTCTTCTTCCGACACTGCTCACTTACCTTGAATCACGAGACTCAACAACAGAGGACACCACCCGAATACCTATTGCAGTTGGTGTTGTCAAGGTTGCTCGTAATCTGCCTCTTGCATCTGCGCAGTTGCAGATCTCCCGCTTGTTGACCACCACCAGTCAAATCTTACGCAGCAAGTCTCAAGAAACTAGAGATTTGACCCGAGATACCCTTTGCCGTATTGCAGTCGTGTTAGGTTCAAAATACTTGGCGTTGATTATTCGAGAGTTGAGGGCTGCATTGTTGCGCGGTCCACACCTTCACATCCTCGCGACTACCGTTCACCATCTCCTAGTCCATGTGACTAAGGGAGAATATGTAGAAAAATTCGGCGTTCTCGATGATTGCGTTTCAGACATAGCATTCGTCTCTTCTGAGGTGATATTTGGTGAATCTGGAAAGGATACGCAGGCTGAAGGTTTTAAAACCAAATTGCGCGAAGTCAAGGCCTCCTCATCTAAAGGACTGGATTCTTTCCACATCACTGCTAAACATGTTACAGGGTCCAAAATCAATGCCTTACTCATGCCTTTGCGAGACATAATGCAGGAGACGGAATCACTCAAAGTAATGCAATCGGTCGATGAAGTGTTGAAGCACATCTCAAGCGGCCTGAATTCAAACACACACGTTGTTCCTGCAGATTTACTGTCCTTATGTCATACTCTAATCACTCAGAACTCCCGTTTCCTTCAACAGGCGGCTCCTCGGAGGAAACACCTTGTCAAGGGTGATGCAATCGTTCAGACGAAGCGACAAACGGCTGTCCATACAGACCATTTCGCCAACAACTCTTTCCGGTATCTCGTTTTCCAAAATTGATGGTATTACGGAGAACTGACCACATTGCCTCCAGCTTCGTTGTTTTCGGTTTGGACCTACTCAACACCGCACTCCGTCGTAATCGATTCAATTTCCAGGACACTTCAGTTTTGTCTCGTCTAGAATCCATGATTGTGGCGGTTGGCAACACCCTGTATTCGACTAGTTCTCCTGTGCTGGTTTCAGGTTTGAAAACGGTGGCAGGACTTGTAAAATGTCCTCTGAAAACTCTTGGACGCTCGCTGCCTGTGTACATTAGGCAAATTTTGGATATCCTGAAACAAGTCGGTACTACCGAATCTGAAGTCGCTCAGACTGCCCTGAAGACACTTTCAACAGTATTCCGTGACGGACCATCCGTCGATGTCAAGGAAACAGACCTCGCTTTTCTGCTGGATATTGTCGCCCCAGATCTCGAAGACCCTTCTCGTCAAAGTTCCGTTTTTGCCATCCTTCGTGCCGTCGTTGCAAGAAAATTTGTCGTTCCCGAAATATACGATATCATGGACAAGGTCTCTGAGATCATGGTCACCAATCAGTCAGGTCAAGTACAGGAACTTTGTAGAAGTGTTCTCCTGCAGTTCCTGCTTGATTATCCACAAGGAAAAGGTCGATTGCGAAATCAAATGACATTCTTCACCAAAAATCTGTCGTATGAGTACGAAAGCGGAAGAAAGAGCGTTCTGGAATTGCTCGGTGCCATCGTCACAAAATTTCAAACTGGCCTCATTCAAGAGTTCTCGGACCTACTCTTTGTCGCTTTGGTCATGACCATAGCTAACGATGATTCATCCAAGTGTCGGGAAATGGCAGCGCACCTCATCAATGCGCTTTTCGTTCGTCTCGATGAAAGAAAAAGGTCCGAAATGATGTCCCATCTCCATACATGGTGTTCACAACACAATCAACCTCCCTTGGTTCGTGTAACGGCACAGGTGTATGGTTTGATAGTTGACGCATTACAAAATGAAATTGCTCCCTTCATTCCCACCATCCTCAAAAACCTACGGTCATCACTGGAGCATAGTGCGGCTCAACTTGAAAACTTCGACGATGATTCCATGGCTGTTGACCTCGAATGGCAACTTCCTTACCACTCCTTAACCACTTTGGCCAAGCTTGCAAAGGTTTTTCCCGAACTCATACTCCAGTCAAAAGATGTAGACTGGAGTTCTATTGCCAATCATTTACTCTTCCCTCACTCATGGGTTCGTACAGCCTCTTCCCGTTTACTCGGGACTTTCTTCAGTTCTGCCACAATACAAACTCCCTCAGCATCTGATCTGAACGCTCCTTTTTCACCATTATCGAGCGAGGGCATGAAGACTGTCGCCCAAAAGCTTTGTCAACAGCTGAAGAGTGAACACCTGGATGATAGTCTCAGTTTACAAACAGTCAAAAATCTCTTTTTCATTGGCAGATGTTACGCCACTATCCCGTTCTTGACAGACAGTATTGGTGACATCGCTCAAGAGGAGGATCCTGACGAGAACGAAGTAGCCGAGGATAACACAACAGTCTCTCAACAAAACCATCCTTTGCCGTGGATGTTCTCAAAATTATCATACCAAACGAGGTCTGCTCTTATCGCAAAGAGGAAGTATCCATCTGGTCGAGTAAGTGTTTGTTTGTCTTTAATCCCGCATACGTTGACGGCCGTTTCTCAGCCCAATTGGTTTCATCAACCGTTCGCGGTGATTCGTTGGTTTGCCGCCATGGTCTCGTCCCTCGATGCTGTTGATTTAGAACGGTTCCTTGTTCACATTCTTTCGCCTATTTATCGAATCATTGAGGATGATACTATTCGAGATACCAAAATGAGTATGTTTGCTATTTATCGTTGACAGACTTTTGCTGACATTTTCGCCTAGCTGAACTCAAAGACACTGCAGTGGAGCTGCGAGATCTCGTGCAGTCGAAGGTTGGGACGACCAAGTTCTCCACGATATACAACCAAATTCGTCATAATATTGTGGCTTTGCAACGGGAGCGTAAAGAAGCAAGAGTCCTGCAGGTTGCTACAAATCCTCAAGCAGCGGCGAGTCGCAAGGTGCATAGAAACACAGTAAAAAAAGAAAGTAGGAAGCGGAAGAATCAGTTGTTTGTGTGAGCATCATGTTATTTTACTTTTCTTTTACTGATGACTTCTTATAGAGATGGCAAAGGCAAAATGAAAAAGAGACGCGAAGAATGATTTATGAATTTTGTGACCAATGTGATGTATCTATAACAGCTATTTACTGTATCATACACCTCTTGTCTCTTTGAGAAACATGATTGAACGTTTGCTCAAGTCAGTGCTTCTCTGCATCGAAAAGACTGGCGCAAGAATCGCAGCGCACAGCGGGGATCCCAATACCAATGCTCTTGGATCTCTTGAAGCTTGGTATCCTTGATCTTTTTAACGTCGATTTCGCTATGCCTGTAGAGGGACCGGAAAGTGTTATTGAAATGGATAGTGGAGAACCTTGTACTCACTGAAGTAAATGGGCACGTAAATCTGGTGCTCTATGAGGAAGCTCCTCGTGGCAATGGACACAACAGATTCGATTGCCATATCCAATGGGCGGCTCACAGGCGAAGATTTTTTCCGTCAATTCGCCAAATGAATTGACTGAAAAATTATGGTCTGATGAGTGGTTTAACTGTACGGTATCAGCGAGTCAGATAGTAAAATACACAGTAATAGATACACACTGCGTGTGGCCACCTCATGAAGAGCCGTCCGCCGTAGTGAGAAGCTGATGACAAATGGCACGTTGTACATTCAATGAGCGGATCAACAGAATGCAACTTCTGAATTGTCGTGGTCGAGGGATTAAGAGCGCAAGCCTGCAGTATCGTCCTCACGACTTGCGATCCGGATTCATCAAAAACGATAGGGTGAGATGACCATGGACTACGACTACTGCCGACATAGTTAGGGCGGTGAGTCAGTATTCCTTTCGTGGCTCCGATCATCAACTAACCGGTCTCGGAAGCAGCACCTATGATAGAACATTTGGGGATAGTGCATCTTTATGTTACTTGGACATTCCGCGCATCGAAAAATCGATGTTGCCAAGGGCAGGTCCGAAAGTGTGACCTCCGGAATGGATTTCCGCATGATTTCCACGAGCTCCTGCATTTTCACTGGTTTCCATTTCTCGATAAAGCTAGGCAGATATTCCAAAAGCTTCTCCCGAACAAATTGGCCGGTCATGTTCTCATCCAGAGGGCTGTCCCATATCAAGGTTTCGAATGGTTCGTTGCTGAGGATGTCCCCCAAAGACGGAAAGGGTTCCCGGTGGTCCGATGCTGAGTAAATTTCATTGTACTCTTTCTCCAGAAGGCTGCGTCGCAAATTGATAGCTTGACGTTGTTCTTCTTCGAGACGGCGCGCCTTATGATCAGATAATCGTTTGACCAATCTATCTCTGATTCTGTTCCAACCTTTTAAGAAATTTTCAGTTTGAGTGAGAATAGCTGATGAGGAAAAGTTGCCTAACCAGAGTCCGTTAGTTCTTGTGGCTGTCTGACTAATCTATAGTCGGCAAAGACATAGGAAGAGATTTCCGCCTCCTCGCGCCAGCCAATTTCTGCCAGTCGGATAAGGATACTAATGAGGGTCATTACATCGGTGCAACCTGAGCGAGAGTCGAAGATACGCACGCGTCCTTCCTTCGTTCCAGTAGATTCTCCAGTTCATTTTCACGCTTGTCTAGCATGGCCGTTTGCCACAATGTACATAAGTGAGCATGCTGTAGGCATTTTGAACGTTGATACGATGATTAGCTGCAGAACGATACTAACCTCCTCTTTGACCTGAAGTTCGTGTTTTTTGCTGGCTATCCACGTGTTTTGTTCCTCAGGCGTTTGGAGGTTCTGAAATTCCGCTTTGAAACGCGCTGCGATCTCGTCGTTCCCGATGGATATTGGCCAACCTATGTAGAGATATTCAGTCTCTGAAGGGCCGCAAGTATAATGGCTGAACATCTAACCATTCAGTCGGACAGATTGCCGGGGGAGAATTCGGTGCTTGCGAAACACGGGTGGTTGTCTGGCTAAAAATTTCTTGTCATACAGGGGAAACCTAGACGGGGACATTTGTGAGATACAAGAGCCCTAAGAATATAACAACCACGTACGTGGACTCAGCGCAGCTTTCGCAGCACCTCATACGAAACATCCAGAGAACATTATCACATTCTCTGTTACATATCTGGACGAAGATTATGTTAGCCTGAAAGCGTCCACCAATATCTAGCCACTTACTTGACAGAAAGGTTCATAAAGAAGGTGAGCGTATTGGGGTTCGCTTAAATCTTCAGGGAGCGGTGGTAAATCCCCAACATTGGCGCGGGCAATACGCCAAATGCTTGCTGAAGACTTGGACATCAAGATACTTCGAACGTCTTTGATTGTTTGAGCCAAACGGAGAAGGTCGTGCGGGTTGAGATAGCAAAAGATCTATACATATAAATAAAATTCAATTGTTGACATAGCTCGCAAGTTGCAGCAATATTCTTCCGTACCTCTAGAATGATTTCTAGCGGAACGTCTTTCGTTAGTCTCTCCAGTAGTCCAAACTTTCCTCGAATTCGCCTAAATTGCTTCGGAACACCTTTCGTCTTTGTACTTGATTCGACAGAGTGCTGAGAGTTCTTCTTAGTTCGTTTAAGAGGACGCTCTTTTTCTTCTTTTGTTCTCTCATCGCTGTTCCTTGTGTCATTTAAACCTACGTGTGCTGATATTTTGGCACCCTGTAGGCTCAGATCTCCCAGAGTGGCTGCCCTCTGTCGAATTCGAAGAGAGCGCCGTGCCATGCAGAGGTTGGGAGACAGGGAGACCCAATAAATAAACAAGTTAGTTGTAGGCGTCGACCGTGGGCACTGACTCATTGTGTACACGTGGTCTTGACTCATGTGATTTTCCCAGGGTGCTCGTCGCGTCATTTAGTTGTGAATCCTACACTGTAAGTATACGTGTACCTCTATATCTGGAGTGATTATATACAGAGATTATCATCCTCACTCTTAGCTCTCTTTGGTGCCAACGTCAGATCTCTAGTGCTTCTAGGAACTCTGCAAGTCGGAATTCCGAGTCCTCGAGGACGAAATCCTTCGACTATCATTCATCGACACCGCAGATGATCATCCGCAGTCATCTGCTCCCTTATAGTTGCTATTCTCGCGCTTTATTTCCACTGCCTGCAGATGTTACAAATTTCATCGCAACTCATTGGGTTGCTTGGAGTGAGTGACTCAGCCTTCTGGATTCGCATCGGAAAGGGAGAGAAAAGTTCAGACAGAAGATTCAGGTACGGTGCGATGGTCACTATGTACCGGTTCTGGGAATCAAGAATCCACAAAAGTGCAAGTGCCTGCACCAGGATGCTCAATTACTAGAAATCACCCGGGCCATGCCATGCAAAAAAAAAATCGAAATCTTCTTCACCAACGCGCGAGGAATTGTTGTTCTATCGCCCTATCTTTTCGCACTACAGCTGCAGCTGTCATTGTTAATGGTCTTGGATCGATCCTCCAATAGGTGCTCAGATAAGCCAATGCGATTAATCGCATAAGGTATCTTTGTTTCGAGGTCTACGCGATTACACGTCACTTATTTCTGGTTTTGCTATAAACAGAGTCATTTCATCGTTGCACAGAGCATCTCGATTCGAACTTTGACCCACAGCCGTTTTACACGTTTCGTGCACACAATATCCATCATGTCCCAGAACTCTTACAATGTATGTTTCCCTCGCCTGCAACGTTCTACGATAACTCCTTAATGTCCAATGTAGGTTGGTGATCACGTCCAGTACCAAGGCATTGGCGGAGGAAACGTTGAAAACTCTACTACCCATGGAGAAATCACAGACGTTGTGACTGACAAGCAACAAGCCGGTAGCTCTGGAGTGACCGTTAACGTTCGTCTTCTCGCATAATTTCCGTGTTGCCCAAAATTCACTATCGAAGCCAGGCGTCCGCTGAAGATCCTCGCTACGTTATTCGCAACGACAACGTCGGTCTCTCTTGTGAACTGATGACACGTTCGCTGACTTTTTTACAGACTGGAAAGGAGACTGCCTACAAGGCTGATAATATTAAGAAAGCAGAGTAGTCACTTTATCCCGTATACCGTACTTGCAACACATAAGATGAAGAGTTTTGAAATAACGGTGTATCGCATGTCCAATTTATCTGAAAACGAGTAACTCCACTTTCACGACGCAAATTTGGAATGCAAACGTGTTGATATTGACATTGACTGTTGTGGTATACTACAAGACATTTTTACTACGTGGTTTTCCTCATATCTGTAAGTCAATATTCCGTTCAAGTGCTGAACGTCGACCCAATAGCACCGAATTTGATGTTAGAGTAGATGACCTGCGCGTTGGGGGAGGCGGCCTCTACGGTAGCTGGCACACCAGACGTTGTGGGGCAAGTGCCACGGAAGTCACCAGCGGTGGTTCCGTCAGTCGGGTAGGTAGAGTCGAGCCAGAGCATGTTGACGGCATAGTCGTCCCAAAGACTGAGGACCAAAACCACACCGGCAGACAATGCATCCCCCATTCCGCTCAATCCACCTTTGGAGTCAAAGGTGTCAGTGTCTCCGAAGGCGGTCTTCTGTTGCTCGCAGAATGTAGCGTCGATTTCATTGGTAGTAGTAATTCCGGGGATGTTAGTCTCAGAGTTTTGGATGACCACTCCGTTTTGGACGTACAGCCGACGAATGGCGGAAAGAGTACCGGTGGTCTCGTTGTTAGACGAGATAAATTGGGTGACGACTGTGAAAGGCTTAGTGGTGTCTACTGTCATTCCTGGGCCGTAGAAAGTGGTGTCGCCGAGGCGGTACGAGTTGAAATCACATCCGGCTTGGTCGCAAACTCCTGCAGTAGAGTTGGGAGAAGAGCAAGTGGTACCGGTACATGAAGTCTGCTCCGTCACAGTGCAAGGGTGAGGGGTGACTGCAGCGGAGATCGAGTTAGCTTCCCAAATCTAACAGCAAGTCCGTAAGTAAATCTCATAGTCATCAGTGCGAACACGTACGTCCATCTCGGCACAGCAACTTCCAGTAGCACCCGTTCCAGTGTTAGGATTGTTAGTAGAGGGAGTCCAGTCCACAATGTTAGCCTCATCATAATGTATAAGGTGCCAGAAGAATAGTGTTCATTTTTGAAACTCACCAGTCCATCAATAAACTTGATGTCATGAGGGCACTGAGAGTCACAGTATCCAGTACCGTACTGAGCGCCAGCCTTGTTCGTGGGGAAACGGGACTTTCAAGACAGAGTTAATACTAGGAAATAGTTTCGGGAAATAGTTTTCGTAATCTGCTTACCACACCGCCATCAGCGTCCATTTGCGAGAAGTAAAGAGCCCCATTAAGACCACAAGGGAGTTGAGAGACATCAACGTCGAAAGTGAATTCTTGGTTGATCAACTTGAACGCTTGATATTCGGTGGTGCTTCCCGGAGCCATAAGATACAAACGGGAGCCAACGTTTTTTTGTTCGGAGGTGGTCACAAACTTGAGGGTTAACGAGTCGCCGCTGGCAGTAACACCGTAAGTTCCTATGAGAGTATAAGAGATAAGCAGGAATTGGAGGCAGGATTCGTGCCTTCATAATCGGCTCCGTCGAGGGCACAGTTAGCAGCACAAGTGGTAGGGTCTATTAGCGGGGTACGTCAGTGAAGCTCTTGAGGAGTATGAAATAGAGCTGGCGTACCGGGACAGAGAGTAGTGTCCCAAGTATTACCCTCGTAGCAGTTAGTCGAACTAGTCGTGCTGTGAAGGTAGCGCCAGTTCGCGTCCAAGACAACAGAAGATGACTGGGTTGTGCAACCAGATGCAGTGCATTCCTGCCAGGTCAAAGGAGGATGAGTCTCTGCAGTCAGTGTGCCTATAGTTATATCGATTATGATCAGAATTAGAATCAGAACACCATGAAATGGATCGCATTACCAATTTGCTGGCTGTACGCGACAGCGAAGAACGCAAAGGAGAAGAGAGCTGCAAAGTTGAACATCCTTGACAATTGTTGTGTGGACCGATGAGGACCACAACTTCAATGAACTCAATCTTTTATACACCCACACCCGAGGCTACATACCTTGTACACAGAATGAAACATTTCTCTCGGTTTTTTTCCGGGATTGAAGTCCAGAGAGGAAAAAGTCATTGGACCGTTTATTTTCCGTCAGTGCACATGAAAGTGGAGGACCCTGCGTAAAGAACTGCAGAATTTGGACAAACGACATACACTACAAAACCAACAAATACTGAGGCGGGCCTCCGGGATGCGACAGCCGAGCGGTAGTGGCCCATCGGAAATTTGTCGCGGTATGTAAGAGAAGTCACTTTGTTTTAGGTGCATGGTCAGCCTTTAATTAATGGTTTTCAAGAGAATAAGGAACGCCTATAGTTGTATTTTTGGCGCTGATGAATTGGGCCTGACTTTTGGTTTTAAGCCGTCATTTGATATGCAGGCAAGTATAGATACCGAATCTTTCTTGGTTGAGTCAGACTCTTCCATACCAGGAAATCTCGAGGCTTGAGTTATGATTGAATATCACAGTCTTACCATTGGACTTCCCACCGCGATGTTGCAGCTACTGCGGATTGGCCAGCTACCGCATAGATTCTCCGAGTCTCGATTATTCCGAACATGGGTTCTCGATATTTTTATTCCAGTCAGAGGTCAGCTGTAGGAACTCGAGAAAAGAGTCAAGAATTAAGTTGCCGATTCTGCCTTGAACATGCTTCAGAGATATTTTCAGTTCTGACGGATAATTAGACGAACTTCGAGATGAATTTTCGAAAGTTTAAGCATATGGAATCGACGGGAAAAACTTAGCCACTGCGTACCTCCATGCGAACGCTCGGGCCGTCATCTGACAATATGTACCCGGATTGTGTTGGCTTGAGAACCACGCAAGTAGTCTACACTACAGGGAAAGGACGTGGCACATAGAAACATCTCCAGTACAGCCGAGATCTTCCTATAGTCGGTACCGTCCCCTAACCTTAACATAGGGTGAGTGAACTCGAAGGACGGACCGTCGAGGAGAAGCTGACGTACAGGAAACAGAACCAGGTGCCCAAGGCAGTAACGCTTTCCTCAAGCACGAAGCGGAGCAAGGTAGTTCTGGGACGAAAGAAGCTGGTCATGATACCGAAGTAGAAATGACCTCACTCGAGAACCGCAATCACCGAATGTCAGCACCATTGAGTTGATCTGTACCTAGAATACTGTGCTTATATTACCATAATTGTACTGGTTATGATGTTAAGCCAAGGCCAAAGTGGCATTAGTGAACGGCGAATGCGATCTTTTTGGACAAATCCTTACTTTTCAATTATAATCGGAATTTGGTCCATCGTGCTGGAGTCTTAAACCAGAATGAAAGTGAGGGAAGACACAGGAAAAATGCTGCACCTCTGCATATTGGCATTGTGTTCAATTATTGCCCTTTTGATGAAAGTAGGACTCAGTAGGGGAAGAAGAACTGTAGGACCTAGACAGGCAAATTCTTTGTTACAATCCCTTGGAATTTGACACGGAGTTGGGGAAGCAGGCGAGTGACCAATCATCAACCAAAGCAATTTTATAGTCTAGTGTACAAGGTTAATAATGTTTCCTTTTTTACCTCGTCCCGCTAGGCATCCTGCGAACTAATCCACCCAACTTGGCCTCGTTCGACTGGCTTTGATTCAGCATCTACCTGCTGAATCTGGGGTTGATAGTGTTGCTTCTCGTGCATAACAATCCAATTCCTTATATGCGTGCTACTCATCTTCGTTTGCCGCATAAGTGACAAGTCATCCTCGGTGATGTTTGAGGATGTATGCGATATGACGTCGATGATAAAGACTGAAAGTTTCGGTAGCTGTTCCTTCTCTCGATGAGCAGAGACTACAGGGACGGTCAAGAAATACCCTAGAGGTTATTACAGTGGGGATACGCACTCATCTCTGCTCCGTTGATAGTCTCTCGACTAACTACCAAGCCCTGGATATCGGGGTCCCACCCTGTAGGTCCGTACACATCGTTGATGGTGACAATGTCGTACTCGAGTCCAGGCTTAAACAGTTCAAGGAAATCACGGACGTTGGTTCTACGCGTGTCCAGAGATTCGAGGATGTGTGCATTTGATTTAGACTTTAGAAGGGTATCATCGGTAACTCCGACGATAACTTTCCGGCTGGTTATCCACGCCGCCATGCTCAGGAGAATTTTGTGGCCGGCGTGAAGATGATCAAAGGTCCCGCCTAAAGCCACAACAGGGAGCATTGACAGGACATTAACTTTTTCGGAGGCTTCCGGAGTTGTTCGACCTTCATTAGATCCAGCAGCAATGTAGCGGTGGGAGAGCTCGAGCAGTGTAGGGGGGAGGGCTGCTACTATTGCGTCTATGATATCGTGTGTAAGCGAGGAAAGGAATGAGATAAGAGTGTTTAATACCTCCCGAGACACGATAAACAACTTCGCAGCCTTCCCCGATATTCTCTGGCAGCGCCTCCTGCGCAGTTAGGCCTTTCAGGAGGACATCAATTTGCAAAAGGGGATTGTCCTTATCCTGGGCGATTTTGGTCGCCTGTACGTAGACATAAGTCAACAATCTCTGGACATCGTCCCAGCTCTGAGTATGTGAAATAGCGTCTGGATCAAATAGCTGTGAGAAAAGGACAATGCGAAGTCGGCTCGAAGCTGCATTGGCCGCGGAGACGATGACTGGCGCTAAGAATTGTGGGGTAGACAAAGATGGGAGAGATGCGAGAACTAGGATACCAGTGGTGAGAGAGGATGTCATTTTGATCTTATCTTATCATTTTCAGAAACCCTGACCTCAATTGACCTCCATTCGTTGTTTACAAGTTACAGTATCAGCAAAGTACAGGTATAGCGGACCTAACCTTCTATGTCAAGTCATGGCCCAGAGCTATTCTGCTTTTGAAACGTTCAAAATCCAGATTCTCCATAGATGCTAATCTAGACCTTATAGCCTTACATTCCTTATAAATCCTCCCGAAACCCAGTGAGAAGGATCATATGCCCACAACTCCATTCAGATTCCTTGTTTCAGTCCTCGTGGCTCTTCTCGCCCTCGCTTTGCTAAAATCACCAGAAATTTACTGGAAGCTCTCAATGGATCCGGTCATTGTGGTCGGCGGGGGACTCAGCGGATTGAGCGCTGCGCACTCTGTATTGGAACATGGAGGGAAGGTTGTGCTACTCGATAAGAAGCCAGCGTGAGTGATCACTCATTTTCAGGTAGTGCATTCTGACAGAAAAGCTCCTTAGTTTAGGTGGGAATTCTGTCAAAGCAAGTTCTGGGATAAATGGTGCTGGAACGGAGAGCCAGACGCGTTTGAACATCAGCGATTCTCCGCAGAACTTGTGGGTTGGTTCGTCCTTGACCACCTCAATGATTATTGACTACTTCATAGCTACGATGATACACTCAAATCCGCAGGTTCTGAACACGCCCGACCTAACCTGATTACTGCTCTTACTTCCAATTCTGCTCCTGCGATCGAGTGGTTAATCAACAATTTTGGTGTTGATCTCTCACTCGTATCAATGCTGGGAGGTCATTCCACTCCGCGGACTCACCGAGGGACAGGCGGTGCTCCAGGTTGGGCAATAACCTCTGCGTTGATGAAAAGGCTAGCAGCGGAAGAGGCGAAATCCGAGAAGAGAGCAAATATTCTGAAGAGTGCGAAAGTAGTGAAGCTTTTGCAGACCGGAGACAAGGTTACGGGGGTAGAATATGAAGACGGGCAAGGCCAGAAAGTAAAGCTTGCGGGCTCAGTCGTGATAGCTACTGGGTACGTTGACTTTTGTCTTCATAGTCGCGATAATGCATCTATGCTAACACAACGTGTGTGAATAGTGGTTTTGGAGCTGACTTTTCACCTGCCGGTCTGATCGCTACGCATCGTGCGGACCTCATGCAACTGCCAACTGTGAATGGAGATCATGCAACTGGTGACGGTCATGTTCTTGTTACATCGCTTCCTTCTCGTTCGGGAGTTCTCATTGACATGAACCAAGTACAAGTTCACCCAACAGGATTCATTGATCCTGCTCAGCCTGATGCAAAGACCAAATTTTTGGCTGCTGAAGCTCTACGGGGCGTGGGAGGTCTCCTCCTGAAGAACGATGGATCTCGATTTGTCGACGAGATGGAGAAGCGGGACTTGGTTACAGCCAAAATGTGGGAAGTTATTCAGAATGGGCAAGGACCGGTCAGGCTCGTCCTGGGTGTACAAGCCGCTACGGAACTCAAATCACATTGTAAGTGATGCCTCAACATGTTACATCTTGGCTTTCAAGCCTGACTTGTGGATGCTTGCAGGTGACTTCTATCTGTCTAAAGGGTTGATGAAGAAGTTCGCCAATCTTCAGGAACTAGCCGAGAGTATGGAAGTCTCATTAACAGACCTGCATGCTACATTCACCTCTCACAAATCGTACGCTTCGGGACAGGAAAAGGATCCGTTCGGTAAAAGTGAGCAGTCTTCGCAACACCGGATTTCTCCTTTTCACGTTCCTCCCTTCATAGCCCACTTCCATAACTCTGATATCAATATCGAGGAACCGTTCCTTGTTGCACTCATCACTCCTGTCGTCCATTATGTGCGTTGATAATTCCTTGTAATGAATTCATGTACATCTGATATATCATTCGATTTTGCAGACAATGGGCGGTGTTCTGGTTGACGAACAAGCTCATGTTTTGGATGCTTCGGGCAAGCCTATCCCCGGACTGTATGCATCGGGAGAGGTCATCGGTGGCGTGCATGGAAAGAACCGACTTGGAGGGTCTTCCCTATTGGAAGCCGTGGTGTTTGGAAGGATCGCAGGAGAGATGGCCGCGAGGTCTCAGTAAATAATTAATCGATGCATGTATGTACTGTACAGGAATTATGAAATGAATGAAGCTTGTGGAAACTACAATCTACTACAATGTACTGTATGTGACGGGGCTTGCAGCATGCTTTGTTCCGTGAGAGTACTTGTGTTCCGTTACGCCGAAAGATGAATAATTGTGATCTGAATTCCGAGCACCCATTTGGGCTCGTTTTTCTGTCTCGAGATGACGTCCCCACATTCCTTGAATTTCTCTTTTACTTCTCCACCTAGTATTAAACGTAATTCACTTAGTCAACTGCCACTTCCTTCCGGCATGAGCACCCCTTCATCTGCTAATTCTCAGCCAGTCACACCCAATCCAAGTATCATTCCTGCTTCAGCTGTGAAGCTGAGGAGTCCAGGCTCTCCACTATCTTCTACATTTCCTGTTTCCACATTTACCTCTCCGCAAACACATCCGATGCACACGGGTTCGACACATGCAGGTGGCGTCCAACCCTCTGCGTCGTTTTTCCATCCATCAAGACCCCATTACTCTCCACCAGACTCGCCTTCGTCTTCACATATGCATGCACGCGAAGATAAAGACGTATTTCAGCTTTCCGAACTCAAACGCCTTTCGGACAGTACCGCAGATCACTCGGATTTTGTTGGCGGAGATACTAGTGACTTGTCGATGCAAGAACAGCAGATAATGAAGGGAGTGAAGCAGAGTCGAGAACCACTTTTGCCTTTTGGAGAGGGTCCTCCAGTGGATATTAGGACGTCAATGGCCAAAGACCGTTCAGACACTAATTATACTGTCAAACCTCAGCTTCCGCATTCGAGGATCGGTCTACGAACAAGTTTAGACCTTGTTTTCAACCTTCGCAGAGGCTTGTCTATCGATTCGCACAAATCTACTTCCACGCCCAGTCCCGCTGCTCAGTCACATCGTCGACAAGTGCATTCCGTCTCTTCTGAAGGGGGCTTTGGCTCAATAGGTGACAAGAGAAAGCTGCATGATGAAGAGAGGGGTTATCCTACTACACACTTCGCTTCTCTCAGACGGCAACATTCTATCGCCTCCTCACACGACCCTTCTTCTTTTGCAACCACATCCAAATTTCCTCAGTCGGCTCCCATACCGACAGGGTATAAGCCTACTGGTTCAAAGAATGGTCAATCCTCGGATGAAAAGACCCAGTTTCTCTTTGCTGTGCCTATGTACACCCCTCATGGCAAAATCATACGTAAATGGCAACTACATCCTTCACGGAATAAATTTTTTTTGAACGGACGTATGCTTACCGGTGGTGATTCGCCATGGGCGTTTATTGCCTCCTTCAGTGTGCTGTGTGCTATCGCTGGCATATGGTTTGGTACGACGTGTCGGTGGTGGTGGTTACAGGAAGGAGCAGGGGGAAAAGTTTTGGTCTGTGTCGCAGGATATTTGACCTTGATAGTGATTACAAGTATGCTGAAAACTGTAAGTCGTGTCTGTTCCTTGGGAAATATCGATCGCACTAATCGATAGAATTGTAGGCTTTCACAGACCCTGGTATATTACCTCGGAATCTTGATCCTGATCCTCCCTATCCATCGACTTCACCCTCAGACGGTGGTGTCCGGGCCCCTATGCCTAGGGATTTGAAAGTGAGGGCAGATATGTAAGTATACTCTTCATTGGTCATGCTAGGTGAATATTGAAGTAGGCATCAGTGTTCGCGTCAAATACTGCCCAACATGTAAGATCTACCGACCTCCACGTTCAAGTCATTGCAAGATGGTAAGTGCGTTTGCGTACATCGTGATGTTACATACCGAATGTTCCTAGTGCGACAACTGTGTCGATGGTTGTGACCATCATTGCCAGTGGGTCAATAACTGCATTGGTCGGCGGAATTACACAACATTCTTCGTCCTGCTCCTAACAGCGGTAAGCCAATGGTAAACTATTGTACATCTATTCGCTCATCCTCCCAGTAGACACTGACTCTTTTTCTCGTCATTGCCACATCCGTCGCTCACCTGTATTTTTTGACGAAACGAGGTATCCCGGGGACACCCGGTCCGATTAGTTTCGAGCAGGCTATAGCATCGACGCTTGGAGCTGGAAGTGCGGCTGTGTTTTGTCTAAGCGCAGTAGTCATTTGGCCGGTAGCAGCTTTGCTGAGCTATCATATCAGGGTGAGTTTGAGCTAATCAGTGTATGGACGTTGATTAATTGGGCCTCGTCATTCAGCTATTACTCTTGAATATATCTACCATTGAACAGGTGTGTAGAACCTCTTTCTTTCCGCCTGTTTGTCTTTGTATCTTCTGCTTCACACCAATTCCGGGAGGTTTCTATTTCTTCTGTCTATCAATTCATCCTGGGGTCTCTGGGTGCTTAGCTTCTCAGCGCAACGGTCTGTACTGCTGCTGTCGGTTTCTCTGTGCCTTGCTCATCCTTCGAAATTTTACGACCTTTTGTTAACCCGTTTCAGCTTAATGCTCCCCTTCTGATTTTTAACATTTTTTCGAGACTTTCGCTTGATTCATTTGTCCATGCCGCTAACGCCCTCCTTCTTTTACGACATCCATTTTTCCCTATACCCTAAACAGATTCGTAACCAAGCTCACAAGACGCTCGTACCGGGGCCCGCTCCACCAAATCCTTTCTCGCATGGCTCCTGGCGGCGGAACATCCTGGCGGTGTTGTGTCGACCTCCAGGCTATTCATGGTTGGATCCTAGTGCTATCGCTACAGAAGACAGAAGAGAAATCAATCCTGGGTATACCGCGGCGGTGACGACTGAACGCTGAACAATACGGAGCGACACAGGCAAACCCTAAAGAGCTGTTGGGGCATTTGCCGTAAGGCCTGATTTTCAAGATCGAGGAGCATGTGTGCGTTTCCTCGGGTAAAGTTCTTGGACAACACCTTGGGGTCATTAGGACCAATTTTGGAGTCGAAAATGCTTTCATATGCCCCTGTCGTTAGGATATTTCACCTTTGTTGAGGTCGACAGCAATTGCAGTGCATCGGGACTGGATTGACAGTCTGGATTAACCTCGGGGCCAGGTAGATACTTTTGTTTCCTTTCGCGGCGATTCCCTTCCCGTTTCCTTGTAGGTATATTTATCGCCTACTTATTTGCTACTATTCTACGAGGCCATAGATTCTGCATTGATTTTCAGACCAGATTTGTCTACATCATTTCACGTAAATTTGTTTTTGCGATACAGCATTTTACTTAGTTCATTTCTGGGTTTGGGTAGGGTTGGGTACTACAATAGTATACTGCTTGTTCCGACTGAGCATTCCGCTCGTATAAATATCAGCAACCTCCACCAACTCCCACCAACTTCCACCACTCCTCGATCCCGGTAATGGTGTACCTGAGTGAAACGGTAAATCCCGTGCGCTGAGAAGTCGACGACGGTCTGTCCCAGGTCTGTCCTAGGTCCACTTCTGTACATCTTCCCCGTCTTCCCCGTATCAGCCCGTATCGTGCGTATTGCTCCACTAACATGAGGTTGTGTGATACTTTTATTCAGTTGGATTGAATCACGCTGATTGGACATGGGGGGTATTACTTCCATCGGGGAATTGAGAAACAGAGGCTAATAAATACGTAGAACAGACTGAACAGACCAATTAAGGACACATCCTCTGAGCTCAGGTATTACTTATGGTCTTCGTTGTAAGGCCAATTGTGACAATGGAAAGAACTGAAGAGAATCAGCCCCTTCCCGAGGCCGGGATATCTCGATTCGGGTATCATTGTATTTATGTATTTGTGGCTATCCTATGGGTTTTAAGCGGAGACTTAACCGTGGGTCGGCATCAGTGGCTGAAAAAGTTGTTGAATGATGCCGACTCTTTCCCTGCAACGCCGCAAGTAAGAAACAGACTTCGTGAGTGCAGACACAGCTGCATTCCATTTTTATGTATATGTTCTGACAAAAAGAAGAAAAAAGGGACAAACTTTGAACAAGTTGACAAAAGTTTCGCGTGGAAGAGATCAAGCCGTCGATATTCTATAAATCCGGAATGCAAACAAATACGAAATCAGGTTCAGAAACTCCTCCGGGCAACAAGTCCAAGTCAACTTCCTCACCGCCGCTACTGCCGTCGGTGCCGCCAGCTGCTCCGCCACAGAATCCGAAGCCGTCCTCGAGCACGAAGAAATCTCGGCAGCGCAAGCCCTCAGCCGACGTCCAACGTATGTTTTCAACTAACTTGAATACACTTGTTTTTTTCTCAACTTCCCTTTTCCAAAATGTTCCATCGGAATAGCTTCTGCTACAGACCCCCCTCCTCAGCCAGCTGTTGCGCAGGGTCCTGTTCTTCAGCCATACCCAGGTCCTCCGTACTATATGAACCACCCCTATCCGATAAACGGTCCTCCGTATCAGCAGCCTCAGCATCCAGGCTATCCTCCTCCTCCGCAATCTACTTCGACTCCGGGTGCTCCTCCTCCGCCTCACTATGCGTATCCTATGGCGGCTAGCCCGCATCCTTATTATACCTATCAGTATCCTCCTCCTCAGCCTATGATGGTTTATGGCGCTCCGCCACCACCTCAGCCTCCTCCCGCAGAGATAGCGCAGGCGAACTCTCCTCCTCCACAGACTCCGACGACTTCGAGTAGTGGTGCAAAGCGGAAGAGAAAAAGTGCCAAAGAAAAAGCCGCATCCGATGACGAAGCAGCGTCGGGACAGGATGGGTCACGTACTCAAGGCCAGTCCCAGATAGATCCAAAGAAGCGTACGAAGACGGTGAGTCTCTAGCTAATCTGTAGTTTGTTCTCCGTTTTGACTTGCACCTCAAGCAACGTGCTTGTGATTCTTGCAGGTTCATAGTCCATCTCCCTTCCACTGTATTCCGTTCGAAAAAATAACGTTTTTCAGGACCCGAAAAATTCGCTGCGATGTTTTAATTGATTCCGTGCGTTTACACCCACTTCACCACTGTCTCGCTGCTCAGTATCTCTTAATCAGGACCCACCGGTCTGCCAACACTGTCGACAATATCAATTCGACTGCACATTCTTTTTGCCTATCACCGAGACTAGATTCAAAAAGAAGAAGCTCGAGGCTGAGGAAACTGATAAGGACAAGTCGTTTTCTACAAGAGCAAGCGCTGCCCACGATCCTAGACGTGAAGTTGGTGTCCTCGGTACGTCGTTCATCTATATCCCCCATCCACATATATTTCGGGGAAATGCCTTGTTCTTATGCAACATGGCAGGCGTGACTTCCCCTACACATCTTCTTCATTCTCAAGCCACGATCTCATCCCGTGTTTATCAAGGGTATGATGCGAGGTACAACCACACCTTTGAGGTTAGCAAGACCGGCGATGGCCTTATATCTGTTCAAAAACCTTCCAACGAGGAGCAGCAGACAAAACCCGTTGAATACCGCGTCGAAAGAAACCTCATTGAGCAGCTCATCAATGCCTACTTTACCGATGTTGCCCCGCTTTTACCGGTGGTTACTCAGGTGGAATTTTTGGCGCATTCATCTCCACCGCCGATTTTACTTTACTCCATGTGTCTTGTTGCCGCAGCTAGGCGAGATGTTCCGCAACAAGTGTTTGACTCGATTCGCTACACGGTCAACTCTATCATTAAGGCTGAAGACGTTCTATCTACTGCGTCTATCGTTAATGTGCAAGCGCTGCTTATCCTTTGTATGACCGGTGATTGTCACTCTCCGTTCGTGCCCACTGCGCTATCCGCGTTATGGATAAGACTGGGTACGGCCATTAGAATGGTGATTGTTTTAATTCAACCTACTAGAGTCGTATCTTATGGCAATTTCAAGGCTCAAGACCTCGGGCTTCACCGCTGCGAGTCTGTCCAACAGAACGTAGAATTACGACGCCGTCTTTGGGGTGCTTGCCTCATAAGCGACAGATGGTATCTCTTGTTCTCATACTAATCAGATTTGAGAATTCACAGTGATCTTTTTGTCCATCAGGATAAGTCTTACCTACGGACATCCCTATATGATTGATATACAAGATTGTGACGCCCGTCTGCCTTCATCTGGAGATCAGAATGATCTTTACATGGACGAACTTGTGCGCCTGAGTATTATACTTGGTCGTGTTCAAAAGGCCATATACACGTATGTCAAACCACAATCTTGTACCACTATGTGTCTGATTTCTGCAATCTCGACCGCCTTGTAGTCCTGCGGGTCTCATGGTGGCCACTGACGCACTACTAAATCAACTCCTAACTGACCTCGAGGCATGGAAAGAAAATCTTCCAGAACAACTCAGATTTACTGGTCCCGAAAGTTCGCGTGCTGCTGGTATGATTTTGTCGCTCTATGTCCATGTACTAGCTCAAATACATCGATCTTAGGCTTGCTCTATCTTCTATATGTCTGCGTAAGCATGATGTTTTGGCGTGTGTTTATGCGTATCAGTTATACGTGTCCGGAACATCTGAAATTTGGTTTGACCGTGGAGCAATGGAGCGCCCTTGTGACGAGCACTGGACAGGCTATCGATTGGCTAGATGCAAACGAAAAATTATATGATGTTTGGCTCCTCGTTGCTTATGCAGCAGCCTCGTGTGGCTTCGTACAGGTACGGGGTCTTCGATTCTTCGATCTCTGGAAAAGTAGCTCATGCATCTGTGTCTAGTATCATACCTATGTGAGACGAAAGGATGCAGAAGCCGAAGCCAAGCTTCGAAAGCTGAGAGATTGCGTAAGACGTTGGGAAAAGAGTATTTCCCCTGACCATATGTCAGCGCGACGCAAGGCTAGTTCCGCTTCCAAATCCTTCATCGTCGTTCGCTGGACTGATTTGAACCTTCTTTTTGGTCTTCGTGTGCTTCGCGTGCGACTTCAGACAGCGGAAATCATGGCGCTCCTGTATGAGGCCATTCAGACGCCCGTGATGCCATTGGAGGCACCTGTTCTTAATCCGACTGGCGGTGTCAAAGGAAGACAACAGGCCGTGCTCGACTACAAACCTGATCCTACTCGTCCTGGGACTGGCGTCTTTGTTGCACACGGTCAGATTGATTCTGATCCTCCTATGGCAACAGCAGTGCCAACTAGTACTCAGTCTACGACTAGTGCTGGGCCCATTGTCAATTTCACTCCATTGACGGGAGCTGCCATTGGCAGTGGCGTCTCCAATGTGAACCCTGCCATGAATGTCCAGGCGGGTACTAATGACCGAATAATCAACACTCTAGACACTCCGGCAACAGTGGAAAATCTAGCTGAATTCGCTGTCACCGATACTGGGTTCTTAGAAGGGATGCCCAACCTCATGTTTGACTGGGGTAAATATTGTTCCTTTGTGGCTAAGGTCAACTCGAATGATACTGACTTTGGTCGTTTTGTCCTGTTCACGCACCAGGTCAATGGGATAGCTTCTTCTCTCGATTTAATGGCGCCTCAGATGGGACAGTGCAGACCCAGCCATCGTCCGCGTCTTAATAATATGACTGCGTTTTTTCCTATCATGCTTTCGTCTGTTTCGTCAAAAAAAATCCTACATCTTCATGGTGTATAAATATATGTATGCTTATTCGGTACTCTAGATCTGTATTTCATTTCGAAAATGTAGTTTTTGGACTGCAGAACTTTACATTTACCTAGATAGACATTGGTCCTCGGATCAATCAGTCACCAATCGGGCTGGGGCCGGGCGTTATTACACGCTATTTACGGAGCATAAACAGTGATAAACTCATCCAATAATCCATATCCTCCTCATCATCCAGGTGCGTATCCTCTTGATACCCAACTTGTAATTCGCCTACAAGATCATTTCGTTTGAAGGTCACCGTCCGAAGATGATTGTATATCCCCTGCTGGAATCGCGCTGAAGTCCCTACAATCTTACATATGTCTCCAGCAAAGCTACTGAACTTTCCTGAAGATATTCTTATCTACATTTTCACTTTTCTTAATTTACGTGACATCTTATACATTCGACAAGTGAGCTCTCGATATGCTTTTAATCGAAGCTCTGAGAATTGAGCTCATTGCTTTGATAGACCTGCAGGCGCTTGAACGACACAGCCAACTTGAAAATCGTCTGGCTTCATACTTGGGAAACTCACATATTACACAAATGGTACCCTTTCCCTGCGATTAGCTCGGAATTAATTGAAAAGAACAGTCGAGAAATATGCAAGAGTGACAAGGGTCGCACGAGCATACAAAACATGTCGCGCGCAGAGCTCGAACAGCGCACACGACACGCCTATCGATTGGTCTTTGAACTTAGCTAGATACAGTTGTAGATTGTGTGAGCCGCGGGCTCGAAGGAATATATATATACATGCTACTATGTGCAGTGAGCGATGAGACTAGAGGGATTGGGGAAGAGGGCCGAAGGTCCTCAGGTCCCAACTGCAGTGATATTCTGTTGGCGCGGTTAGCTGCGATGGGTGGGCGGGCCCATCCAGCTACCACTACTCACTCAGTTCGGACTGGGTTGAAGTTTGAGGGAGATTGGTCTTGAGGGTGTTGATGGCTCAGGTGAGTAGCTGGTTCAAACGGGGGGGTGGGAGTGGAAAGAAAAGAGGTGTTGAAGCGCGGAGACGACTCAACACGATGCAGTACCTGAAAGGAGGAGGGTACTGCATCATGTGCCCGTTCGAAGACTATGGTTTGCCTACGGGTGTCGGCAAACCGGCATCTTTGAACTTAGCTAGATACAGTTGTAGATTGTGTGAGCCGCGGGCTCGAAGGAATATATATATACATGCTACTATGTGCAGTGAGCGATGAGACTAGAGGGATTGGGGAAGAGGGCCGAAGGTCCTCAGGTCCCAACTGCAGTGATATTCTGTTGGCGCGGTTAGCTGCGATTCCCAAATGGAAGGAGTGCGCGACGCATCCAGCGAACCGCGGATACCCATGTGGAAGGAGAGCACTTACATCGAACTGGGGGCATGGAATATTGGATGAGGGATTGATGTAGTTCTGGCTGCATGTAGGGTGCCATGATTTCAGCATGCTTGCGGAGATAAAGGAGGAAGGCATCACTCTTCCAACGCCCGATGACCCGGACGGCATCAAAGGGTACGCCTCGGAGGAGGTACTCCAATGTTGCACCAATTCTGATTCCGTGACCTTGGATTACTGGAAGACCCCTCGCTTGAGCAATTTTTTGGATGCGGCGTATGAAGGCGGATTTGGTTAGAGGTCGGAGTGAGATGTGTCTTCCTGAGAGGTGCTTGTAGGCAAACAAGTGGTCCGAGGGTCCTGGGTTATTTACTCTGAGTTGGTTTTGAAACCACCGATCTGGGTCCGAAGAGCCAAGCTGCTTGGAGAAGTAGATGTCTTCACCATCAGATTGGTTAGATTTGGTGCGAGGGATGTGTAGAATGGTAGTCTTGAAGCCATTTCGATCAGAGGTTTCGTGGACTTGCGAAGGGGTGACATAAGCGTGATTGTTGGCGGAGAAGTCTTTCAGATTGGGAACTGTGAGTTCTCCGACTCTGGCTGCACAGTAGAAACTCGTGGTGAGGCAGCCTCCGCAGGCTGCATCAAAAGGATCGTTAGGGTCCAATCCAGTTAGTATGCTTTCAATATAACTGATGGTGAAGGGAAGCCTTTTCTTCCGCTTAGACCGTTCGGGCTGTAGACGCTCCGCCCCTTGAATCATAGTGTCGATTGGGGCTTTGTCAATTTTCCACTCTATGCCATGTATGATGTGCCAAGCACGTACACCGTAGATGTAGTTCTTCACTGAGGTGCCTGCATAGTGTCCGGCCATGGTTGCGATCCAAGATTGGAGGAGGTCGAGGCTGCAGGGTGCACGTTGAAGTTCGGGAATTTCGCGAGAGTCGCAGAATACATGGAAGGCGAGGAGGCCAGAAGCATATGTTTCGAGAGTGCTTTCGGCAAATCCTGCTGTGAGAACTGATTGGATGCGCTCGGCAAACTCATCTGAAAGGTCAAGAGAGTGACCGGTGGTATCACGGAGGACGCGCTTGGAGGCAGGGCACCATTTTGTTAATCGCTCACGAGCCGGACAATGTGGACGTAGTACAGAATGAATGGGAGTTAAATTGGATGGGTAACTATTCACAGTGGACGTTTGTATGTTACGTAGAGGGGCAGAACTAGCATTGGGGTATTGGGAGGTTGCAGGGCGATTACCAGGCGTTATCGAAAGCGGCAAGGAGTCTGCCTTCTTCTTCGAGTCTCCATTGATTGAATTCGAGCCTTTCGTGGGAGCGCTTCGGCCTAGATGGGAGACCGTCGCTAGGGTGAGGGTCTCGGAGAGCAAGTTCAGCTGGGGAGAGTGGTTCGTCGTAATCAATAATGAAGTCGGAGAGGTATTGTGGGATGGGAATACGAGGGAGGAGGAATTTGAGAGGACCGATTTTCCCTCGTGAGAAGGGATCAGCTGGGTTACTGGCACTTGGGATGTAGCGGGTGTGGACAAAGAAGTTTCTCGATGCAAGGATTTCGTGAGTGCGGCGGAATAATAAATTCGTGGCTCGGTTCCTACTCCTACCACTCCACCACCCTTCGACCACTCCTTCGTTGTCACCCCAGACTTTGTAGTGATGTCCCGCGTTGGTGAGGTCTGCGAATGTGAGAACGAGGAGGTGGAATCCTGCTGCTTCGGCCCATCCAATGTCTCGTTCGTTTTGATGACCTCGCCACCCAGGAAGGAGTCGGTATGACCTCCAGAAACCTTGGATGCATAGGCCGATGCCATAGCCGCTGCTGGCGTCCGAGTATGCATGGATATCGATGAGAGTCGCAGGTCCAGGGATGGGAGAAGAGATGGGAGCAGACAAGGTTAATTTCCACCAACAAAGATCCGCGTGCCAGCCTCGAGGCGCATGATGCTTAGTGAAAGGAGCTGCGTGACTAAGTTCGGCCTCGAATTTCTCGAGTTCTATTAGGTACGATCTGCCAATAGGTAAAACGAGGCTGACGTGGAGAAGCTTGCCGTAAAGTTTCGATACTTGTTGGGTGTTGTGTGAAGGCCGATTTTCCCATTCTTCGAGCTCCTTCAAGTACTTTAGGCGTTTGGAGAGGGGAACTGAGACAAGTCGGGATGAGATATGCCATTGGAAGCCGAAGTATGTGGGGTTGTCACAGAAAGGAACATCTTTGTCCTTAGCCCACTGGTAACCTAGGGGAAGTGTAATCCGGTCGATATCACAGAATGCGTATGTGTATTTTCGATCTACTAATGATCTTGGGGATACGTTTGAGAGATCGCGGATGTCAAAGGTGAAGTCGTCATCAAATTCCTCGAGTTGTCCACTTGGAAGAGTTTGACCTAGGAATAAAAGTCTGCCCTTGTGGTGCTTGAGGCCGCCTGTTTCCCGTATGCGTGTTTTGAGTTGATTTCTGAGCTCATTGTACTGTTTCAGGTGTGAGATTAGGATTCTAATCCAAAAGTGATCATCTACCCATTTGGTTAACGGACCAAGTCCTCTACCTCTGCAGATTTCTACGCCTGCATCTGCAACATGTCCATATGCACCGCCGGCTGAAGAGAGACCAAACATGACCCTGGTGTCGACACAGAATTGGTCAGAGTCAAGCCGGATTACTGCACCTGCCCACTGCGAAGGGTGCAATGGGACCATGCGATAGGCTTCCGACAGGTCTCTGACTGCACCTTGTGCATTTGGTGGCAGAGTCCATAGGAGTCGACAGGTGTTGGCGAATGTTCCCCAAAAGCACGGATAGAGGGATGAGTCGATATTGGAGTTTATGGAGGAGATGGTAGCGAGCGAAGCGGTGGAGATGGGTTGATGGGGGAAAGAGAGGTTTTCAAGCAGACGGAACTTTCCTGGTTTTCCTGATTTGGGGATCATAGATATGGGGGACGTTTGAAAGGGACCTATTATTTCTTCGAGGATATGTCTGGAGAATGGCCCGATCCATCGCTTGAGGCTGATCTCGTTATTTACAATCGATTTGAAGGCTTTTATAGATTCAGGGTCATCTAGTTTATTAGGAGGGGAGAACGTATGGTTGATTGGGGGAATACCGATTTTGAAACCGAAACGAATTGAATTTGATAGAGTTGGGTATTTGGGGAGTAGTCCGAGTTCTGATAGGGCCAGATGCCATGCTTTTGCGTCCAAGGGCGTGCGAATCCGTGTTCTACTGTCCTTCAGGGCAGTTTTCAGCTCCATGACTGGAGTGAGCACAGCCTGAGCAGCGGTGCTTTTCTGGGTGCGTCTTGCCGGTACAGCCATTAGGGCGCTGCCAGTCCGCGCACAGTTCGAGTCCCACATAGTTGCCCCTTGAGATTTCCAGGTAGCCGTTCCTGTTCCAGTTGCAGAGGACCGCTTGCTTTCCATTCCATAGTGTGGTTCGTGAGCACCGGCGGATGTCGTGTTTGTCTCTGCCAAGGCATCTGTGACACCGCGATAATTTTGGCTGATTGGCTTCACGAAAGGAACGTGGGAAATCGGGTGTATAGTCCTCCTCTTGTTTGAGGTTACTGGCTTTGCGAGGGGACGTGGATGGGTAAGGATTGCGCCTGGACTTCGAGGGCCTTGATTGGTGATGAGGGTCTGAGACCCAGGTGTTATTGGGTTGCGAGGGGGCACTCCGAGAATGGTGCTGGGCGATGACTGCCTGCATCTCTGATTAGCGAAGGTAGCGTAGCAAGGGAACAGAAGTTCAGGTGGTGTTAGCGAAGTTTAGCGGTAGCGAGTTTGTGATAACGGTCAAGGGTTATCAGGTTCGTTAGCAGCAATGCATGCGATTAGCGTTGATAGTGATTAGCAAGAAAGAGATTGTAAAGTTAGCGTTTAGCGGCGGTTTCGGAAAGGTGAGAATTGATAGGGAGTAATAATTAGTAGAGAGTTTATTGGGAGAGGGAGGAGAGAAGACATACCCTTTAAGGCTTTGGCATGGTCTTGACTGCGAATTTCGTTACGACATTCGTCTAAAGTTTCCTCCATGATTACGGCCAGGTCGAAGGGATCCCCTTTTTCGTTGTCCTTGTACCAAGAAAGACGTGTTTCGGCTTGATAGAAGGCCATCGTGCGTTCGCCATTGGTTTTCCTTAACTCTGGGTGCATTTCCATGTTGGCGAAGAATCGAGCAAACATGTCGACATGTATGTCGGGGAAAGCACCGAGAGAAAGGGCACCGAGGAAGCCGCTTTTGGCTCGCATGACCTGGTTCCAGGTGAGACGAAGATCAGGGATGGCGTTGGGGGAGGCGCGGACAGAGGTTGTGGAAACAAGAGTGAGAGAGGCATTTGATGCCATCGCGGGGTCGCTCTCGAACTCGAAGCGGTTATTGTCCACCACTTCTCTCATTCGTTCTCTGGCTTCTCTCTCGGCGTCTGGTAGAAAGTACCAAAGCGGTACGTATTTGCGAGCCGTCATGAGCTTTTCGGCGTAAGGGTGGTAGTGGTGCGGAACGGAACGATGGCCAACACCTTGTTTGAAGTTTGGGAGGGGAGTTCGTTTCTTTTCCCTTTCCTTTGCCAGCTCCACTTCTTTCTCTCTTTCTTCTACCTCGCGTTGTCTTGTCGATTCCTCTTCGTCAGCTCTCCTTTGTTCGCCAGCTGCATGTTCTTCCTGAAGTTGCACTTGGTATTGAGCCCTCAAATTAGCATTCTCAGTTTCCCATTGACTTCTTAGCTTAAGGATGGCCTGCTCATTGTTTGTTATGTCTGGACTATTTGCGTCTGCTATGAGAGCGTTGCGAATTACGTCGTAGAGGTTGTTGCTGAAGTCGGGACAGGGAATTTTAGCTGGGTCGAAGTCTATTCGATTAGCCATTCAATTGGGATGAAGCACAAGTACTACTGAGGAGGTACGAATTGAGGAGTACGAATTCCACCAAAGAAAAGAGGTGTTGAAGCGCGGAGACGACTCAACACGATGCAGTACCTGAAAGGAGGAGGGTACTGCATCATGTGCCCGTTCGAAGACTATGGTTTGCCTACGGGTGTCGGCAAACCGGCAGAAAGAGGTGGCTAGATGAATATCCAAATCGAACGAGCTCTCACGACTCAACCGTCAAGACTTTTTCTCCTTTGCTACCCCACAGAGACATCCGCTGGGTAGCGTCTCCTAGTATAGCCATCACAGACATACGTTTCGTGCGATCCGTACGATATTCCTCCTCAAAATTGGATGCAGGACCCGCCGATGAAAGTATTTTAGTGTTGAGCGTGTCAAAAGGTATCTGGTCAGTTATAACAATATGGGACGTGCCAATATTTCTGCATGGGAACGATAATAATGAACCTCGACCGCGGAAATGCGCAGAGTGGTCACTCAAAGGCGGCCTCTTCACCGGACTATGTTTAAGCCGCGATCATGGTTCTGAAGCAGACCTTGCCGTGTCTGTGGTATGCGAGGGGTGAGTACTTGCTGAGCTTAATAGTTATGTACCTGATGAAAAATATTCAGACGTCATGAAATTGACCTATTCAACATCTCAGATGTCGGGGAATTGCTGCCAATCTGTACTGTGCCTTCTGTTCCTATGCGTGCCTCCACGCTGGGAGAGGAAGCAAATATACATTCACAAGCCATGCAACCGATGAAGCCCATGACGCTATCCGGGAGCCTTCTTGCCATGTCCGATGATACTGCCTCGACAGTTATATATAACTGGAAGACCGGTGCCTTCGCAGTCTTGGAGCACGAAGAAGACGAAATAGGAGTATGGAAGGTGCGCTTTCGCAAACCAAGAATGTCGAAACCTTATATTAACCTTCGATTCACAGCACGACCATATCATTCAAGTCGTTTTTGCGTACAGGAGTGTACTAGTTGTTCGAGCACGATCTCTACACCTATTTCCAGAACCAGAACTATATTTAGCGTCACCCTCGTCTGTCGCCAACTCAAACTTCTTAACATCCCCTGGGCTGCCTAATATATACTCTCCGATAGCCAATCACTCTTTTGGCTGGGTAGATGGCGTCTCGGTTGTTTCCATGTATCCTGATTGTTCCGTATGTTCCCATCCAGGAACGTTGAAAATTTTGGTTCGTCTGCAGAGCGACAATCCATGGATGTCAAACGAACATAGTTTGGATCTATATGAGTTATCGCTCAATCCAAATTTTGTTAGTACTCCCGCACCTGAACATGAACACGAACAAATGTACGCTACTGAATGCCCCTATCAGTTTCCTCCCATATGTACCTCCCGAGTCACTTCTTCCCGTGGTCCCCTGCGATGTACAGACCTGATCTTAGGGCGATGTGGTACTGCGATGTGGGTCAAACCAGGGGACCGTGCAACGCATGGTCTGCTCGCATCGGATATGTATGATGATTACACCTATGTCGCTCGGTTGGGTGGACTTGAATCTGGAATTGTCACCATGGGAGGCGGCGCAACGGAGAGTCTAGTCGCAGGAATCTTTCCGGGCCCTCTAAACCCCGACGAAACTGTTAGGACTCGCAAAATTTATACCAACGTTTCGAAAGATTGGACTGCACTGGATTATGATGAAGCCATTGGAAGAGTGGTGCTTGGAGATGCAACAGGCTGTGTACGTATTTTAGAACTGTAATTGCTTCTGTGAAAGATGAGATGGTCAATCTTGTTTTATTTCCTTGTAAAGATACCTAGAGATGGTCTCCTGTAAAAAGATGATGTAACTCCTAGCAGCCGTACAGAAGCAAGATAAGGACAATGATATTCCAAAAAGCTTGTAAAGATCCTCTCGCATCAATCAAGCGGGTGCACAACGAAAACCTCTCCACGTCCTGTAGCCCGTCGCTGATCTCTCTCTATAGCCTCTTTCGCCCTTCCTTGCTGTGAGAGTAAAGCAATTTGTCCTGCCCGCGAATGTGTCGGGGGGCTATACCCAACCTCAGGTAAAGGCCCATCCAACATTTTTGGGAGAAAGACTTCGCGGCGGTTTCCAAAAGAGGATCTGATACGTTTCCGAGGGATCCCACCAATTCTGAACCTGCTGGTGTGAGGTGAATGCGAGTTGTCAGGTTATTTTTGACGGAGGATCGAATAGCGGGGATATAGAGTGCGTCGTCTCACCTGCTGTCAGGATGATGAAAACGATTAGGACTTCTGAACCGGTCCCGCGAATAGGTGTTGATGTCAGTAGCAGGTATTGACTCTGGAGGAACGCCTCGGCTTCGTTCATTGTCTGAAGCTGCTCCGAAACCGGAAGATCGCCGCGCACTAGCTTTTCTCAATAGAGTACCAGCCATATCTCTTAATTTACGCAAAATGGCTGCAGCCTCGTTCAGATCACCAGTTTGCTTCCAAACGCGGCGGACATAATCCGGGGGGAATTGATATTCCTCCGCCATATCTTGGATCGTTTGGTCGATGAGTCGAGATTGATCGGAGCTGGAGAGTTTGAGTGGTGAATGCGGTGGTGGTGAATGCGCCACTCTGCGAGAATTCGAGAAGCTCGCGCTCAAGAATGGTCTACCAGTGGTAGGAGTAATGCTGATAGTTGGGGCAGCAGGGGATGATGCGGAAAATCCGGATACAGGGCCACTAGTATTACGGCCAGCGGTAGGTAACGAGCTCCTCCTCCGGGACTGTGCACGCTCTAATTGACGAAGGTCGATTTGTTTTGAACGCACAGTGGAAGCCGTACTCGGAGTGGAGTCTCGGTGATTGGAGCTTTTCACTTCTATTTCCTCGATGACCCTGTTTTTCCCTTTATTCCTCGAAGTACTCTGACCAGGATCTCTGAAAGACGAGGAATGACTATTTGCGGAGTCACGGACCACGTTCGGATCAATGTCGGCATTCCGGATGGCGAGTTTCAACCCAGAGCCGGACGCTGTGGGTTCGGACTGAGCTGATGGTCTGGCAATTTGAACAGGAAATTCATTCGCAGCTAATTTACCTAGATTCTTCTTTGCTGAGCTATCATTGTAGGAATGAGCATCGGGAGTTCTACCATCGAGAAACGGATGATCATGAGGAAGTACGACGCTATCTGAACGCCGTCTATCGACTTGTTGTTTCTTCGCGCCCATCGGCACCGGAGACCCCCTGGCGCGGACGACACTCTCTTTGACCTTCTCTCTCGAAATCTCAGAAACTGCGACCCCAGCCCCGTTGAGCGATTGTTCTGAAGAGGTCAGATCCTGGGTTGCCATCCTCTCAGCCTCCTTCTTAGCTCTTTCAGCCCGAGTTAGTCTATCCCGCTCAATTGTCTTCCGACTCCGATCCATCTCCAATATGAACGCATTTAGGGCTCTGACAACTGATTCCGCAGTCTCGTTGCTCACTGATGGACGTGCGATATCGTCTGAGCGATTAGACTGTGGGGTTCCTATGGCAAGAGGAACAGAGGGATGTGATTGAGGATGTTGAATATCGGGCATGTCGAATGGATGTATTGTTCGGAGTAAACGGTTGGGGGTATGATACTGTAGCTCAGGGATGTCAAATGGATGTAGTATCGGGTATACGTGTGAAGCATGTGAAGAACGTGGAGGATGCGATGCATGGGAAGCACGCGGTGGAGGTGAAAAGAATGCAGGTTCTGTTGTAACTTCGCAAGACGGGGATCTCGGCGGGATTTGTGTAAAAAGCGGTTCTTCGTCGTCTGTATGCGACACTTCCTGGTTTTGTGAAATGGCTATGTCTGTGTCATCGATTTTCAGGTATTTTCCTTCTCTCTCCTCCTCTGATCGATCTCCCTCCTCTTCCTGACTATCACTTTCACCCTCACGTGGCATTTTTTGTGTCAACAACGGCTCTTCTTCTTCCTCCTCTTCCTGAGTATCAGCCTTACGAGATGGTATTCGCTGTGTAAATAACGGCTCCTCTTCCTCCTCCTCTTCCTGACTATCAGCCTTACGAGATGGTATTCGCTGTGTAAACAACGGCTCCTCTTCCTCCTCTTCGTGACTGTCAGCCTCACGATATGGTATTCGCTGTGTAAACAACGGCTCCTCTTCCTCATCCCCTTCCTGAGTGTCAGCCTCACGATATGGTATTCGCTGTGTAAACAACGGCTCCTCTTCCTCATCCCCTTCCTGAGTGTCAGCCTTACGAGATGGATTTCGCTGTGTAAACAACAGCTCCTCTTCCTCCTCTTCGTAATTGTCAGCCTCACGAGATGGTATTCGCTGTGTAAACAACGGCTCTTCTTCCTCCTCTTCGTAATTGTCAGCCTCACGAGATGGTATTCGCTGTGTAAACAGCGGCTCTTCTTCCTCCTCTTCGTAATTGTCAGCCTCACGAGATGGTATTCGCTGTGTAAACAACGGCTCTTCTTCCTCCTCTTCGTAATCGTCAGCCTCACGAGATGGTATTCGCTGTATAAACAACGGCTCTTCTTCCTCATCTTCGTGACTGTCAGCATCACGAGATGGTATTCGCTGTGTGAATAACGGCTCTTTTTCTTCCTCTTCTTGTAGTTCATCATCTTGCCTTGCACTCTGCTCTGATACACGGGGATTGGATCCTGACGGCTGATTCTCATCTTCCGCAACGAGTTGATGTTCCTTCCCTTTCCGTGAGAGTTGTATCAAAGGAGACCTCGTAGATGGTAACGGAGGCGAAAATTTTGAAGATCCCGAGGGACGCGATGAACTTGGAACATGTCCACTTTTTGAGGAGGATAGCGGAGCAGTTATGTTAACCTCAGGTGTTATTGGTAGCTTCCGTTTCGTTCCTCGCACAGGAGGCCACGCCCCCTTCACAGGTGTCTTTATTGAATCCGATTCCGGGCTACTAAATACTATGCGGCGGACAGGGTGCTTATGGCGCGCCCCGCCAAAGGGACCTTCGATCAACTTGGGAACAGGTCGTGCTTTCAGCGGTCGAGGAGGAGAATCTGTATCAGAGAAGCCATCGAAGATGTTGTTTGAGGGGTTTGTAATATGACGAGGAAAAGGAGGAGGAGGAGTTGTAGATTCGAAAAAGCCAGAGTCTGCGGTGGTTGTCATGCCATCGGAGCTGCCTCGTGGAACGCGATTGCGGTCGGACGTAGAGGTGCCGGCTGTAGGCTGTTTCTTGGAACGAGGTGTCAGATACGAGTGTGTGCTGTAGAAAGTAGAAGGTATAAGGATCAATGTATGGGGGAAGAAAGTCGAAGCGTACGCGTTTGTCTTATCACTATCCGGCTCAACAGGATCTGTCAATATATGGTTGACCTCCATATCGTCGTTGTCATCCTCTTGGCCCGCCTCAGGATCAAGCTGCATTTCAGCATCCGAGCCGCCTTCGAATAGTTGTCCACTGTAGTCGTCCGAAGCAGGAAGATCAGGATGAATCATGATTTGTTCCTCTGGCACGACTTTCTTCTGGGAACGATGAGGTGATGCGTGTGGCTTCTGAGGTATTGTTGGAGTCTTCAGGTCAACCTTTGCTTCGAACTGTTGTCCGCTGTAGTCGTCCGAAGCAGGAAGATTAGGATAAACCATGATTTGTTCCTCAGGGGCGACTTTTTTTTGAGGACGAGGTGACGCTTTTGGTTTCTGAAGTATTGTTGGAGTCTTTGGTTTGTTTATGATGGGCTGGGGTTTAGGTTGCATTGTAGACGGCCCGGCGATACGACTGGGCCCTTCGCCCTTGTCTCCAGCAACGGCTGGACGTCTCCGAACAAGTTGACTGACTCGCACAAAACCATTGTTCGCGAGGAGGGAAGAGTGAACCTCCTCTTTCTTCAGACGCTTCACTTGTGTCCTGCTTTCAGCTACGGGAGTTACCTTGCGTTTTAAAGTTCGTAGGGCATTGGGCTCTGGTTCTTCTTCTTCGGTAGTATCCCCTGAAGGTTCCTGCGAGTTACCCGCTGCTTTCGCCTGTCTTCGCTTGTATACGCGAATCCTGCGTTCCATATCACCCTCGTTTCTCATGTATCGATGTCTCCAGGATTGCCAAGTGTGTCGAGTACTCCAAGGCCATTGACCAGTAGCCTATATAGCAGTAGAATATCTGTCTAGTCATTCTAAAAGCTTTGCAGTATATGACAATAACGACGTACGTTCTCCGTAAGTCGCTGATATGCACGATTTCCTTTCCGTCGTTCATTTTCTGATAATTCAGCGAGATATTTCACAAGGAGGTCAACGTCTGTGGTGCTGAACGAGTTCCTTGCGCTATCGAGTGGCCATCAGCTATCAGTATAGCGTCGCACGCAGAGAAAGTTATCATACCCTGGAGGCATATCACCAAGAAATGTTCCGACGATGAGGACGTGAACTGAAATTGCTGAACTCACGTGATGTGCATATAAAATACTTAACCTTAGGTCAACCTTTGATGAAGCCTATACGCATATAAATACGCATTCAAATGTACAGTACACATAGAATATTAAGCAGGGGGAGCAGGGGGATTTCCCGCATTCGATCCCTCTTTGTATCCCTGCTCTGCTCCATTCACCGCGCCTTTTAAACCATTTGCTGCACCTTTTCCTGCGTTCGCCACGCTATTAGCCGCACCTTCCACCCCGTTCACGGTTGATTCCTCCACCTTTTTCGCGCCATTCACCGCATCATTCTTTTTCTGTACGACCTCATCGTGTATATTCTTAGCGCCGTTCACCATCTGATCATGTGCTTCATGGAACGGATTTGTGATCATATGCTTGAGGCGATTCGCCCCTTCCTTCATCTGCTGTTGCTTCTTCGCAATCGCCTCAGCACTCTGAACTAGGGAACTGTTCTCTACATTGGGATTGGCTTCTTGTCGACGCTGTGGCTGTGGCTGAGGCTGAGCACTACCGGCACTGGCACCGGCATTGTTATACGCATTCTTCGCCTTTTGGCCTTCTTCCTTTGCTTTGTTTCCAATCTCACCCCCGATTGTCTTGAAACCGCCGCCGATTTGTTGCAAGCCTGGGTTGTGAGTGACCTTTCCGGCTTTTTCGCCCATCCATTCAAAAAAGTCGCGTTTGTAAATGGGCACGCCCGATTCAACGTTGCCACGAGTTTCCGCTCGTGATTTTGGCGAAGAGGTTGCATGACTCTCGTAGGCTTCCTCGATCTGGGAAGAGGGATCTTTGGCAGCACGAGTGATGAGAGGAGCAGCGACGGCTGGACTGCGATCCTCGAGATACTGTGTCAGGGACTGGATAAGCGAAGTACTAAAGGGCATGTAAGTTTACTTACGGGTACGTAGATCTCTCTGGCGTCCAGAACGGACACGGGAGTGATGATCGTATGAGGGGATGTTGAGGCAGAGGCGAAGGCGGACGTAGATGTGGAAGCAAGGTCTGTGGTGAGCTAAGCGTGATACATCAATCAGTTACGAAGGGGGAAAGGTAATTAACAATTGCTCACAACTTGAGAAGAAGGGGGAACGACAATAGGCCTTGCAGAGCCTGCAGCAGCAATGCCTAGCAGAACAAAAGAGAAACGGAGTTGCATGGCGTGCATGCTGATAACAAGGGTGATGAGTACGACGAAGGTTGGATACGCTGGCAACAATATCCGCACCAAAATGAACAGGAAAAAACAACGAACGGTTTGTTGTGTCGATAAGGCTGAAAGGTTTCACAAAACTACTTTGAACCAGCAAAGCAGAATGTTTTCTGTGACGAGTAGACTTGACCAGAAGCTAAAGGTAGTAGCATTTTTCGAAATTGCCTCTTTTTATGGATGTTTCAAGACCAACAGCGGGGTCATCCGCAGGGCACAGGGTTGGTGGAGATGGAATAGTTTACGCGGTTATCTTTCCGTTGGCCTAGTGTTGGCCTCCGTCGGGCAAGCATGGTTCGCAGTTGCTTGGCGCAGAATTTTTCCGGATTTTTCCTTCTCCTTCGATATCAATGTCAGAAGGAAGAGTTCGAGAGATATTCACTACTTTCGACATGCTGTTTCCTAATGTTGGCCTAAAATCATGACATTTGTGTATTCCCCTGGCGTTAAGTGCGCAAATGTTAACCGAACTTTGGCCAAGAAAGCAGTAGGAAGTTGATGGGAACATTACCTAAAGCACAGGTTGAGAGAGAGAACCGCTGAGAACCGCCGCCGACCACCATTCCGGAGCCAAGAGCGGGGAAAACTTAGGTACCAAGTACAAGCGCATGCTGAGGATGTGAGCAGTTCGAAGTTTGAACCACATCTATATGTAGTTGAAATAAGCCAGCCTAACTAAGACTCCCAGAGTCATCAAGACCTTCCTGAGGCCTTTTCTCATGCAAGATAATCATCCAATTCCACAAACGAATATGACAATACTATTGAACTCAGTAATCAAGAAGAGGAGTCCGGTCCTGCATTATTCCACCCTGCCTTTCCCCCAGCAAGTGCACCTTCTGCGCCATCCTTCACGCCGTTGACTACACTTTCCGTGCCATTCTTCATTTTACCTGCTGCTCCCTCCACACTATTCTTCACCCCATTGGTCAAGTTTTCTGTACCATTCTTCACACCATCCCCTAGGTTTTCGAACCCTTCCTTCACATCCGAAGTCGCATTATGCATCGCGGCACCCGCGTCCGCGAATGGCTGCGTGTACTTGTGTTTCACATCCTCAAAGTGGTCAGTAGTATTTTGGATACTGCCAGCGGCGTTGGACAAGCCATGAGCTACTTCCTCTAAGAAACGTTTTGATTTGAGCGTTCTTGTATCGGGAGATGATGTCTGCGTTTCGGCTACACGACTAGTATGTCTCGTTAACGACGCGGTGCGAGTAGGATCACTGGTCAAGACAATCGTTTCCGACTGCGCAACACGAGGGTTCTCAAAATTCTAACGGATGCTGATATTTTAATCCGACGGAACAGTCACAAAAGTGCAGATTACTTACCGCATCCAAAGCAGCAGTCGGTGTAGCTGTAGCCTTGAAGGTCGTTGTCGAGAGCCCTTCGTGCTACAAAAGCAATTAATTTTGTGTTCAAGAACGTTTCTAGCGACTGCTGTTACTACTCACAGTTTGGAGTGGAGAATCGGCGATAGGCCTCGAGTACGTGGCGGCAGCGAGGCCTAACAGAACAAAGGAGAAGCGCAATTGCATGACGGAGGATTTGGTTGTCGGAGAAATGGGGGTGCTTGGCGACTTGGTACGAAGAGCGAGGTGTTAAACGTTGAAGCTGAACTGTTAGTGGTTTAAGGATAACAGAAGAACACACTACTTTGACCAGCAGAGCAGTATGTGGCGAGGCGTTTACTTGACCAGAAGTGTTAGGAAGGGCATCTTTTCGCAAATTCGCATTTCCTTATAATATCGCATCAGGTACTATCGCCTGCTTCGGTTAGCACAATCTTCATAGTGATCGATCATGGTGTTCCAGAGCATCAGTGGATGGCAATCAGAGTCTGCAGGCTCAGGTCAGTGCAAGTCCGAAAAAACAAAGCGCGGTAAAAGCTGGTAAAAGCTATCAGCTCTCATACCTAGAGACAACAAGGTGCTAGTTTAAATGTTCTGTTCTACGAGCTCCAGCTCCAGTCTCCAAACTGAACTTGTACCTATAGCATATAGCCACAAGGACTTCGAAGTTTTGTAAAGCCAATGCTTCTGACCTTGAAGATACTCCGATGGATTGCAGGACTGGACCCGACGGCTTTTTCTTGTCCAGTTGTCAGGCTCAAGTTCGCAATTTACAAAAGCTATCAGAAGAATCTGACAAGAGGTTTTATCGCCTTACTTACACGTAAGTCTATGAATCTGCTCTGTCATATGGAGAGCTCACAGCTTATTCAATTATTCAATGTAAGCAGAAAATTCTGGTGTGACGACAAAGACCTGAGAAATTTTTTAACATTGCTTGATGATACTGAGATGATAGCATATGTACACCTAGATAAAGATACAATCATTTTTGCGGAGGTATAGGGCCTTGGAAGGGTTGAGTGTTAAACTGGTGTTAAATCTGGTGAGTATCTTTTCAGATAGGGATCGAGATGACATCCTCAGGCTCATCGAACAACCCTTCGAAACTGGACAGGAAATCAACCTCTGACAATGATGGATCCTGGTCAGTAACCTTCAGTAACTTGGTTGATTGATATCTCCTTTGACAGCCCCTCCGAGTCAAACATCCCCTCAATGCTCGGCACGAAATCCTTCTCTAGCAACAACAAACCATAGTCAGTAATTTGGATGATTGGTATCTCCCTGGATGGCCCCAACCCCTTAAAGCTCGACAAGAATTCTACCTCTGGAAATGACGAATCATAGTCAGTATCTTGTATCTCCCTAGATGGCTCCTCCAACAGCCCTTCAAAGCTCGACAGAAAGTCCGATTCTACCTCTTGCAATGACGAATCATGGCCAGTGACCTGGATGGTCAGTTTCTCCCTGGCAGGTGATGGAGAAGAGTAGTAAGAACTCTCTTGGGCATGGGTATTATCTGATACCTGTTCGTATAGTTTTCCCGAGTTCACTTGGAATTACAGTCAATTCTGCCATGTCTTTGAGTCGAAGGAAATTGTACATGCCTTGTATGTTGTCGATCTCTTCCTTGAGCGAGATAAGATTATCAAGTCCGTGATCGTAAAGTGTCTGAGGAGAACTTTCCGCCAATTCTTCACTGCGCTCCCGAGACCACAGAGCATGGGCTCTTGGGAGACCATGAATTTCAGCATACGAGCGAGACTTATGATCATGGCCTATAAAACGTTGATACTGTTCTATCGCCTTGTATTGATAATGTTTCCATTGAGAGCCACCCGATGTAGCGAGTACGGGACTGGGAAGTTGAGCGAGTATGGGTGCATCCTCGAGATCAGACATGTTGCCTTTGGGATCAAAAGACCAGTACGACAATAAAGGCATTAGGGATATATAGCACGAGGACGATTCTTTATTGCTCTTGATAACAAGAGGAGCAACAAAGAGATATAGGGGGCGTTCGATGAACACATCTTGTTCGAAGGAAAAGGTAAGTGAGAAGGAAATATGGTCTAGAAGGACTGTTCGAATATCAGTAGTTTGTACATTGCGATACAAATAGGAAGTTCTTACTGCAGTCAGGTAGCTTGATCTGGCGTTTGACTAACTCTGAAATGTAACGAGCTTGAGCTAGCCAGGCCGCTCGGAGGATTTCTGACCACGGTTCAACTAATTTAACAGAGCATGCAATTTGGAAAGAAATCGACGGAATGTCGGATGAAAATCGATACCTGGTATACAATTTTAGTATTTTAGTTGCTAAAACAGTGGAATGAACAATATGCATACCGCATCCAGCCATCTTTGGACACGGAACGACTGCATCTGTTACCCCGGCCTATATTTATGAATGCATCCCAAAGATAATCATTGTGTATCCAATTTGGAGATAATTCCAAGAGCGCAACTTGGTCACCGGTAGAAGCCTCTAACACAGAACCTAACTTGTAAATCTCACAGGAGGGCATTAAAAGCCATGCCAGTTTCATCGGCGGTGTATGGTATTTTCCAACAAATTTGTGAAAATCCTTCAGGTGTTTTTCGATGTAGCGAATGACCTCGCTTTCATTGTTGTATTTCTTTGAAGGGAGTTGTGGGGCCCATATCGGGGTGATATGATGCTGGCAGCGCTCAATGACATCCAATACGTCTTCATGTTCTACGCATGGACCCATAGGGCCGACACAAAGTAATCCAGACAGTGTTTGCATGAAAAGTTCCTCGTTCTATTGGCGGAATGAGTAGGAATGACGATTTCGACAGGATAGAGAGCCTGTTATGTACATACCGAAACTGGGCGATTGAGATAATCCATTGCTTGACCACGGTCTATGATCTAGAATTCGAGAGTGAAGAAATGCAACGGTACCTGGGAACAAGATACTTGCCCAACGAAGCTGAAGACAGCACAACGCGATAGGAGAGCACTGTCGAATAAAGAAGCTCAATGGGATGACATCTGCGATGTGAATAGTGAGTGTTGATGAGTTCGAATCGAAAATGTACTTCACCAGAGTAGAAAACTAAGGCAGGAATCGATTCTTGATCATTGATACCGTATAGTTGAAGGACATTAGGATGCCTTGTAGCCGATTACAGCAGATATGTAAGATTTTCGTCAGTCCGAATACGACAGTAAGCTCCACCTAGCGTTGGCGTAGAAATCAAAGTCGTCCTTCCAAGTCTGTCGACGACATGAGGTGACTTGAATTGAGAATCATTTCTTTTACCTCGTAAGCAGCAGATCCCTTATACAATATGGTTGTGAAAACTGTTCCATTTATGTGTGCGCTGTACGTGCTTCGAGTGGCTCGCAGGTCTACGGCGTAGGAACAATTTCCTTCTTGATCATAGTTTTCTATGGTAGTAGTTGGACATGGAGGGAACGGGCTCCCAGATAAATACAGTTCTTTGAGCTTGACGAACCGAAACTGATATGTATAGACATTTCAAAAGAATAAGGTTTAGATCATCATACACTTCACACAGAGGACGCACGTTGTCAGACAAGGGCATCTTTTGACCTTTCCGTTCCCGTTTGGTAGGTTTCCTGGAGTATCTTCGAGTTGTACATTGTACATAACACGAGGGGAGGATCTATATGTACACATCTTTGGTATTTCTGCTACGCAGATGGGATCGCATTCTTGTCTAGTCGCTCTTCAAAGGTGCACGTTGATGAATGAGGTGAGCACATACATGTCTATCTCCGACGGGACGCTTGTCACGTCTAGGGCGCAGACGGGGGGATTTTAGAGTTTTTTCAAATAATGGTCGGTGACGTGTATGGGTAGTTTTGAAATTTAATGGTGGAAGATTGACAATCGTCTGGTGCCCCGATACAACATTGATTGACGACTCTTGCAATGAGAATCCATTTGCGCCCGCCAACACGTCCGTCATGGGTAGTAGAAGGAGAAAAACCACACAGTGGGTATATTTCCCATTTCTTATAAATGATGCGGGGAATCCGAGCCCAACGTCAGAATAAGAGTCTTTGACACGAAGAATGTTTCGCTTTGAATAGAAGTCACCGGATAGGCGCTACATATTGGTTCCCAGCTGTTCCCAGTTGATTTCTCTCTATAGAAAAAAAGTATAGGCGACTAAGAACCGCATATCATTATCAAGAGCACTAGCCTGACTTTTGTTTGCTATTCAAGTCCATCTAGCGCTGCTCCGCATAAACCGAGCTGTGTAATTTGCCTTCCCAATTCTCTGAATGTGTAAAGGCCATTCTTCATAGTAGGATTGTTGTAATTAGCAGTGAGTCGGCGCTTGAAAGGCTGTGCGCAACGCCGCAGCAGCGGGATTCAGGCCAAAGTCAAGCGAAGTTGAGGTGTAGTATACGTGGTAAAAGCTGGTCACAGTTCAAATGGCGGGTCCTTCCCTGAGGACATTGTCAAAGCGAGATATACGAAGTATCACGTGCTTTAGAAGCGCTGATTTAGACTGATTTAAATCATTCGTTTGTTTTCATGAAACGATTATTCTCCAAGTCTGGAGCTAAGCCGCCTGCGAAGTCTCTATCTACTTCTACATCAGTTCCGGTCACAGCAAAGACGACTGCTCCTCACACCACTGGCCTTCAGCCCAAAGATATCGTTCCACCTGTCCCTCATCCATATCCCTACGACTCTATCGCTCTTCTGGTCTCCGAAGATGGTCTATTACTGAGGCCTAATCTATCTGAGCCTGATGCAGCTTTGGGCTGCGTCCGGGTTGCTTGGGGGAAAGGCGGCCAAATAGAAGAATTGTCTGGAGGGAGCGGCAAAGTGTATGATTGGAAAGAAGCGATAATCGTTCATGGAATCATCGGAATCTTGGAATTATTCTCTGGTCAGTAACTCGTAAATTCTCTTGTTATGTGGTAACATAACCGACTGACATAACCGACTGACATCTAGCTTCGTACATATTGGTGGTCATAGCGAAGGAGAACGCTGGGAATTGTGAGCATCGCGCACTACTCAGTATTAATACCTGATCAAATTCCAATCTACCTCGAAAGTCTTCAACCCAACACATGTTGTTTTCAGTGTCAAAAGTGTTGCTGCCATACCCCTGTCCGAGGACCGAGCTCGAATAATCGTAAACACTCTTGCTGCTAGAAATGGCCTTAGTCGACCTACACTTCAATCAACTATCACCATAGACACTATATCCTCGTCTGCAGAGAATGGTCCTACAGATCACGATGAATTAGTTGCCAGTACGGCGTCTTTTCCTCGCGTACAATTTTCTGAACCAGAAATCAACAGAGATAAGGCTTTTGCTGAGTCCGGCTTGAATTCTGCCCAGTCCAGTATTCATTCTCCCTCAGACTCTACTTCCGAGCTTTCCTTGTCTGGTTCTTCAACCCCTTCAGTTGCCGACCCTCAAAATCCTTCAGCACCCATCGCGAAAATTCTTGCCTCTCGATTATCCTTCTGGAGCAGACTCTCTAAACGAGGCTCCCTCTTTCCAACCTCTCCTGACCAGGACAATTTACCCACGATTGAAAAGAAAGTACCAAAGCCCTTGACTCTGTCCCTTCATGCAATGAACGAAGAAGAGGATCCCGAAGAGGTGATTGAGGGCATACTGAGCGCGACCGCGCCTCCACCAGAAACTGCTGAGGAAAAACATTCCGAACTCGAAGGAAAAATCGTTAGAGAGTGCACACGCGAGTTTTCTAAAGGCATGTATTTCGCATACACGTTCGGTGCGTAATCTGTAAGTCAGAACATAATACATTTAACTAATAGAGTGTAGATATCACTCGTTCTTTACAGCACAAACAGGAGCGCATGGCCAATTCACAGAAGCAGCACAATCTTCTCGCCGGCTTGGGTGCTCTTTCTTCAAAAGATACAAACGTATCTGAAATCGATCGTACCGATCCCTTAGCTGAATCGGATTCCATGCTACCACTTTGGCGTCGAGTTGACAAGCAATTCTGGTGGAACGAATGGCTAGCAAAACCCCTTATAAACTCTGGCCTTCATTCATATATTCTCCCAATAATGCAAGGATACTATCAATCAGCATCCTTTCATGTTCCTGATCCGCAGGAATCCAGTGGGGAGGGCCTTCCTGTTGACTATGCCATTGTATCGAGGAGATCCAGAGACAGAGCTGGCCTGAGGTATCAGAGACGAGGAATTGACGATGATGCGAATGTCGCAAACTTTGTAGAAAGCGAGACCGTTATGCGAGTTCAAGTGCGTCTACTCTATGGTCCAATGGACATATCATCCAAACTGTGTTTAGCGCGATGAATCGACCAACGTCTTTAGTTATGTTCAGATACGAGGATCTAGTGAGCCTTATATCCTGATTGTTTACGTGCTTCATTTTTATCAGCTACCAGTTCCTCTCTTCTGGACACAAAATGGATACGGGTTAAAACCACCGCCGCTTGTCTCTGCAGAACGCACACACGAGCAACATCTCAATACGATGAATCGGCACTTCCAGAAGACTATTCCTCGCTATGGGCCGCACGTTCGTGATCCTGTCTTGCTTGTCCGATCGAACACTCATCTAGGGCATAGACCGTCGTCAATCTTGCTGAGCAGAATGGCAAGGAAGGTGGTGTAACGTGCGCATATCGCGAATTTCTCACAGAATTGAATAATCCTGATGTCAAATATAACGAGTACGACTTCCACAAGGAAACTAAGGGCATGAAGTAGGTTTTTCTACTATCCAAATCGCTAGAAGACCTGATTCTCCCAGATACGAAAACATCGCCCACCTCGTCGATGCAATGGAAAGAGTTTTCGATTTTCAAGCGTTCTTCTGGGTTTCCGATGGGGTCGTTTTGTCGCAACAAAAAGGCGTGTTTAGAGTTAACTGTATAGATTGCCTTGACAGAACGAACGTAGTACAGGCGCGTCTTCTTTCTTTTTCCTTGCTTGCAATCTTATTGAAGCCAATCTCCTTTTCAGTCTGCCTTTGCGCGACACATCTTGGATAAGCAATTAAGCGCTGTGGCGCTACTGGCACCACACGTTATCGAGAGAACAGAGGTGGATCGTGTTTTCAACGACAGTTCGTCCTTTTCTGTGTCTTATTGTACTTCAATCGACACTCAGGCCTCGCCACGCATTTAGTGTGGGCTAACAATGGTGACGCGATCAGTCGAGCTTAGTGAGTGACTTTGCACTAGTCTCGGCCCTCTTTTAATTTTTCACAGTGCAGGAACGTCGGCACTAAAGGTTCGATCAGTTGCGAATTGAAAACGTTCTAATCGTTATCAATGTATTTTTTTTATTTCTAGGGAGATTATACAAGGTGAAATTTGTGTTATTGTTCTCTGGGGCGCTGCTTATATATGGACATTAACTTTACAGGACAGGTAAACGTGATCTCAGTGGGCTACTCAATGACGGTGTCAATTCCCTGGCAAGGTGAGAAGCAGCCTAATGCGCTCTGTCGTTGCTAACTCGTATTTGAATAGAATGTACACATCCACCTTCAGTGATTGGTTCTCCCAAGCTGTGATCGACTACATGCTAGGAAACCGTAACATGTCTGTCTTCACAGAGTTCCTGCTCAAACTTCAATCTACGGATCCCAGGGATCTCATCCGCCTCTCAAAAATCAGGGCGGAAGCCATTGCTACTTCAGTTTCTAGGTGCCTATCTGAAGGCGAGAGATTGTTGTCTGGTTGGACGTTGTTTTCTCCTGAAGAGCTGAATGCTACTATCGCAGAAAAGTTCGAGGAGAAAGTGTTGTTGCTTGTGAGTACGAGTTGGTTCGACCTGGTGGTACGGCACTTATGATTGGGAATAGACAAATTCTGCGCTTTATATCGTCGTACGGTCCTGTCTGGTCTCCCATGGAATTCCCAGCTTACATCTCTCGTATAGAGCTATGATTATACCCTAGAAAAGGTAAAACTCTATACCCGCGTGCCTCTTGGTGACGTTGTAGGAATCAAAAGAGGTATGGAGACCTGTCGCTGAAAATCACGCTCGAGTTCGGTTTCTGACAGTGATGTAGGTGCATATATACTTTCGCCTTTGGAGGAAGCAAGCCGTGATCCTCTCCAGAATTCAGGATTTATGATCACCTGGCTGAACAATAACCAAACAACCCGAGTGACCAGTTATTCCCTACGGAATAGCGTGGATAGCGGCGTATCTTTGTCTCTTCCATCAACGCCCGTTATTCCGAAAACACCCACACCCCAGACGCCTGTAACACCTACACCTACCAAAACAGACCCCGTCACATCTGTGGCCCAACGATCGTTTGCCAATATCATGTCGTTTATGCCTAAGTCAGGCTCGGGACAAGATTCGCCAGCGAGACCCTCGACTCCCTCATCAACATCAACATTGTCGAGACGCAACGCCAAGGGGCTCTCGCTGACACCTAGCTCTCAACCGTCCATTAGACGGAACGCTCTCTCCAACATACTGTCCAATGCCGCTATAACCAGCCCGGGGTTAGGAATTATGGAGAATCGCACTTGTTTTGCAGCGTTCAAGATGCTTCCCATTGATCCAACGCGGGTTAGACGCGGTTCGTCTTATGGTTCGACGATAGAGTACTCCCAAGCTGCAGATGAGCTTACCGGTGCTGCAAATTGCAAGGAGGCGGTCGATTTAGTGGTGGATGTGATCCGTAGGGCGTGTGAGGATGTCGGGAGTGCTGCTACTGAATCAAGACCTGGCACAGATCAATTCGTGGTAGAGGAGGATGTGGTGGGGCTCGCGGATGCGCAGAAGATGACTAGTATGTATGCAAAGATGGAGTATGGTGTGAAGAGGTTGCTTTGGCTTGGTGGTTAACAGTAGAATGGGCTTGTTTTTTTCTTTTCTTTACTCCGTGTTCATGTTGTATGATTTCGAGATGACACGCAAGCAGACGGACGAGTACAATAATACTTGACAATGCTGATAAAATATACATGCTACGTAGTTGCGCAGATATCAAGTCTTTGTCCATTGTTATCATGAGAGAATAGGGAAGGGGTGGATGTTCATCACGATCTCTCGCGGAGGAGCTAGCGTTGATTGCAGCCAGGTAGAAAAGCTGAACGGTGGATAACAATAGGAAGGGGAAATTTAACTTAGAATTAAGGTTGTTGAGCATGCCTGAAGGCGGGAATTCGTGCATTCTAGTCACACATATGAATAACAAAGAGGAAATTCAATAATGATCTCATCATCCCGAGCGTTCGAGTTAGCTTCCTCGTGGGCAGGACAATCACCGCCGTAGCTTAGCCCATCCCATTAGACAGAGCGATATACGGAGGATACCCGTTACAGGCGGACTATCGATTCAAAAATTTCAATCGTAGACGGGAAGGAATTTGAAAGGGAATTTGTTGTTTTTGGTTCTTGTGGATTCTGCTTACATTGACGTCGGACGATACTTACCTATACTGCACCACGGTGTTATAGGATTTTCTTTCTTCCTCCTCCCTCAGCTCACTCCCGTTAACTTCAACGCCTAACCCGAGGAACTTGACGTTAATTGGTGGTGTTGCATGTAGCCTCATTGGCAGAATTTGTTGATATCTGGTGATTCCCAATGATCAGCAGCGAAGTCTCGGGCAGCCAATGAGCTGTTTTTCATGGTTGATAACATACTGAATAGGAAGAAGTTCTTTGATCCACACTAAATTCGTTGGTATGAACCACATGATTCTAGTATGATTTCTGTCATATATCTGTGAAAATGTCCACAACTGTAGATCTGTGTCGAAATCGACGGTGGAATCGGTACATGTGTTTGTTAGCTCTTGAAGCCTCCTCGGTCGAGCATCCGATTAAGACAATAGCTCAATGAGGTACGCTGGGTCGTACACCGTAAATATCTGTCGCAATGACCTAAAAATTGCCAGCTGCATATTTATCAGGGATCTGTAGAGCCTAGTACGTGTGAGATTCCCAATTTCGGGGAGTAGAAACGACAAGTAGGGAAAGGTTCGGCGGTAGCGGAGGGGCCAACCGGAAGTATGATGGGCTCCACGTGGCAAAAAGTACGCTAATATAGTACTTGTCGCGAATCTTTTCTGTTCAAACTTTTGATATCTTCCTGGTTTCCATACAACCAGTAAACGGTCAACGTGGTGGCAGTAGCCCGCTTGACTCTGCACCACGCTGGCCGGTTTATCTTGTGTTTTCCGTTGGTCTACAATTCCAAATTTCCACCAGGAATATCTAGCTCTTTTCTCAATCTTGGCCTCGCTCACCATAGTTTGTTCCCATAATGCTCCTTTCTCCCTCATCGTCATCACCGGGAGCCGCTGCCAGAATTTCCCAGCTTCTTCCGACAGTAAAATGCTCGAATTGCAACCAACCAGTGCCCCTAAGCGAGCTCGGAGAGCATATATGTCCTGTAGCGCCACCTGTACCTCCGTTACCGTCCAACAACAACAATAGTAGCGGATTCAAAGGGAGACTGCAAGGGCTCATGGCCCCGGCTACGAAACCTCCCACAAATCCTATTCCTTCACCTCCAACTAGTCCTAGCCCCAAGTCACCTCATGTTCACGCTCAAGATACACCACCTCCATCTTCTTCTCAACCTCGTCGACCATCATTTACCAGCAACAGAGTCGGAAGTACTTCTAGCTTTCAGGCACGTTCTAGTCCCCTCGCCAGGTCCTTTCCGGAGGGGTCCAATGACGATTATTTTTCCCAGAAGGGCCCCTCTTCTAGCGGCAACATTCCTGGTACTTCGCCGTTGAGAAATAAGACGGGGCCGCATAAAGCTGGTGCACCCTCGGTGTCGAGCATTAGATCTGCCGCAACCTCCGTGATGAGTTCTAGCTCGGCGAGGTCCGGCTCGAGTGACGACAGGGATACGACGAGGGATACAATGAATTCTTCGACAACTTCTGGAAATAGAAATAGGGATACCGTATCATCCGTTGGTACAAATAGACCGTCTTTCATATCATCCGGTCGAAGTGACGAAGTCTCTATTACCCGAGGTCCTCAAGCCCCTCCAAGATCTCCTACCTCCCCATCTCCCTTGTCGGCGCAGAAATTTCCTACCTCTCCTCAGCCTCCAATCTCACCACGAACTCCAGAACCACGTACCATGTCTTCTTTATCACCTCTGTCATCATCGTTCAATCCTGCCACAACATCCACCATGATAGCGTCAATGACCACCTCATCATCAGCACCTTCTACTTTAACTGGGCCACTACCTAGGCCATCCTTCTCATCATCTACATCTATGCCTGGTATGAACGCGAATATACGAGGATCGGGGGCACCGATGAATCGTGGTTCACCGGTACCAAACGCTCCTATGTCTCCTCGATTACCGAACAGTCTTCTTCCAGGGAGAACACCATTCGCATCTGGCTCTGGTAGTATCGTAGGTCCTCCCCGGACTACGTACTCCCCTGCTCCTAGTCTCAATGGCCCGCCTTTAAGTCCGCCTTTGCCTATCCCCGCCTCACGAGTTCACTCGATGAGTCCCTCAATTCATCAACCTGAACCGGATACGAAGATTGGAGGAGAAGCCGGTATGGCAGGAGTTGGTCGCAGAGGATTTGCAGCAGCAGCAAGGGCTGCCTTGTTTACGAGTAACATGGGTGGAGAAGGCCCGAGGGGAATGCTAGGAGGACCTTTTTTGGATATCGCTGCCGCTGTTCGAAGTGAGTTCGTCTTTTTCATTTCCTTCTTGCTTTTATCCTGTGCTTTTTCGTATTCCTGTACCGCCGCTCTTAATCGTTGTAATGAGGGGACGGGTAGTATTGATCAACGTGATGCTATGAACTAATCGATGTTCATTTTATACTACACATCCGAAAAGGGCACCAATCATACGTCTGTTACGAGAGACGTGGATAAAAACTTACTCTAGACTTGACCTTCTCGGTGCCTGTTCAGTTTTTCCTTCTTTCATTCTTTCGAACAGTCTTTGTGTTTTGTATGTCATCGACTTCGCAAGCTATTTCCTTTGATTCCGCTATGCCTTGACAAGACCCTCCCCCGATGGTAGTTTCGTGGCAACGACGGGATGATCATTTGATTCATTTATCGGTCCTTGTTCTTGGCACTGATCACTTATACTTATACTTTGTTTTCAACTTCAGCAACCTCGACACCTCCTCTGACTACCAATTCATTATCACCACACTCTCCAGGTCCTGTATCTCCTGTGACGCCGTTTTCCACAAGTCCCACCTCTGTATATCCTCTTCAAGCCTCAGCGATAGATAAAGGCATGGGCGCAGATGGTTCTTTCTTCGACAAGTTTAGAGATAGAATACCTGGGCTAGGTATTGACTGCGAATCATCATCACCGACGGATGACATTCCCACCGCAAAGATAGGTGTTGGAGGTGGCAGTGTGACCCCACGCGCGGGACCTTCGCGCCAGACTTCCAATGCAAGTGAAGCGAGCACATCTTCCTCGGTGTTGTCACTCGGCCTGGCGTATTCCGCTTCGAATGCCTCTTCAAAATCCAAGAATCCTCGACGGCGTACACGCAGGTCGAGTGCGAATTCACCCGGGGACGAGGACGGGGACACTTCGGGCAGTGAATATGGCTTGGCTTATGCAGATGATACGGATTACGAAGACGAAAAAGAACACGATACACAGTCTAGATTATCTGTTCAATCTGGTCTTTCAAGGAGGACGATCAGAAAATCGAGAGATGGTGCTACTCCTACACCGGGACAGAGGTCTGATTCATTAGTCAAGGCTCGACAAAGACCTGTATCCGGCTCTCTATACTCAGACGACGACGATGACGACAACGATTTAAAGAATCGTCTTCGACTACAATCCTCACCTCCATCCAAAACCAATTTGATTCGAGTCAATTCCAATGCATCAGTCTCTTCTGTTTCTTCGACGTCTTCCACTTCATCAGCAGCTGCAATAGCTAAAGCCCTAGGATTGTCGAGATCCAGTGTGGAACGAGATCCGGAAGGGTATTCCATGGGTAGGCTTGTTATGGGAGGCCCTGGAGCGCCCGGGGTCGCGAGGACTCCGAGCGGGAGTAAAAGTATCAATGAACCTCGTAGAAACCGAAGTGCCACGGTCAGTAGTATGAGGAGTTTCAGATCAGATGGTTTAGGGAGGGCGAGAAGTGGAACCGAGGGTAGTGTGGTTGGTTCCAAAGGAGACCTTGAACAAGCAATGAAAGATCTGATGAACAACATGACAACAGGGTCCCCTCCTCAACCTGTACGTATCGGTTTACGTGACGACGGACCATCTCCCGTCATTCCGCCTTTCTTCGATTCGCCTCCGAGTACTCGTGGTTCTAAACTAGCGCACCGGAGCAACACGGTCGGTATCACTACGCCATATACTTCAGCCGCGGATGCGGCTAAGCTAGTCCCTAAGCTACCAGCAAGAAGCAAGACGGAGCGGGGTTCGAAGGCATTACATGCAAGTGCACAACAGCATTATGCTACTCCGAGTATTGCTAGTAGTAGCGATGAAACAGGGAAAAGGAAAGTCAGAATATGTATGAAGTGTGACAAGAGGATTGATGACGGAAGGTGGATTTCGATTGAAAACCCTGGTGGGGAGAGTCCTGGTGGTGTGGGTACAGGCGGGAAAAGTGAAAGAGGTGAAAAAGGCGAGAGGAAGCGGAGGAGTGTACTTTGTGAGAGCTGCTGGAAGAACATGTATCTGCCTAAGGTGAGTTTTATCACTTGCCTTGCTTTGTTTTGAACTCGACCCTGCTTCATCTCGCTTTTTGCCTTTTCTTTCTTTATCTTCTCTCACGAACTAGCTTGATTTTGACCATTTGATATAAGTGTCGTCGATGTAATCTTCCAATCGAGAAACAAGCTGTGTCATCTTCAGACGGGCAGCTCAAAGGCAAATATCACAAAGATTGCTTCAATTGTTTCACTTGCAATGTATGTTGTCAAACTCATTCAATGATTCAACCATGTTCATAGTATTCCCTCTGGTGTTTTGTAGAAACCCTTCCCAGATAAGGTCTTCTACGTTTACGACGGCCGTCCTCTCTGTAAATACCACTACCACGAGGCCAACGAATCGCTCTGTGCGGCAGCAATATGCGGTCAACCTATCGAGGGACCCTGTGCCGTTTCGCATACGGGTGATAAGTATCATCCAGAGCATTTGACGTGCGAGTGGGGCGGACTGCCGAAGTGTGATGTGAAACTTAACGAAGAATATTGGGAGCTCGATGGGAAGATGCTCTGCGAAAGGCATGCAAAGAGTGGTGCTGGTAAGAGTGACGGGAACGGCAATTGGGGAGATGAGAAGCGATTTGAAAGGGAAGAGGGAAGAGCGAGCGGGGCTAGGAAGAGGATGACAAGGTTCGTAGATTTAGGGGCGTTGGGTGATCTTAGATGAGTTCTTCGTCGGTGCATCCCTTCACTCTTGGTTTCACCGAGGGCAACTCAGCTCTGCTTTCAATCAAAAACTTTTTTTACCTTTGTTGTTGTAATTTATTGCATATTTCACTCTGATTGCTCACTTCTTTCGACTTCCCACTTTCATCTCCCCCTTATCCTTGTTTGCATTTTAGGCTCCATCCTATCCCTGTTTCAATGTCTCTCTTTTTTTAACTCTTCCTTTCTCTGGGTTGTATCATAGCTCCTCCCTGTTCCTATATTGGTATTGTTTCACTGTTTGCCAGGTTTTGTCAACTTTCTTCAACGATTTCCTTTGGACTCACACTCTTTTCACGATTCGGAACAAATAAGCCCCTCCACTATTTACTACAGCGGATCTCATTTCATGGACTACTATGCATCCTTTCTTTACCTTGTCCCATTCCTTATGCGGACTGACACTCTCTTAACCACCCTCTATTGGATACATTGAATCTATAATAATGATACTAATTGGTATACCAAAGGCAGTATAGTCATCGCAGCTTTCATGTGAATCTTGCAGGATGGCACAAGAGGTCCAATTATTAGGTATACTCGGGCCTCCTGCGACTAAGTCGTCGAAGTGCAATGTTCCGTTTACATTCGTGGATGAGGATGCAAAGTTCCCAAGAGGGACGTCCTTTCTTTACCGCGAGCCGACCAGCGAGTGGGTTTCCATGCAAATACCATAATTATACTCAGGTTTTGTAACTGATGTTAATTGAAAGCGTGTTACAGAGAAAGGACTTTTACTTCTAGAATTTGAATTCGGATTGTACAACATTTACTTATGTATTCTTCTTTCTATCACCACGATTCCCCTACTCATTGAAAGCATGCTTCATGAAGAACCGTTTGTGCACCTTAGAGCCCTCGGTCTCTATTGCGGATATTTCATCCACCGTGAGATCAGGAAGAGATGCAGTAAGAAGCGCTTCCTTGATGCGACTGACTTTAGAGGATGTTCTGCGGATATTATCCTAAATTTCAGAAAGTTAAAAGATGAAAGCCTGTAAAACGCACGTAACAACTACGACGTCTTTTTGGATCAGCCATTTAGAAAGGACCTGACCCGGCGACACGGTGGTACCGGATTCCTTTGACAATCGTTCAGCTGCAGAAGCAAGCACGGGATCCACTGGTCCTCCGGGTGCACGAACAATAGGCGAAAGACCTCCGTAAGACTCGATGACGATGCCCTTGTCCTTGCAGAAGCTGTAGACCTTCGAATTAACACCCCAGACGTATGGATGAAGCTCAATCTGATTAGTGTTCAAATCCTCAGAATATTGCCTATGAATGGACGGTCTAACCAATTACCTGATTGACGGCAGGAACGACGGTGGCATCTTCTAGGATGATTTGAAGATGCTCAACAGTGAAGTTGCTAACCCCAATAGACTATGTATTGAAAGAAGATATCAAGAATTCAGTAGGGATGTATGCGACAGCAGAACAACCTACTTACTTTAGCCAATCCCTCCTTCTTGATCTCTTCCATCTCCTTCCACCACTGTTTCAACTTTCCTTCTCTCAAGGCCACAACAGGCGAATGTATCAAAAACAGATCGACATAATCCAAACCAAGTTTCTTCAACGACTCTTTTAAAGTAGCTTTTATGGTAGGCGCTGAAGGGGTTTCCGCCAATTTCGTCGTAACAAAGAGCTTTTCACGAGGGACTCCAGAATCCTTGATTCCCTGACCAAGAGATTCCTCGTTGCGGTATAGCTGCGCACCGTCGAGGTGGGTGACCCCATTTTGGATTGCAACTTTGACAGCCTCGGTTGAGTCCTTGTTGAATAGCGCAGTGCCCGTTCCGAAGCCTAGCCAGGGAATTTGAGCACCATCGTTGAGTTTGAATGTGAGTGACATTGCTGTATTGTGGGTTTCTAAGCTGGAAATTGGATGGTATTTATAACGCGCTGAGAACCTGATCTTTCGAAATCTCTCATCTAAATGACGCACAGACCATAATCCTTTCTCGGAATCATTCCGGCCGCGGAAGCTGCACGGAGAAGAAACAAAAAATATCATCTCACACGGATAACAACTGCGCTGCGCTCGATTACAATTCAAGACAAAGGCGTTCAGGATCCTCTTCGTAAGGTCGTAAAGCTTTACATACTTCACCAACGACGATCCACTATAGCATGAGACTAGAAATCAATCTCGATCTGATTTTCCCCGCGCCTCACGGTCGATGATGCATGTGCTATAGCCAGATAAGCCCTAATACCTTCCTTCGCTTCTTCAATCCATCATGGACATGAAATCCAACGACGAGAATTTCGAGCAAGCTAGCAAAAAAAATGATGATGATTTCGATTTCCAAGGATCGTCAGACCATACTCATAGGAAACTGAAGGTGGGTACTGATTTCTGCCTATTCCTCCTGAAAAATACTAGGGAAGGCTGATTTATGTATCTCGCAGAGCAGGCACATCCAGCTCATGGCTATAGGAGGTCTGTAAAGCAGCTCGTCAAATACCATGAAAAAGTTATACCATTAGGGGTCCGATACTGAAGGAACCATCGGGACAGCTCTTTTCGTTCAGATTGGCCAAGCTTTAACAGAAGGAGGGCCAGGTGTGTTGTATGTGTAATTACAACAGATATCATTGCCTGACAGCTTCAACCTCGGTGCAGCAAGTCTCTTCATTGCATTCACTCTGTGGTCCACGTTCATCCTCGCTATCAACAGTTGTCTCTGTATGCTTCCGAAATCTGCTTCTTCTCCGCAAGCGATTGATAATATATGATTATACGCCAATCTGGCTTTCTTCATTACTGCTCCCTCTCAGCAGAAATGGTGACATGGATCCCAATTACCTCCCCATTTGTACGTGTAAATTTACCACAAACTTTTTCTTCCGATAAATTTTGACTCCCAAAATCTAACTCATACTCATAAATTGTCATACGGTTTGAACCTACTGTAGGTTCGATTCGCAGATCATTTTGTCGATCCCGCACTAGGACTATGCGCTGGAGTCAACTTCTTCATTTTTGAAGCGGCCTTAATACCATTCGAGGTGACTGCTTTCAACGTCGTACTCCAATTTTGGACAGATAAGATCCCGTTGGTTGCTGTAATATGTTTCGTGCTGTTGTGTTACTTGTGAGTCTTCTGGAATTCTATAGAAGACTGATCTATGATCCATCGCCTTACAATCGTCCTTACAGAGCCCTCAACCTATGGACGGTGAGGTATTTCGGAGGTAATAACCGGGTCTTTCCTCAGTTTTCTCTCCTTTGAACACATTGCTGGTATACCTCTCAGAGTCCGAGTTTTGGTTTGCATCCGGAAAAGTTATTCTAGCTGTGGGTCTTATATTTTTCACATTCATCACCATGGTTGGCGGAAATCCGATCCACGACGCGTATGGATTTCGGTTTTGGGACCGTGAGCAGTCTACCGATAGTTTGTTGTCCCTCCATCCACTGACAGCTTTATCGACGACAGCCTCCAGGGTACAAGGCGCCCCATTCGCTGAATACATACGCACCGGTTCTCTCGGCCGATTCCTTGGATTCCTCTCCTGCCTAATTCAAGCTTCCTTCACCATCGCTGGTCCCGACATGGTGTCTATAGCAGCCGGTGAAGCCCAGAATCCCCGCCGCATCCTCCCTCGCGCCTTCAAATCTGTATTCTACCGCCTCACGACCTTCTTCGTCCTCGGCTCCCTCTGTATCGGCATCGTCGTTTCGTACTCGGATCCTAACCTCCTCCAAGCCTTGTCTGATGCGCGCCCGGGTGCGGGGTCGAGTCCGTATGTCATTGCGATGCAGCGATTACATATCAAGGTCCTGCCAGATATCGTGAACGCGTTGATATTGACATCGATATTCTCTGCGGGGAATAGCTATGTGTATAACGCGAGTAGGACCTTGTACGAGCTTGCGCTAGAGGGGAAGGCTCCTAAGGTGTTTAAGAGGTGTAATAGGAATGGGGTACCGGTGTGGTGTGTTATCGCTACGCTGGGAATAGCACTTCTATGTGAGTTTACGTGGAGTTGGCTGTGTTATACCCTGACGTTACTGTCCTTAATCAAAGCGTTCTTGCAAGTGTCGAATAATTCGGCTGTAGTTTTACAGTGGTATGGCTCCCGAATTATTTTCCGTAACCACCTTGTGTTCAATGCTGAACTCGGATATTACTTCGGCTTCTGTGTAGGTTTGTCAATCTAGTCACAGCTTCCCAGCTTCTTAATTATGCAATTATTTGCTTCACCTACCTGCGATTTTACAAGGTACTCATATGCAAAAGTATTTTTTGCCTTTTACTGACTCAACGGAATTCAGGCTCTAAAAGTCCAAGGTATCTCTCGCGACACTTTGCCACACAAGTCGTTCTGGCAGCCCTTCTCCGCGTAGGTCCTTCCCCGTGCTTGATCCCAAGTCCTATGTGAATATTGTCCCTTTTACAGATATTATGGTTTCACGGGTACTATCGTAATGGCTTTCGTTGGGGGTTACACCGTGTTCTTGCCGGGAAGATGGGATGTTCCATCGTTTTTCTTCTCGTACACGATGATAGGCGTCCTCCCAGTGCTTTTTGTTTATTGGAAAATCTATCGCCAGACAAAAGTAGGTTTTTCTCCCCTTGAAGATGGCATAAGTTGAAGGACGATGATTAATGACGATTCGCTGTCTCTAGTGGCGGAAACTAGAAGACATCACATTTTTAGATAATGAACGGTTGCTTGTAGATCGTTATGAGGAAGAATGTGTAGGAGAAGAACCTAGTTCTATACTCAGTCGCATTTGGAATTTGTTGCAGTCGTAGGATGAACGCATACATAGATATTATGGCCTGACGGTTGCATACATTATTGTCTGCAGTTCGCGGGGTTTTTTCGCGAGGCAAATGAGACACGTGGGAATCAACTGGTTCCGCTCGAACCGCCATGTCCTTTCGGGAACTTGCAGCGTTCTTGTGCGAATATATCCCTTCTTTCTTCATCCAAGACAAAATCACTCCTACGCAGAAGGTACAGAGAATTCGTATTCGTCGCCAAAATCCTTACTGGCGCCTTCAACATAGGATAAATGTGTGGATATTTGTTCGATACGAATATGTCTACTTGTCTGTTTTTTATTATTTGCCGAGCTTTTTCTGGCGATGTGAGTCTATCCTTTGCCAATATTAAAGTATGGCTCACGCTCGAATAGATACTTTTGGACGGTGGATATACGTCAAGCACAATCTAAATGGATTCAGAATTGAATACAACAATCTCAAATTCCTCTACGACCATTCCTGCGAGTTTCATGTTCCTGTTCCTCGGCCCTACTTCAGCTTCGTATTTCGGAATCGTCTGTGGCCATATCAAGGCGAATATCTATTCATGACTCGTATACATGGTCATGATCTTCACCAACGATGGCTCACTCTATCTCATTCCCAAAAGAGCAAGATTATATCACAGCTTCGTTCATATACAATCGATATGCGAAGCGTTAAACCTCCTGCAGAGACAAAGATTGGCTCATTTTCCGGCGGTCCTGTTGACTGTTGTCGCCTCCTCGAGTTTGAAGAAGTGGGCCCATTTGTGGATGAGCATCATCTTAATCGACACCTTCGAGGGCCCTTGGAATTAGCCTCTCTGTCTCCCACTGTGTTGAGCTCTCAACAAAAACAACACGAACTTTGCGCTACACATAATGATTTGTTTCCTCGAAATATCATGGTCGATGATCAGTTGAACATCGTGGCTATCGTGGATTGGAAATCTGCTGGCTGGTTTCCCGTATATTGGGAGTACTGTATGTGTCGGAATTGGACTTATAATGAGGTCGATCAAGACTGGAAAAAATGGGTTAGCAAGTTTTTGGATCCTTGGATTGAAGAGGAAATTGCGGATCGGGATCTACTTCGTGCATATCCAAATTTCATGGTTTATTGGTCAACAAGAGTAAATCCGGATAGTGGGGATGGATATGAGTTGTACAAGTACTTGCGTAGTTCGCCTAAATAAGCTGATGTACGAGTACATCTATTTGTATTGGGTCATCTTGACCATGCCCCGATAATAGATGGGGTAGTCAGAATCAGGATCCCCAGATGCCAATGCACCAACACTATAAATCCGTCTATAGAATTTGACCTTATCCGCATCCGTGTACAGTGGAATATCCGAAAATAATTCGGCTTCTTGGAGATCGGAAAGTATACGTATAATCCACAAAGCGCAGCTCCATTTCTTGTGGGTTTCTAATAGTGGGGTGTCATCCTGGGTGGCTGGCTGACTTGCAGTGAATTCTGACACTGTGTTGATATTTGTTAAGATATCGCCAAGTTTTATGACGATATGGAATCGTCGACTGTGCTCGACACGAATAGGGCTGTGATACCGGGATTGCTCCCAATTTCCACTTTCATCAAGGACCTGGTACACGTAGAATCCTCGAGTAGTGTCATCGTTGAAATCCCGAGGTAGGTAGCAGAGTGCCCAATGGAAGCTAGTGGGAACAGAGCCTTCTTCCTCTCTTCTGTACAGTGCGATGTATGCGGTACAGATATCTTTCCGTGTCGTATTCATTGGTAACCTTACACATACGGTTAGTCAAGAACTAAGCATGAGATGCAATTAACTCACTGTTATCCACCGTCAGTATGCCTTGCCTATGGATAGTAGATAGATATCAGTTGTTGGTGGACTGATCAGCGTAAGAATAGTATACATTCGATCGATAAGTCAAAAAAATCGGTTATTAGATCAAAGGCCTGCAATCTGCCCAGAAATGGAATTGAGACAAAATTCAAGACCACTGTATGTCAGGCGCGCGGTGCGTTGTAGATTTAGAAGATCTTTAGTTGTACAACTATGTACAGAGAATTATTCAACCTAAGATTGAACAGCGATAGCAGCAGCAGCAGCAGCATTTCTTTCAATCCGAATATCGTAGCCATATCCAGCTCCGGGTGTTTCTCCGGGGCCGTCGTAGTGCAGTTTGGAAATATCGTAATTGCCTGTAAAAGATATATGAAGATATCGAAATTTGACGAGTTTCACAAAACTCGTACCAATAAATTTCCATCCATCCTCTTTGACGTGATAAAGGTTGCAGGTGTTACCGGAGAAAGCATCTCGGTGTCCCGCAGCGTATATGCTTCGTCTACCAAGCTCTTGGGCTTCCTCATCAGTCAAGTCCCATCGGTATCCCTGGTCAAGAACACCATAGGCAAACGTGCTTCCTGATCCAACAGAAAATAGATCTCCTTTGAGACGAGTACCGTCTGAGTCGACATAGAAGACAGCCGGACCCTAATGCGAAGAATCTAGTATCCAAAGGAAGGAAGACAAGAACAGGATCAACTGACCGTCTTGTCCCAACCGCAAATCATTGTTCCCTAAGTATAGAAAGAAAGGAATCAGGGAAGTCACGCCAACTAAATAATTCCCGAGGATGCACGTACCATACTCAGACCCATACCCTTATAGCTATACACAAGATTGCTTAGATATTTGCTCGCTGCTGATACAGATATACGTTCACGGTTCCGGAGCTCATGAAGTCGACAATGAATCCCAAGGTATGTTTCCCAGTACTGACAATCTGCAGCACCTCCAGCCATGGTACCCAGAAGATACGGGTTGATTTCAATAACCTTTTTCACGGTCCCGGATGCTGATTGGATGTTGTGACATCGAGATTAAATGAGCCACAGCCTTTTACAGACAGTACAACGCACCAACATAGCTTCCTGCCGTAGCCCGCGAATCCACTGCAACGATAACACCTCCTTGGAATCTGAATGCAAGCGTGGTGGTTCCGTGCTGAATCTTGATTCTACAGTTGGGGTCGGCAAAGTCATCGGTATGGAGTCTCAAGAACGCAGAGGGCTGGAAGTTGCTGTTGATAAGATGCGATATATACAATATATGGACAGACTCACGTCTGACACGGAAGGAACTGTGAAATTGGGTACACCCTTCGCCAAACTGCCGAAACCAGCTTCAGAGCCCCAGGCGGAATCTGCAAATTCGTCGTCTTCGACGTGAGATTGAGCTTTCCTCAGCTCGCTGATAGGTCCAGTTGTAGTAAATCGATTGGCGATGGAGTTCATGGTTGGAGGGAGAAGTCGTAATCAAGGTCTACTTGAGACGCGTCAGCGCGTTTGTTCTATGATTTGTAATCAAAGTAAGCGCCGAGAAACACAAAATCCGCCTTGACCCCCTGTTGACCCCCATTATTGGTTCATTGGTATGTGAAGAGGAAGGGTCGATATCTCCCTTCCATGATTCAGAAAGTATCTGATGCAGAGAATTCCGACATCATGCCCTAAGTAAGCGCGTTCATGATCAATGTTCTGTAATTTTCGTCACCACTTTCTACATGTAAATAAAGTGCAGTCAAGGAATCCGAACTTGGATGTTATACAACATCGCGCGCGTTTTTATCACTCGTTTACTCACTCTGAGCTTATGTATAAGGGCTTGTGCAGTGTTATTGTTAGCTCCTTGCTGGCTCTTCCTCGCACCTCGTCTAACCTTGGTTTTACCTTCAGGCTTCGTTACCTTTTGATATCAAAAAAAGTTCAAAGCAAGGCTAAGCAAGGTCAACTTGAATTCTGGACTGCGGTCAAAAAGCACCAGTTGAATCGTTTCCGAGTCTCTATAAGCATTATCAATATGCCGATTCGTCGCTGACTCTATATTCTCATACACAACCGGTCCACAACGATGGACAACAAGATGTTCGACACAATGCAGGTGCGATTTTAAGTAAACCTAGCAACGAGTAACGAAAGACGACGAACCGCAAAAGATTTCATTTATCCGTGACTCCGTCGCCCGCTTTTTTCTCCGCCTGGGAAGCCGCAGGTCGGAGGTTCATGGCGCTGTATATAAGGTCTTGATTCCTAAATCACGCCAAGGCTCGACTTCCTCTACCCTTGCTTCTTATTTTCTTTGTTTTCCCTTTGTCCCCCTTCGTTTTCTTGAGTGTCGCTCCAGGCCGGGTGTCATCTCAGTTTTTGCTTTTTCCCATAAGAAGATGGTTTTGATTCAGAGTCGTAAATTCCTTGGATGTCTGGCGTTGGGCACAGGGGTCTGGATCTTGGCCCTTTTCAGCTTGATGCTGGGCGTTGCTGGTTCAGTTATTGGTTGGTTGGAAATAGTGATATTGGGTAAGTTTAATTCGAACCTCCTCATACACTGACTCAATGCATTTCAAGACAAGCACCCTCTTCCTTTAGAGAATAAAGTTTTCCTGTTCATCCGAACAATCGTGCTTTCTTTGCTCGTTCTTCTTTCCCTGATAGGGTATGTTCTTGAATCTCGGGTTAACATATTCGTGTCAATGATTCCGTTCAGTCTCTTCGTCGGTTTATCTAAACGTCCAGGCCTCGCCTTCATTTACTCGAAGATGGTAGCCAGTCATTACATCCTACTTCTCGTGTCCCTGGCTTTGACTCTGGTGTTGACGTTGCGATCTGTCAACGATTCAGTTGTGGATCACTGCACGAACGGGACTTCGAACCGTATGATAATTGAATTCTGCTCCCCAGGATGGTCTATGGTGCAAGGTGCCTTGATTTGTATTGTGGGTGTTTCTGTACTCGTCCAACTATGTGAGCCAGATACGATTTCCGACCCAACTCTCCTCACGTAAATCTTGCTGATCTACGTTTTCAGATGCGTTTGTAATGGCCGGTAATTTTGCGTATCGCCTGGATTTGGAAACTGCTTTGGTTTTCCCCGACGCGTCCAGTTTCAGGAGCGACAAGTTTCATCCATTGGAAGACAAGCCTTCGTTCCTTGTATGAACATATAGCGGATGTTGCTTTCTATTTTCGTCCTGAACCTGTTTCGTGGACGGTGTAACGTACCTATCAACTAGTGCCCATCGAGCCTGTACTCAAATCAAACAAGCGAACTGCGTCGCGATTAAACGTCACTTGCCTGAAGACTCTCCGTCGTGCTCTTTATCTTAAGAGTTGACATATGCATCAGAAAAACCATTGGAACGAAATACTCAATCCGAGAAACTGTGATCATGATGTAACTAGAAGCATCGTTACAACAATGGCACGAAAGGCTTGAAATATTTGTCAAAGTACGCAGGAGGTATTCCCTCTCGGATTCCATCCTCCATCACTCGGTGCATTCGAGGAATATATTCTTGCCTGATCTTTCCATCTGTAACATGATTCTGATCTATGTATATCAGGGTATTTATTGTGTCGCCGATTCTTGCAACGTCGACCTGGCTACGAACAACCACTTCGACAGGTACTCCGTGAACTTTTTGATAGATTTCTGGAGAACCTTCATAGCGATCGAGGGTGGCTTCATCACGGGCATTGAGTCGGTAGATCTATGTAGCAAACAAGAGAAGCGGTGAAGATGAGAGATCATGTTAGTCGCTGCGTCGTAGATCACCAGATGACGGGAATCACGAATCCGTAGACCAGATCGCCTCGGTGTTCTTCTGAACGAACCAAATTTGCTACACCTCTTTCGTTGATGAACCATCGCCTAGATAATGAAACTAGATATATTACACGTCATTCACGTTCAACGCAACATACCAGTTCCTCAAGATTCCGACACCCACAAATTCTGATTCTGGGCATCGCCGTTCCATTTGATCTCTCCATATGTTGCTGCCATAGCTGAAGTTGAGGGTTACAGACGTATTGAGAGTCATCGAAGAAACGCGTTCAAATTGGCGCCCATTGTTATGTATCTCAAATCAAATTTTTAGAAGGGCGTCTACTTTTTCAGCTTTTCTGTTACGACCAGGGATCATCTAAACGTGAGGTCTACTAACAGCCACTTTTCATCTATCGCAATATAATGGCGGAAGACCGAGGGAAAGCTTTTCCTCTTGCCAATGCAGACTTGACGAACACGGTGTGTACTAGGTTTTTTTTTTTTTTCGCGGGCTTTCCGTTGAGTTGCCTTTTTCCGATGACCCAAGATCCTTGACCTCACGCAGCAGGCGGTGCAGTACAAGCAGCTGAAGAAAGGTGCTAATGAAGGTGCGCTGTTTACTCTACCTTATGGGTCCTGACTGACAGGCAAATCATAGCTACGAAAACCCTTAACCGAGGTGTCGCTGAATTTATCATCCTTACGGCTGATACAGAGCCTCTCGAGATCCTCCTTCATCTTCCCCTTCTTTGCGAAGAAAAGGTTCGCAGATGTCCGTCCACAGAACACCGATGCTGCTACTGACAATGTACTCCCAGAATGTACCCTACGTGTTCCTTCCATCAAAAGCAGCCTTGGGACGTGCGTGCAACGTTACCCGTCCTGTAATTGCTGTGAGCATAACCACTGGTGACTCGAGGGAGTTGTCCTCCCAGATCAATACTGTGAAGCTGGCTATCGAGAAGTTGTTGATTTAATCGTGTCCTGTCGTAGGAATCTGTATACAGTAACATTATATATTTGAAGGGTGTATAATGATCACTATTTTGCCTGCGTTCTGCTATGTGAAGAGAATCAAATATATGTACATAATCGCTTCCAGTCGCAAAAAGGGAACTCATGGATGACTAATCACTTTTCAATTGCCTCTGGCCCGCTCAACTATCTTCTCTTCTTCTCTCTCCTCTCTTTTCCCCCTTACTGGCAGTCATTTTATAACATGTCTGGAATCTGTAGGGCTCGTCTTTCCGAAGAGCGAAAGCAATGGAGGAAGGATCATCCGTTTGTGGGTTTCTCTTTCTGGTAGAAATGTTCGGAGATCCTGCGAAGTAGCAACAGCAAACGCGACCAAGCTCTTATTGCGCGTCGGATCTCTATGCATGCCTCAGGCTGTAACTCATGCGAGCTTCTGACCATTTTATGTAGGGATTCTACGCTAAACCCGCGAAGAACGCTGATGGCTCTATGAATCTCTTGGAATGGGAAGTTGGTATACCTGGCAAGACAAACGTACGTGTGATCCCTACAATTTGTCTCTTTCTTATGCCACACTGCCAGAACTATCACTCACAACACACTGTGACGTTTTGGTCATTGGCTTGTCGTGCTTGTCTGACATGTTTGCTAACTTCTGATGCTACATTTTCAGACTGCTTGGGAGGGCGGGCTGTTCAAATTGACTATGATTTTTCCTGAAGGTGTGTTCCCCGCCTTTCCCGATAAGCTTGATCCTTACAGTATCCGTTGTAGACTATCCATCCAAACCGCCGAAATGTGAGCCCTCATTTCTTCGGGTGGAACGAACTTCTCACAAATAAATTTTAGGCAAATTCACGCCACCATTGTTCCATCCCAATGTATACCCATCGGGAACTGTTTGTCTGTCCATTCTTGACGAAGAAAAATCTTGGAAACCAGCCATTACCATTAGACAGGTGTGCAGCACACTTGTAAATACTATGCCGCGACCCAATCTTAAGCCCTTTTAGATTTTGCTTGGTATCCAGGACCTCTTGAATGATCCTAACGTCCTTGATCCCGCACAAAGCGATGCTTACACTATGTTCAAGTACGTGTATAATCCTTGTCATGGGTCTTTACCTAGTGAACCAATGCACCGTTCTAGGAATGACAAATTGGCATATGAGTGAGTTCATGGTTCATCTACGGTCCATTTTGGTCTGTTATTAATCGTCTTTTCGTCCTTTGCCACATAGGAAGAAGATCAAACAACAGGCACGAGATAACCTACCGAAGTAATCATTATTCCTGTACAGTTCTTGTATACTATCTTATGCTAGCAGGTTCTTTCGAGAGCATACCTTTTATTGGTGTATTTAATTAGCCTGTATCTAGCTACCACTTACAAGAGTTATATTTGTCTCTTTCTTACCAACCATCATCAGCGATGTCAGTGGCCCCGAGTGTCCTGGATGTACACACGCCATTCTCGTCCTTCGTCATTGTTCACTCTGGTCAGTCCGACTCACTCCTCAGCCTGACTTCCCTGTTCTTCTTCTAAGTGTATATACATTTGCAGTCACACAGGAATCTTTGCAGTCATTATATGACAAGCTCACGCGCAAAGTACATATTAGCTACCATGGCGAGCGCGTAGGACCAGGTTGGTTGAAGTACGAGTTCAATGGATCTATCTGGGACCTGGAAGACGGTGAATACGCTCTAGTCAGCGAGGATAATAAAATCTCATTTTACAAATCTAGACTCCGATTATACCATATTCGTCTGGCGCCAGCAACAAATATCTCCTCCTGGAGATGATCCAGCTGCTCCCTCTTCCTCTGTCTCGTCGACCTCAGCTTCAATGACTACAGCTGCTCTTCCTCGGAATCCAATCTTGCATCTACATGATCCTCACCAGCCTTTACCTGTTCCTCCAGACTACCAGAATGCCTCTTACTATGTCTTTCATCCTTCGCATCAAAATATTCACTCTAGTGCCCGATCTAACAGGTCGAAAAAGTCAAAGAGCACCATACGAAAGGATAACAGAAGTAAGAGCATCAAAGGTCAAGACACCGAAGACGACCTAAAGCCGAGTTTCAAGCAAGCGTTTGACAAGTTTCATAGCGAGAACGGAGTCCGGACTGTGATGGGTAGCATAGGACCTGTACAGAATGGTATGTGGACCTAATTAAGTCTAAGTTCATGTTCGACATTCGATGAACTGCGTTTTCAACATATCCAGTTCGTATGCTTCTCAAGGCAGGCTATCGACACGTATACATCTCTCGTAAATTTGCACAGGAGAACAAGTTCATACCTGACGACGCTGCGCCTGGACTCTACGGCTATAGCGGGCTCGTCAACATAGGCACTTGGCCTATAAGTCTGACACCGTCTACTGTGCCCAGCTCGCTTCCTGACGCTCCGCCTGCTCATGCCTCTATCAGCTCGAAGAGGTCTCAACAGACCAAGGATAATAGTAAAGGCCCCAAACCGACATTGATGACTGTGTATCTTTCGGAAGAGCCTCATTTTGACGTCGTTCTAGGGCGATCGTTCATTGAGCGCAGACAGATTCGCTTGACTTCCGTCGATCCTACAGATGTGGTTTGTCTGGATACGGGCGAGAAAATCGAGTGCGAGCTTGTCATTTTGAAAGATGGCAGAGGTGAAATCGTCACAGTAACATAGCCTTGCTCTGCTTGGTGTTTCGTTTCTTTGCATTCGGGGCTTTTGTGTTGGATATTGGACCACTACGTCTCGTCTCCTCTCAATTCTTGCGATACCATATAACCTTTATCTTTAACATCCATTATTGCAACACATTGGCATGTTGTTTTCAATGCAATTGACGAAGAGTTTATATGATTCCATCTCACGATTTAGTGCCATTATGAGAACCGGGGGCTCAATGTTCGTTACGACCTTACGCTAGTTGGTCCTTCTCCTGTCTTCTGGAGCAGCTATCATCTCCTGGCATGGGATACTCTTTTCCCAGGTCAATGGCAAACCTATGATACTGTAGGGCCTTCGTCTTGGTAGACTTATCAGGACAGTGCTCACCCGAAGAGGGAAGAATTTTCGCGTCAGTATTCAGAGAATAAGCTTGGGTTATAAACTGTGTATCTGCTACGAAGCGATTAGATCTTCTTATTTTTCGGAAGAGCTCAAGGAGAGCCTCCATTCGACGTTTTCCCGTTTGTTCCATAAATTCATTAATATAATTTACTTTAATGTAACTCATATCATGTCTTCTGCACCTCCAGATCGTAGCTTTCCATCAGCTGTACTACAACCCAACAGTTTCCAATGACGTACAACAAACCTCTCACCCAAAGTCCATGGAATACATTCGAACCAAGGAATTCTAATTTGTAAGCTTCAGAAAGCCATAGCGCTTGAACTGAGACCCAAACCGCGACGCAAACTACGGCCTTTGTTCTTGACATTGTTATGTGGGGTAAGACGAGTGGCAGGAGCAAAAGGTACCATAGAAAATACTGCAAAGTAGATGGGGATGAGAAGAATAACAGAGAGCATTCCTCTCGACACTCACCTGGGATGTACATACTTTATTGAACACTACGAACAGCACCGTTTGGACGAACCAAGCGAAAGGTAGATGGGTCTCTGACCTTCCGAACACTAGACCCGTGCCTATAGCCAGTGTCATTTGCGGCACGAAGCTTGTGAGCGGTGATTGAAGCACGCGAGTCCAAGGGGACAAGGGATCGACTTGGAACGCGCTTTCATGGATGTTCGGATAAGTCAAGTATGTGAGATAAAAGTATGGAGAAAAATTATGTCGATGGTCCAGTCGGTGAAGGTGGTAAAGATATGATTCGTATAGGAAGGGGTATCCCCAACTGCGAAAAACGAGAGGATAAGAAGATAGAACCAAAAAGCAAGGTAAACATGAGAACTCACATAAGGTAACAGAACCCACTCAATGAAACGAAAGTCGACACGCTCAAACTCCCAAATCTGACTACCCTCCAGTTGACGAACTGGCCCAGTCCATAACCTCCACTTGCTAACGCACTAATACACGCAAATCCATATATTGCGGGATAAATCTTCCAGTGAACACTGACTCCCAGCATGATTGCAGCAAGGTCCCAGCGGTTCTTGAGCGCGCCATACAGCGTGAGGAGAACAAAAAGGGACAACACTGACTCGGAAGAGCCACGAGTTGATATCGAGAATACCATCGGGTTGAGTAGATGAAGTGCACTGTACAGCGTCGCATGTTTTGCTACATTGTGTGTTTTTGACAGCACGGAAGAAATGAGGAGATTGTAGAGGAGAATTCCATTGATGATGTCGCAAGCGGCAAAGAGATATTTGCCGAAAGAGGCATGGAGCCAGTCATTCGGTGAAACGATGAGGGCAAGTAGTGGGGTATAACGGTACGTTTCTCTGCTATATGGACTGCAAACACCTGTGGGTGACCAAATCTTTGTCTACGATGTGTATTACTCACTCTCCAAAATTGAATACATGGCCTAAAGGACCTCGAGCCGTGTTCTCATCTCCTGGTCCAGGATGTAAAAGAAATTGGGCAGCATCGGTGAATACACGGTAGTCGATGTCAGTGTACTTTACCAGCGACCTGGCATCGTGCCATTCACTGTACAAGATGAGCGCGACACGTATGACAACTGAGAGTATCAGGACATTCCGAAAGGAAGACAAGGTGGTGGTTATTATGGAAGAAACAGTCATAATTGATTAGTAGGAAGAAAGGATCACACAGGCAATCAAGTATCCGAACATCATACAAAAACTATGCTACGACCCAGCGCTTCAGACCGTTTCAGTCGGGGATCTATGAGGTAGAGAACAAATGGCATTATATAAATGGCAGAAGTTCTAGATCTGGAAAAACAATGTTAGCACAGAACTGATATTCGAGCCAATGAGCATTTACGTATTGTGATACCCATCGGAAACCTGCAGATAGTGAAACGTTAATCGACTGGGATAAAACTAGGCAAGGGAACACGTACCGTCCCCGTAACCCTGTCTTTGAACAACCGAACACATGAAAATTTCGATGGGTCGAATGTCGGTGAGCGGAACTTTGCCCTACGAAAACTCGTAAGAATTCGACTCTAGACACAGAAAAGACCGGGGTGATCACGGACCTTTCCAGTGGTCTGCCATAGACCCAAATGATGCCTCAGTTCCTCCTCACTGACGGCGCCTTGTGCGTCAATCTTATTTCCGAGGATAAGGAAGGGGACCTTGGACAATTCCTCGATAGCAAGGAGAGCGTCAAGTTCTGCTTTGGATTCAGGGAACCGCTCAAAGTCGGCACTGTCTACTAAGAATACGATAGCATCAACCTCAGGGAAATAATCCCTCCAGAGACGACGAGCTGACAAGGAATTCAGTAAGAAACACTGAGAATAGGATATGCGTGCACGACTCACCTTGCAAATGTCCTCCCAAATCGTAAGTGGTGAATTTGACGTTTCCAATGGCCAGCTCCTCGGAAGCTGAGCAAGAGATAGTAATTGGTAAGTTGGAGTAGGGATGATATCTGAGAAACACCGACTTGGATGCAAAGTGGGCTGGAGCGTAGCTAATCTGTCGTTCTTGAGCATGTGCAGCAAAGTCTACGCAAAGCATGACCAGTGAGTTCGAGAGGCTTCCCTTTGACATAATGTGAATACGCACCGTCTTTCCTGCATTGTCGAGACCAAGAAACAGAATTTTGGCATTCTTATGCAGCAAACCTATCGGAAATTCATATTTGAGCGTTTGTATACGTCTTCTTGGACGAAAGTATTCTACCCAGTTGAGCAAGGACGTCCCAGAACCAGTTAATGATGAACATGTTGAAGAAAAAATTCAAGTTGGCTACAAGTAAGGAAGAGAAAGATACACGCGGGGTAAGCGCTTGTGCTGCGCTTGACCGTGTCAAATAATTATACACGTCACGAATGGCTATTCCTGACTATTCTCGACCTCATTAGACGTTTTGCACTCCCTACATGCTGTGTTTGCGATGGAAAATATGAATTCATGTTTTATACACAGTCAGAGTGTGTATGTTTAATTCTAGTACATTGATGCTCCAAGAGCTCAAAGGAACAACATCATACAGAAGGGAGAAATCCACATTTACAATGAATGCGTTGGAAGCGGAACAAAATTCCGAAGGGAAGACATGATTTGAGAGGATGATTTGAGAGGGATAAAGTACTAGCACAGGGAATAACCACGGAATAACTGTACATGTATGAGAGGTCTGACACTCACATCACCATGAAAACAAAAGAGCGAGCGAGTTCTATAAACCAATCGAATCACTCTTCGCTGAACCGCATCGCCTCAACCTAGCGTAGAAGCTTGTAGGACGGGCACTGTCTAAAAGGTCGCGGTAGAGAAAAGAAATGAACAGAAGAAAATTTTATACTGCTTTGAATCACGTGCCGGCTTCTCGGCAAACCATGATATCATTGCGTGCCTATTTGCCTGGGCCTTGACTTTCAATAAATCGATTGGGGTATCATTTCCACGACATAACTTCCTATAAAACTCATGGAGTACTTTGACACTCAAAGCTGTGAACGGAACTCTTATCATTCACCACGGGTAAAGTTTAATTAAACGGCTTTGGTGTTCTTTAATCAGCTCAGTCGTTGCTCGCCTCTTCACTTACATGTACCGGTCTCGGGATGCCTGTCGACGTTCCTTATTATACTCCCCCATTCATCTGGAGGTTTTGGCTGTCTGCATTGTATGTTTTTTCTGCTCTCTATCCCTAATTGCTTCATCCTTATCATTCCCAGTGGTCGTAGCCACGGCCATCCTCACGGCCCACGAGTGCACATATACGACGTAGACTCTGCCAATCTCAGCGAAACAACCTGTACTCCCGCACTTGGCCGCAGTCGTACCGTATTCCAGGACATTAGCTGCGCGTCCTCACCCAATTCACGCGCCGTTTACGACAAGGCAGAACGCGGATTCATAACCCTCCAAGCACAAGCAGAAGACGCGCTACAACGGCTCATAGACGCGCTTTACCTTCCTACCAACTCGACCATAACTACTCGCATTCCTATCAGTCCCTCCGACTTGTCTACCATCATCAAGTTTTTCGTCTTCCTTCGTTTCAGAAATGGCCCCCATTATCGCAAAATCGTGCAAGAACTCATGGAACCAATGGATTTTCAGGTCTCAACTAGCGCCATACCAGGCGCGAAAGGAAAGACTGTACTATCTGTTTACAGTCCTCTGATCCATCAAGTCCGGTTCCAGACCGTATTGGAGGCTTTTTGCAGGTTCTTCGAGGGTGCCATATGGGATATGAAACCACTGTGCAGTTCCACTTTTTCTGATGGTGATCATCCAGATAGCCCATTTTCTCCTTCCAGTCTCATTCCGTCATATGCATTCAAATCGTCCGACCGACATTCTGTCCGAAAAGATACTTGCCTTGATGTGTTAAACAAACACTGTTGGCAGTATTCTCGTGAAGCGGAAGTCTGTCTCGGTATCTCCGTCGAGGCAGATTGCGAATTCATACTACCCGAATGCTGCTTCGGGATCTTAGACGAAAGCTTTGGTGGCGGTATCAAAGAATCCGAGTCGTTCGATTGCTTCTTCCCAATCCTTCCCAAATTGGCATTGTATGTTCTGCGCGACGAGGACGGGTGTCGCGATGATGTCCGAGCAAAAGGCCCATCTTTCATCGAAGTCGGGTCCGAGCTCGGGCTGGACATCTATCTGCGGAATGCAATGGTTTTATGTAGCATCCCTCATGTCCAGCGGAGTAGCGAAATTTTCATCCCTCACCACGATTTAAAGACGCCCATACTAGAACTGGACCAGTTCACCTGGACCACCGTCGACAGCACAGACTCAGACACCGCAACAACTCCAACCACTATTGCAGAGCACCTCGCTACACAACTCGATGCACTCTCCGCCATGGAAGACTTTCAGAGACTTGCTGATAAAGATATGCCTGAACTCTCCGGACCCAAACTGTTCTTCTCCTCCCTTTCGTCTATCGTGCGTTCGATATCCTCATACGACGAATTTCGTTGCCGGTGGATGTTTGACAATTTCATTGATTACAGTCGTTTGAAGCAGAGGTGCAGACATAAGTTTGGTATGGAGAGCGTAAAGAAGATGTGGACCCTCAGGCAGAATATAGTCCTGAGTGATCTGACTGACGAAGTTGGTACCGTGCTGTTGTTCACCATTATCGTCTTGCTGATGATCAACTGATAACTCAGGTGGATGTAATAGGTCAGCACCCTGTTGCTTTCGGTGCGTTCAGTGACGTGTGGATGGGGAGGTGGCATGATACAGTTGAGAGCAAACATCGGGTGGTTCGTCTACCTTCGTTTGAATCCTGCGCACTGTTCACCATCGTATATGTTTTTTCTTAGGTTGCAATCAAATATCTGCGCCAGGTAATGGTACAGAATGTACGAGAAAAGCTGCTCAAGGTGATTTCAAAAAAAAAAAACGTCTCCACGAATCGATCTGACACCCTTGCAGCGCCTTCAGGCTGAGCTGCTTACCTGGCACCAGCTTTGTCATCGTAATCTTGCTACACTATACGGGATCATGCAAACATCAACGAGCATCGGAATGGTATCAGCTTGGTGTGACAACGGAACGATATCCAGTTATCTCAAGAAAAAGCCTACAGTAGATAGGTTGAAGCTGGTATTATACGCATCCTTCTTCTACTCATTGTAGATTAATTTCCGCTACCGTTCACGCAGGTGCTTCAGGTAGCATCCGGAGTCGCATATCTGCACCATTTCAGCCCTCCCGTCGTGCACGGCGACTTGAAGGGGGTGGGTGTCTACCGAATTTCTTCATTCGTGATGGCTCATATTTCCACACGCCTCCAATAGGGAAACATCCTCATCGACATTCATGAACAAGCAGTTATCACAGATTTTGGGCTATCCAAAGTCATGGAAGATCTCTCCAATCTATCTCGGTCCTCGAGAATTGAGAGCGGGCGTTCGACCTCCACCTCGTTCTTTGCTGGGAGTACGCGTTGGATGGCACCTGAGCTTGTACTAGCGCTGGTCGAAGATGAGAATCATGAAGACGAGCGTGATGCAAGAGATGTTGGAAAGGCTGAACCTGGAATCGAAAGGGGGAGGCCAAGAGTGACCACGGCCAGCGACGTGTATGCCTTCGCTTCGGTCTGTTTAGAGGTAAGATTGTTTCTGAGCACTTCCCTCGTTCGATCTAATGGGATTTCCGCGCAGATCGTGACAGGCGATCTTCCTTATCCTCATCGGAAGAATGACTACTCTGTAACCGTCGACATTCTCCGAGGCGTTTCTCCCGCGAGAGGCTCTGACCTCTCCATTGCGCTCAAACGCATGTTTGATACTACCCCGAAAAACGATGGCAGTACGCTCAACTCTAGTCCGAGTACAAGTTCGCGTGCCCCAGCAGACGACGACGAAGAAGCTCTACGGAGTATTCTGGAAAGTTGTTGGGACGGACAATCATTCATCCGTCCAAACATGGAAGAAGTGCTGGTGCGTCTCAACGGCATTGGCACCAGTGAAATCTTGACCCCCTTGAGATTGCGTTGACAATATTGATTTTATGAGTTATGACCCATTTGCATTTGTTTCCACACTTTCAATGATATCTTATCTGTACACATTATGGCCATAATATCTCTTCATCACTGTGTTTTTGTCGCTCTGCATGTATTTTGTATCTGTATGTATGCATTGTTCAGTCGAAGAGTAAGATATAAGTGTAAAAATAAAGTATAGACACATATTCTATAACGGTTGTTGCTTGTGACTTGACTTGCGAGAAAATGTAGCACTTCAAACAAGATATCGAGAAATATTTCAGACATCCTTGGATGGCAACAATGTTTCAAGTTGTACACTGAAAAGCAAGCCACTTCGCCTCAAAGTGAAAAGAAGTTTGTAGTCCTCTTCATTGATGGGTTCCGAGAGCGATAAATTTACGCGCCGGAGGGGCGAAAAGTCCTTGGGAGGCTTGGCATTGGCAGGACACCATCTAGAAAGTATCGTCTCGACAAAAGCATCGTGGTCGAATCCAGGCGCTACCACTTTCAGAGTTAGTGTATGAAGGTTGGGAACGAGTGTTATATCAGATGTCTGCAAATGGGAAGTTTTGCTACAGCTGTGCAGGCTCTGCACGAACGCTTTGGAGATGGGAAGAACACGATTCATCTCATTGCAAGGATCAATGACGGTGAGTTCTTCGAGGAAAGGAAGTGTCTTCAGCAGGGAAACGAGGTCTTTGTCTTCCAGGGGCATGCCATCGAGCACCAATTTCGTCAATTGGGACTTGCAATGTGATTGAATGATGAAATTATCAATGCCGCGAAAAATGCTTTCAGACGTCCGTGTCAACGCATTTAGGGGACGCGGATCGCGTTGGACCTGCTCTAAAGCCAAGCTAAGCGTAGTGAGGGCGGGAGCAGTGAGCGAGGATAAGAATGCGGTCTGGAGCATGTCACTGCGATTCAGGTAAGATCGGCCGAATATAACTGAAATCGAGGTGAGTTTTGGAGCGGTGATGGGTAATTCAGGGGCAAATGGATCAGAAGGTCGTTGGTCAGTAAGAGTGAGATATTGAAGGTTCGGGCATAGTCTCAGCACTTCTGTGAGGTTACCAAAACTGGTTTTGTACGTGAATGTGGTCAGTTGGTCCCAAACCGTTGAATTTGAAGTGGTGGAAAGGCCGCCTTCAAGAACATCAAGGGTATGCAATTTGGGAGCATTGTTGAATACACTCAAATCCGCGCCAACTTGGGTGTCCGAGTTCAAACAGTGATGGATGGATACCGTCTCTAGTACAGGGAGGTCGAGAAGTCGCAAGGTGGGATAGCAAGACGTGGAGAGGGAGGTAACGTATAGAGAAAGACATTTCCATCTCGGGGAAGAGGTCAGGAAATATTGGAAGAGGCCACTTTCTTCATGATCGGGACTAGAGAAGAGTTGTACCTTTAGATGGAAGGTTGTCGATCGTTCGATATACAGATCAACCACCTCTTGGAGCCGCTCGTACTGCGCAGAGGATAGATACTCAGGATCCTCTAGAGGGCATCGGAACCGGATGGTGGTCCATAATTTCGGATTCCCGACGACAAATTCGCGCCACCGATTGCATACTGCACTGAGGACGAAAGGTGCAACAGATACATCGTATTTTCCCCAAGGTTCGACGTGAACGTCGTTGCAGACTTCTTGGAATATTTCGCCAAGGAGCTCGTTTGGAAGACGATGGAAAGGCGAACAGAGAGAGCCTAGAAATTTTCTGTAGTTCTTGGCCCTTGTGCGCTGATTTTTTAGAAATGAAAGCTGAATCTCCAACTGGGTGATGTCGTTGTCGTAGTCCCTCAGATCCTCGTCCAATGCCCCGACAAGGACTTTTACCTCAGATGACTGGTGTTCAGAGAGTCCACGGGATAACCTCGAATAATTGTGGACCTTCTCCAGGTCGATGGGGACGCGAGGAATCCGATGGAAAACGGTAGACATTGATCTATAGGATTTCATTTGTCAATATAGATTGATGGAAAAGAAACTAGATAGACCGTCAGGTCAAACTACCTTTAGTGGTGTCACCAACAAAAGCAGGAAAATACAATATTGACGGGCAAGAGATGTTTCGAGTAGGAAAAATGCCCAGGAAGATAAGGGGATAACGCTGTGCTTTTTAAACGGGGTTCCGGACCTAGATGAAATTCAAGTGGGCTGAACGATCGTAGATCGAAGCAAATTCGTAAGGTACACGAATAGAGCCACCGACGGCTACCGACTGGCGGCGATTTACAGAGTCCATGGATGAAAGCACGTATCTCGACGTAAATCGGCAGGGTCAAGGAAATGTCGGACTGACCTGCCGCGGTATAAGAGGGTATAAGTTCCAAAACAGATTACATAATCAGTATACCTACTTCCTCTTTCGACTTTCACAGGGCTTTTTCTGTTTTCTCCGTTATCGCTGGCTTCAGCTAGTCCAGCTCAGTTTTCTTATGACCCCCTGGACTCGATTTTTTCATACTCCCGCCGCTCGCAGAACTTCTTCTTACTTCTCTTCTAAAGCAGGAAGTGGCAGATACTTCAACTCTGCGAAACCATTATCAGCGCCAGCCACTCCGAAGAAGGCCACTGGCGTCGACAGCACAGAATCTAGCAAGAATGGTGTTACAGGGCAGGCTTTAAAAGTCGCGGAGGAATCTTCATCCAGCCGGCGAGAAATGCTGACGCGTTCAAGCGTGCCCGAATTTGTGCCTTCTACTCATCCAGTCATCGGTGACAAGGACTTCAAGCTTCATCAGTTCTTTTCTCTCCACAGACCTCTCCTCCTGCTGTCTGATCCTCCGTCTATCATGCGCTCCTCGCCACCAACGAGCATATTCTCGTTGTCCAAACCGCCTTCTGCTCATGCTCTTCCGGCCACCGAGGCATCACCAGAATTCGCGGCAGCTAGTGATGCTGAGGCTGCACGGACCCTCGCGAGGGCTTTAGCCATAAATCATGCTGGCGCCACTTTTGTGTGGGAGGAGACTCTGAAACATATAGGATTGGATGTCAATTTAGAACCAGGGAGAGTGGGGTTGCAAGAGCGCTTGGACAAGGAACTTCAGGAAGTGAGGTTGGATAGCACGAGGAGAAAGAAGAGAAAGAAGATGAAGAAGCACAAGTTAGTTTTTCGTCTACGTTCTATTTCTATATACTGATACCGTCTTTGCGCAGACTGAAGAAAAGAAGAAGAGTAAGTTCAAGTGACATCAATAGTGAAGGTCCTTTCTGACTATCACTTTCATAGCTTACTCGCTCTCAACGACTGAAGATGCGGTAGAACCTGAACAATTGCTCTTTACTTCCTAGCTTTCTATGTTGTATAGAAGAGCCCCCGATACACTAATTGCATTTCGTTTACATTTAAAACAAATCGTCTCCGATTAATCAAATCAACCCTGTCCTCTTACTCTTCTGTGAGCAGTACGATGTACATGTCATGTCGCTATGAGCCCTCACTTGGTATCAATTCGCAGCGGGGATTCTTGGCTATATATGCTGGAATCTGTGTTGTAACACTCTAGCTTAAGGGTGAGCAGTAACGGGCTTCCTGAACTATAGGCTCGAAAGAACGTGTCTGTGTTTTTCTGCTGTTGTCCGTCTTTCGTGCACATACATATCAAACCAGTGGTGAGAACCCCGGTGTTTGTTCAAAGACATGTTCTTCCGAGTGTACAAGCTAAGATAGGAGATAAAGAGGTATGAGTATGACGAACAACACCATGACGGTCGAACGAAGTCGCTCCTAGGGTGACATTCAAGTGCGTGTTCAATAGCGAAAGTTGCTTTTCGATCCTACTCACGATATAGCACTTGTTTCTATAGTCAAAATTTCTGGAACGATCTTTAGGAATCTACTCCTCATTCCAGGACACTGAGGCAACCGAGTAGATGGGTGAGTGAGGAATATAGAAGCGCCTCTACACAAGTTTTTCTTGCCAGATCATTCAACGTTATAGCCATCCGAGCCGCTGGGCGGATTTTCATTGGATTACGAACTTCCACTTTTGTTAAGGTTGCGAGATCGTTCAGGTAAGACACAATCCAAAGGGTCTATTTTTTTTTACTACCTAAGTATATACAATTGGGAGATTAGGTTTTTGACGCAGTGACTAAAACTGAGCACAAGCTGTAGCCTATAGCAACAAAGCATAGCTGTGAGGCTTGTCGTGAGTCGCTACCTTCGAAGACAGGATTAAGTTCACGAACCGAGTTTATTATACAAAAGTTTACATTTCGTTGTTTATGGAGGCATGATACATGAGCCTAGAGATCATCGTGAGGACCAGCTAAGGAACAGACAAAAAGGAAAACGTACCTAGGCTCAATGTCATTACGCAGAAGTTTTAGGGACTGGAGATTCCCTTCCAAAAAATCACATTTGATTGAAGCAAAAAGGAGCGTGTCGACGGATTCGGTTACTAATGCAAAGCAGAGGGACTGTAGATCCATGTCAGTGTTTGCAATTGAGCGTTTGGTACGAGGACACTACCCAGGCGAATTATACAAGAAGAAGCCTAGCTGAGACGAAAAGACTGTGTGGCTGTACGAGATTCTTTTGAGTAGGCGAAGTAAGCGAGGGCAGGCAAACGGAAGGGAAGAAGATGCCTACAAGATCATAGAGATGCTTTGTCGATGGTTGTTTTTTCGTGTTTCCTGCAAGATCAAGCAAAGAGAGTGGCGATCCAATGACGGACCTGGCATATGGACAAACAAAAGAGATGAATATTCGACAAGAACAGGCAGGTGTCAAAACTTACGCGTTGCAAGAAGTCCCGGAAAAAATGACGTTCTTGTATTGGGTCCTGAAGAATTTGATTAGTGCAAGGCCAAAGATGATGGATAGTGCTATCACATTCGAATCGAACTCAACTGGTCGAGGATACGGGTGATACCGCCTGTTTGGTCTGTCGGAGCGGAAAGCAGGCATTTAAAAAGACGGGGAAAAAAGAGTGTGCGTTGAGAAGAAGATGAGGGGAGAAAGAAACCAGGTCCTCAAGAGGCAATGATCTTATATCTGAGGCGTGGAAAAGGTGTTTGTTAGAACTCTAAATGGATAGAAGTCAGCATAATCTTACATACCTTTTCGTCAAAATTCTGACCCGCACCTAGAAACCCACCGTCGCCGGACGATACACTCCCAGAGAAAAGAACGACTGCCACCCACACGGACAAATTCGCCTAACAACTCTCACAAACGGATGGCAACACAAGCAACACGACATCAGGATTTGCCCACGCCTACGTCCTGCGATCTGGCCAGATACAGGACAAGTCCTTCGCATTGAAACAAACATGCTCGTGCGTAGAAGCACGCAACGAAGATTCGATATTCATATGTGCGGCCACCAGAAACATTCAAGAATGAACGACGAAAGACCAGAACAAGGAGGAAAGGAGGAAAGAAAGCAATTGGACGCTTGAGTATCCAGACCGCATCCCTGCTTCATGCACACTCTCATTTAGAATGTGGTCTCTCTAGCTCGAGGCGGCGTTTGTGCCACGTTACACCCTAAATAGGCCATAGGCGCGTAAATGTGTGACATTCGTGTCGCCACCCGACGAAATTGACTCGTCTGGAAATCGCACGAAACATATGAATACACACGTTGGCACACGGAGTTCTTCCAAGATCAATCAATATATACTTATTCTTCTCTTTGACCATTCAGATTCCATTCCGAGTAGGCAAGAACGTTCAAAGAAGGGAACTTGTATTTTGTACTTGACGCGATAAAGGGGAGCGGTTATCCAACCGAGACCTAGCGTGTTGGGATAGCGGATTCGAGGGGAACCGACGCCGACCCTACGGATAAACGCGACAAAGGGTAGCATCATTCTGTGCAGTCGGCACAGTCCAATTCTTCACATCGTCGACATGCTTCTTGGATGCGGGAGGACGAACCCGATGACATACAACCTATGAATTTTCTGTCAATGTCTGTATTGTGTGGGTAAAAAAAATCTGACCAGCGTACCATGTCCCCTAGTTTGACCAACAATCTTCTGAGAAATCGGCGGTAACAACAATATCACAAGGAAACGTGGAAGACAAACTGCTTTTGTCAGACTTAATGTATGTGTCATTTTGGTAAAAGGAAGTTGAACAACATACCATGGGAGGCTCCTAGTTCAATCCAGCAATGTATATGGTATCAAGAGTATAGCAGCATTGGACGCAGATCCTCTTGTCGGGGAGTTATCCTGAGATGGATGGTGTGGAGGCACATATTTGGATACCTGTATTTACAGAGATTTGTGTCTATGAAGAGAGGTGGCGGCACATCGCTGAATATTTGCTGCTGGGGATACGCGAGTGCAAGCAGGGAAAGAAAATGTGCGGAGGGCTTCGATTCACAACAGGTGAATGTAGCTCTTGATATGAAGGTAGGTGATTTTTTTAACTGCAGATAACAAGCGATTCCGAATAATGATGAATATGCAGGTTCTTCGTTCGGTATTATCTGGGGACTTCGGTTGAAGGCGCCTTGGAGGTCCAGGCGTAGATGATCTGTTATCTCTGGGCTTCTTGGAGAAGGGGCGGCTTGAAAATATTTTAGAGGATATGCTATTTATCTTCGCCACCTCCAGAGACCCTGGCTTGTCAAATTAGAGGCAAGGAATGTTTGTTGCCTATTTTCTACAATGACATTGAATTTCGTAGCATGATGCATCAATTTCTTCACTCATCATGCGAGTTTGCGACGACACACCTCAAGCCCTTGTAGTAAATGCGAAGCACTTCTTTTAAAGATTTAAGAGACTATGAGCAAGCATGGTGGTCGAGGAACAATAATGCGATAACCCGCCCTGCGCGTCAAGGTGTCGCTCATACTCTCCCAGGCTACCTCAGGGCTACCTCATTTTTTCTTTGCTTCAATTCCCTGGCTCAGCATTCGACCTACTTTGAGCATAAATTTATGATTTCTACCCTCAAAATTTTTCTTGCAGGTTTTACAGCGGCTCCGAAATCTTAATTCGCTACAGATTCAACGCATATGGTACTCCGAAGAGGTTTAGGGCCACCGCAAAGCGCTGTTCAAACTTGGTGATCCTTACCGACTGGGATGTAATGCAACTTCGGATGGATTGCGAAGCACGGATTGGTTTTCATTCGTAAGTTTTCAGTTTTTTTGAGCCTCTACAAGGCCATCCGACATTCTCAATTTCGCCCCACAGACTGCCCACTAATATACGGCTCATCATCCCCAATACAGGGACCTCCATGATTTGAAACAGAAGATCATCCGCCTGTAATTCAAAATTCAGAAAACATGAGAAATTTCGTCCTCAACAACGACCAGACAACGACTAGGGAAATTAGCGTGTTGACCGGGTATCTCCAGGGTATCTCGGTCAGTCTATATTTTGTTATCACTGCCATTTCATATGGTCAACTTATAGTCGCGTAGCCATCCATCGTTCCCCCCTCCTTATAGTGATGGTTCATGAGGTACAAAATCTCCGAATACCACGCCCACCAGTTAGCGTGTTTCAAATCTTCCCAAGTACAAACAATTAAAGACCTTTCGCCTTGTAGCCGAATATTTCTACCGCTCCCCAGCCTTCGGGTGATCTGGTCGCATCGCCTCATAGGCAATTCAATTACCAAGACTATTGCTCTAGGGACCATTAGCAGCCACTAGAACGAAGATTTTCTATCGCCAAATAATCGTCCAACCTCATCCACATCATTAAGAGCACAAGACAAGAAGTGGGTGAGCTCTATTTTGACTCTGAGAATTAATGATCGCCCATCGTAATTTGAATCGAGATTGATCAAACTTTGCCATATGTATGCTCAACTCAAAATTTCGATATATGCTTTCAATAAACATTGAGTGGCTGGCCTAAGCTGGGAGTTCGAGTCGGCGAGTTTCAATAGACTGGACGACGACATTTCTCTGACAACTTTTTTCATAGTCGACACTCGCTCAGTGACTGAAGATGTAAATATCTGGATCTTTCTCTGTGGCATTGTATCCTACTTACAGGATCATTTGATCTATAAACGCCATGCGAATCACTACATCTCAAGCAAAACGTATACTTACATTCATACCAATAAAGCCAAAAAAATTTCTCGTCATTTTGAGGACCGTATACACGTTCATTTCCCTCTCAGAGCCCTCTATAGACCGCGAGAGGAGCCGCTGCATCGACCTGTAGAATAGTAACAATGAATTCAAGGGGCCAGAGCAGAAGGCGAATATGGTGAAATAAGATGAAATTAATGTGAAGTATTTGTCCTTCATTGACATTGTCCGGTCGTATCGTTCGGACCATCTACGACGAAAACTGATTGGTACATGAATTCGACCAATTTGAAACAGAGTGCGAAGTGCCCAACAGGTGCCAGAGGCTTCAAAAATTACTCGTAAATATCCCTTTTGTTCGTCTCGAATTCTATACGCTAGACGCAACGATATCAACCACCAAACGCTTAAACATCTAGTCAATGATATTTCGTTCATGTTTTCTTTCAATAAGTATGTATATACAACGGGGTCCTACGGTCTATTTCAGACGAAACCAAGATCAAGCGTGGTATAGCTGTGGTCTTTCTCAGCCCACCTTCTCGACATGAGTGAATAGACATAACACACCTGGTAAGTTATAGTTATGACACAGTGCGATGGTAGTTCGATCAAGCAGTATGATACATAGGGTGCGTGCTGGAGATGATTGTAAGGACCAGGAGGTATGGATACGACTGAGAACATGCCTAGTATTTACAAAACTCCACGAACCGAAGTGAGTTTCCAATTCCCTCTGCGGAAAATATTTGTTCAAGCAGAAAAAGTGTGTGTGGCGTAACAGAAGTTGGTCGCCCTAGCAGTCCGAAAAAAAGGAGAAGGATCTAGAATTTAGCGTGGAAGATGTCGATGAACTCCTTACCTACTTTCCAATAGATTTGTACAGGATAACGATAACAGAGATGCAAAGAGTTGTACTAGGGTTCAAACATTTCTGAATGTTGGACTAGGAAGAAAGATGAATAAGGGGATGAGGGCAAAAGATGAAAACAAATAAAAGATATATACGAGCTAGGTTCCGCATTTCAAGCAAAAAGAGCGGCAATTCGTCGATAAACCTGAGAGGCCCGTAGAAAAGATCAGATATTGCCTTTCACAAAACATGAAAACATTTGTATGCACTACGCGGAAAATTTCCAAGAACGCATCCCAGACGAAGTAGTGGTTTATATCGAAGTCCTGAGTAATCTATTACATAGCTCAAGACAGCGAAGATTGAATGAAATTGAACTGTTACCTCGCTTTGAGACTCGATAGGTCGAGGATAGGGATGATAGCGCCGTTTCTGTGTGTGTGTGCGCGCTGGAGGCATTTGAAGTGACGAGAGACAGACTGTAAGTGTGGTGAAGGGAAGAAGGATGCTGTAGAAGAGCGTGGAAAAGGAACTGAATTAATCCAAAGCAAGGCCGTCAATGAGCCAACGCGTTACATACTTTTCGTCCAATCTACCATGCCGCCCTTTCAAGAACAAGCACAATGGGGTTGCCATCGTATTCCCTTCGTCCCTCTGCCTTGATACAACCGACAATGAAACATTGCCAGCATCCGCGGAACAATGCGAAAGACCATTTCTACGTCGTTCACGATCGGAGGAGCATTCAACCATTCGATGCATTGATTTCGCCTTCTCATATTCTTCAATCTTGACTCTTGCTGTGGCATTCAACCTCTTGAAGTTTACGGATCGTTATCGTGGTTCAAATTCGTGCAAATTCGTCAAGACGCTATGAACTCGAGTTAACTCGTTCATACGCTTTCCGATGACATGGATCGCATTCAAGAAATGCGTAGAGCGGACTCGATTTCTGGGGTTTCGGCTCCTCCTCCTTGCATCGCCAGCGCTTTGGGCGGGCATTTCCAGGCATTTCTTTTTAGTAGCGGCAATCGTGACACGTCACATCCCAAAAGAGCTGTGAATGCATAACGCCTTCTAAAAGTGTTTCCCAATCAATATGTCCTTAACTCTTTCAAGAAACGGTCTCAATAACCATTACGCTATCCGTTCGGAATAAACAATGTGTGTGCCCAACGTATTTGACCCCAGCAGCTTTCACGCCTGAAAATGATTCATGGTGGCCGGCGAAGTTGAATTGAATGAAATTGCTGGATCATGGATGCGACCAAGACCGGACGTTTTCTTCAAAGCGAGATAATTGTTCAATCAATCGTCAAAATGATTCTTCGAAGCATTGAGGACAAACTGACGGAATATGGTTTACGTTGTCAATAATTGTACTTCGTCAATAACTGTAAATTACAAGTACCACTTACCATTTATTATGGTTTCCTATTTCTTTCGACGATTAAACTGTGGTTTGGCCCTGGATATGTGGTAGCAACAACAAGTTTCTCCAGAGATCGCCGTGTGGGTCGCCGTATGTGTATTATAGATGGTGTATCATCGTTTCCATAATGATGCAAATCGGCAAAATCGTAGGTGATTCTCAACTCTTCATTCCACGAGTTGGTCGAACTTGACAGGCTTTCCAAAGCGAGACCGTCTGGCGACCTTGGTTCGGAGGGGGGTACGCTGATACAGCGGGCAGGGCATCGCAGGACCATAATTTTATCCGCCCAAAAGGTTCAATTTGCTTCTCGACCAGCTAATAATGATATAGGGCGAATCAGTAGTCTTCAAGATCTGGATTATAATTTGGGGGCGCGCCTCAAGAACCAACAACAAATGCACCGTTTCTAATTTCCAGCACTCCAGGGATGTTTACACACGGCACTATCGACAAGTCTGGGGAGCAATATGGCGCACGTCTTTCAATGCAGATCACGTCTTTCAATGCAGATTTGAAGTATCCTAAGGCGAAGGAGATACCTAGAAGCCATGAAAACCTAGAGAAAACGCTTGGAGGCCTTATAATGGGCTAAGAAATATTTATTACTAATGAGATCCACCGTCAAAAAATACGTGATGCCATTCCCGACTGTGATGCGCCGGAATTTATCAACCTGTAGCGCACAGATCACTCCGAATTTCACTCAAAAATACTTAGCACATATGGCGACTCTGTAAGTAGGGTGATCAGTTCAGTAATTCCTCACAATTGATTCATCGACATTTTGTCCTCCAATTTCCATTATAGATAGGTATACATAGGTGCATTGTCTTATATCAGGACCCCGGACTACAGACCAGAATGTCTTATCCGAAAAGACCAAGCACTATGATGCGAACCAAATTTGCCAAAAATTCCATGCCTATGATGCGAACTGGGGTCTGGCCGTCAAAATGGCTCAAAATGGTAGGAGAATACCAAAACTTTGCGTTGTTACACATTTCTGATTGTTTTGAGGCTTTTTGAGGTCGAATATTAGTCTCAAAGGAAAATGTTAAAATTACTCGACTGAATCACAGCCAATGTGACGACTGTTCAAAGGAACCCAAATGCACTGATAGCTTTCATTGCACACAATACTCTCCCAAATCCATAGACATAAAGCATTTAGAATGTTCATTGAGCTATGTATTCACTTTCTATCAGCTTGGATACTTTGTTGAACCAGCAACCATCGATTCCGAAGTGTAACTAAATTTCACTGTTCAAAGGACGTGGGAATGGCTGTAACATTCACAAGCCTGAGCAAAGCCTGATCCCAATCTTCAATTAATGCCATGTATATACAGAAAATAGCTTCGAAAGCTAGATTAGGACTTCGCAAAACTAATCAACCCCCAAATCGCGATGCGTTTATCTTTTCCGCCACTCACAAGCCATCTGCTTCGTTTCAAATTGTCTTCAACCGACATATCCTCGTCCTCATCTGTATGATCATCATGCTCAGACTGCTCCGTCGTACTAACAGATGTAGCAAACCTCAAAGCCTGACACCCGTCTTTGTGGTATTTCAGAGTTCCGAGCGGTTTGAAACTTTTGGTGGAATAAAGGCGAACTCTGATGAACCAGGATTTGAAAAAAAAATCACAGAATCAAGTGAAAGTTAGCTCACTTTCCGTCCCAACCTCCTACGGCACAGACACGTCCGTCGTCACGGATGGCGATACAAGCGTTTCCGGGATGTTTGGTGCGAAATGTGGTAGAGTAATCCTGTAACGTAGAAGCCTTTTAAAAGATGTCGATCCGAATCTACGACGAGATAAGTCAGAGACACAACTCACAGTCAAGTCGTATCTGCCAACTATGTGATCAGCAGAAACTGTAAGGGCAAATCGGTTGTCTGAGGATACTTGCATGGCCATTACTGGTAGATGGTCAATGAGTGCCCAACGCGCACTCGGGGAAAGTAAGATCGAAACACACTGGCTTCTTGATGTATTTTCGTGTTCCAGATGACTTCCCAATCCTTCCCCTCGACCGACGCTTGCCTCTCAATATTAGCGTAGCGCCTCAAAGTAACGTCCCCGCTTTCGTAAGCTATTAGTACCCGGAGCTCCGGTGTGACTTTCGATGACTGAGGTGATGAGGACGTCGTTTCGAATAGATGCAAAGACATTATTATGCCTGGTATAAACAATTAGTGGGAAGCGCTGTTTCCCAAACAAAGAGGATTGGCACCAGTAGGATCTTCTCCTGTTCTACCATTCTCAGAGAATATCGATGTCTTAACTCGTTTACCAACTGCTGCATGCAAGCGTTTACATGAAGGCAATGACCATACATCGGCCTAACTTCAGGTCAGACAGCGTATCCTTTATGTCTTTTCCGCATACCTCAGATGATTCAATTAGGTTGGGTAGTGCAATGAGCGCAGGGAGCACTGACGACGAATCCGTTGTGGATGTGCTTGCCGATGGCAAATTTTGCGGTAATAGGGTAGATCCAATAATTGATGTTGGGAGGAGGGAGAATCGGCAATAGTTCAGAGCGTTCACGTCCAGCGAGAACCTCAAAGTCGGTGTAGGAAGATCTGGTAGAGCAGCTGAGCCGCCGATACCAGAAGTAATTGAAATTTCATCCGGTCGGTTCCAAACGTGAAGCTTGTTGTCTCTACCGTGCCTAATTCACAAGTGTTTTAGGAGATATACCCAAATAACAAGTAAGGTCAGACTGACGGACGTGATTATTCCATTTCCATTCTCCCATTCCTCGATGCCCAAGAAACCATCTTCGTGAGCTTTCCACGACGCGATGGCGCGCAAGGTTCTGGTTGAAGTTAAAACTGCGCGACCTGACGCATCGCCAGAGTATATACGTTCGTTGTCGGGAGAAACAAACAGGGCAGCAACAGGGGATGTGTGAGATCGCAGAAGATGTATTGGCGTAGGAGCTTTAACGTTGGACATGGGTGTTACAAAGAAAGTATTTCAAACTTACGTAGCGACCCGCTGTGGCTTTTTATTCCGCGCATCATAAGGAGCGGGGTGCTGCTCCAATCTGTATTATATGCAGGTGATATGGTGTGTCTCATGAATGTACCCGTAGCTAGTTGTCAATTTTGGGGTTTCGGTTCGTACATATACTTGTCTACATAAAGCACAAACTTCACAAACCATGATTTTGACCCAACTCTCGTCCAATCCGCAATGGTTAAACAACGGCCCGTTGCAGAAATGTTTGCGCTACGCTCAAAGGACCGTAATAAAAGCTTGAAGATATGAATTCAGATGATCATCAGAAACGTTGAGAAGAATTGGAAAGAGTTCCGCATTGGATGTTTCCCATCTTTGCCACAGTTACTTCCCAAGTAGTTTCGCATCGACGACATCGCTCGTGAGCGCTTCTGGTCCTTCACGAATCTCTATGACCTTGCTAACATCCGCCTATAGTGGAGCATGAATCAGATGAACCAGAGATATATGGAAAATCTTACAGTTGTCTGAAAGTCAAGCAGCGCACTGGCATGCAGTGTGAGGAGTCCAATCTCGCTAGACGTTGGAGCCCAGTTGATTAGAACAAGTGGAAATGAAGTTCTTCCATCGGAATGGACAAGTGCATGGCTGTAGGATACCTGTTTATGAAAGGCAATCAACTAAAGATCGACTCGACTAACCTAAGTATCACATATCGAGGACTGTTCTCTGGAAGTTCTGAAAAATATCTAAACACATATGCCAGATTATGAATCGGAAGGCCCATCCTCACCTTCTGCCAATTCCTCGATACTGATGTTATCGAACTGTTCAACCTCCTCCATAATCAGCTTCTGCTTGTTTATCTTGATAACGATCGCAGCACTTCCTTCATTTCTGCGAGCAAATCTGAACTTTCTGAGCGAGTCCTTGATGGATTGAGGGATGTCTACTGTGTGAGACTGGAGTGAATCATGAGATACTGAGGGAACAAGGAGGAAGAACGCTTGCCATGGTGGACGTTGAAATAGGTCCGGTGGAACTCCGAATTTGATGATTTATCTTATCTCATGCCGACGGGATGCCTCACCTTTGCGGCACTCATAAACTTTCAGCGACCGTGTATTCGATCAGTGAATGAACCCTGACATGAGCTCATGGGTTTTATCTGCATCCGAACCTTTCTTTCCTTCCAACCGTCATGTCCAGGAGCAGACATCCTTCCTCTGTGAGGCCTGATTTCTCCAGGTCAGCAACTACCGCAGGCGATAATCTACTTATTCCCGATGGACCAGTCAGTGAGGAAACTGCCCAATTGATACACGACCTTGTACACCCACACCACGATAGCGAAGCGACTTTGGTCGATACATATACCACTGCAGAAGAAGAAGAGGAACGCGAATATAGGAGACGGTTGCCATGGTGGAAGAGACCGTCGCCTGTATGGTTAGTAACTTATCGGTGGGCCCATGGACTATGATTATTAACAACTATCTAGGCTACTAGTCTTGCTCCCTATCACCAGCATATCTATGAGCGCGACTTTGGCACCCAAAGTCGAAATATACACTGATCTTGCGTGTGCGCAACACAAGCCAGAGATTGCGGACAATCACATTCCTTCTATCACTCCTTATCTTCGTACTACCTCTGCAGTCGCCATTACCAACTTTCCCGCCACCTCTCATAATATTTCAGGAGAACTACCTGGAGCCATCGAAATACCTACGAAGAAGCCTTCGAATCCTTGCAAGAGCGATCCCGTCGTTCAGGCGGCTGTGGCTAAACTCGCGGCAGGTCTTTATCAGCGTCATCCGTTTAATGCGTTTAATGCTCATGAATGGATGAACGTATAGTCATGACTGCATGTATGGGTGTTCTAAGCTGCATCACGACGGGATGGTGGACTTCAGTACGCGTATCTCCTGTCTTTTGGGTATACTTTCGTTGATTTTTTCCTCAGTTCTCCGATCGTCATGGGCGTACCGCTGCTCTTGGTATATCAGTATTTGGTATATTGATAACAGACGTGAATTTCATTCTCGTCTACTACTTTTCTCGATCTCTACCTGGAGGATATTGGTTCCTCGTTCTTGGACCTCTTATAGAAGGTTCAATGGGAGGTAAGTTCGTTTCCACTATTACCGTCTGTTTTCACCATACCAAAAATACTATATTGTGCAGGCTTTACCACTGCTATAGCAACAATCCATGCCTATTTGGCAGATACGACCACTTCTGCTTCCCGGTGCGCAGTTAGTTTGAAGTAATGATCTCGTCACGAACTTGTTTTTTTCATTAAGTTCACGGATGTTCTCCATGAACCTGGGGCTTCTATTTATCGGCTTTGCGCTTGGTCCTACGCTCGGTGGTCTGTTAATCCGGTTCACGCAACAAACAATATACGTCTTCTATGTGGGCGCCCTCATACACATGATATACGCCTTCATGATCTGGTTTATCGTCCCAGAATCAAATAGCCAAAAGAAGATGCAAAGGGCTAGAGCAAAATATCAAGAGGAACTTGAACAATCGCAACGAGCTCGTGAAGGAGCCGGTATACTCATTAGAGCAAAACGATTATTCTCTTTTCTGACACCTCTGGCCGTGTTCAATCCTGTACCGGTGTCAGAAAACCCACTCAAACCGCCTCGTCAGGATTGGAGCCTTGCTCTGATTGCGTTGAGCTATGCATTCACTGTTTCCGTTGTAGTCAGTATTCATTCGAACATCCAATCCAGATGGTTTGTTTTGACCATATATACAGGGATCCGTCACGTATAAGTTCCAGTATGCTGCTTCAGCATTTGATTGGAGTTCGGAGACGGTTTGTCCTTCTATTTAAGTAAACTTTGTTTGCCAAACTGACATGGAATCCTGAAGCTTGGGTATTGGCTGAGTCTGGTCGGTGCGGCTCGCGCCTTCCATTTAGCTGTCATCCTTCCGCGTTTGTCACTTCTTCTCGTGGATATTCGCATGGCTGATCTACAGATGAACAGTTTGTATCAAGCTGTTCAAACGAAAACCTCCCAAAGCATTGGCCGAAGAGTCTGAGCCTTTGATCTCATCCCCCTCAAGTGCTACACCACCGACTTCTGACGCACGCTCCGATTCCCCGTCACGTCTCATGGAACCTCATTCTAGCGCATTTGACCTAGGCCTCGCGCGAATATCGTTGTCCGTGGAAATTCTGTCGTATCTTCTCATGGGCCTCGTGACCACACCTCTGGCGTTCACCTTATTTGGAATGCTAGGCGCACTAGGGGGCGGTTTTTCGCCTGCCTTGCAAAGTGTCGCTCTTGAGATGTACACCGCAAGGGGAGGCACCGAAAGCGGTAGACTTTTCGGCGCTTTGAGCGTGGTACAAGCCTTAAGGTTCGAAACTTTGGTCTTCTTTTTTTAGAACTTCGATGCTAGTGATGGATTTTGGCAGCTCCCAAATCATCGGACCGGCCATGTATGGATTGGTATACATGAAAACAGTCGCTGTGTTTCCACGAACAATCTTCTTCGTCTCAGTGGCTTCTACGTTTATATCTTTCGTGTTCCTGAGTTTTGTCCGCCTTCCACGAAGTGACGGTGCCAGAAAATTAACACTTGCTGATACGTCCGAAGAAAGGTCGGGGCCGCATACAAGAACAGAGGCTTGAGCCTACTACTAGTTACGTGAGCGTTCTTCTGTACATATTACACCTTCGTCCTGTCTACATATATCTATAGTTCACTCAGAACTTCTTATGAGACCCCCTAAGAACCCTCGTTTATGATCATAAGTGCATGTACTTCTCTGTTGTTGCAAAATTTCTCACTCGGGCTAAGGAACTTTTTGCTCACGGTACCTTATCATCAGGCTATGTACATCAAGTTCTCCAAATGTGCGGTCAATTCTGGGTCAATCCTACTGTCGTCTCCATTTGACGTCGACCTTCCATAAAGCGAGGATCAAGGTACCACTTGGGGAACTATTACCATGAAAAGGTTCAGATACATGAAGTCAATGAACGGAGAACGCATGGGCGGTGTCGGAAAATCTTTTTAACCGTGTCTATATAAACAGCAGAACCATAGCTTGCAACCCTGGCTCAGATGGCTCCCTCTCTAAGTCTCTCACTCGGGCTTGTTTCCGTCCTCCTGGTAGTCAAATCTTCTGCTTCGCTCTCTGATTATGCTCCCAATGTTACTGCGTGCCCCGATATCTCTCTCGTGCGCACATTTACTCCGACATCGCAAATACTCAACCCGTCCGAGCTCAGCTTTGTGGCTGGCAGGGAAAGCTCTATCATTCCTCAAAGCTGGCAATCCTGGCTAGGGAATGGTTCCGAAATCGGGTACAACACAAGCGCATTCTTTGAGTTCGCAAGAGTCGGATTAGCTTTTTCCGGTGGAGGTTACAGAGCAAGCCAATTTGGAGCCGGCGTAATATCTGCTCTTGATGCTCGCAATTCCACGGCGGTTGCAGCAGGAACCGGAGGCTTGCTACAAGTCGCAACGTATCTGAGCGGGTTGTCGGGTATGTATATTATTCCTTATATACACTTCGGGATCGCATTTGAATGCTCTCGCATAGGAGGCTCTTGGCTTACTGCCGGTCTATATATGAACGACTTTCCGATGGTCCAAGACATGGTACTCGGCTCGCAACCTGGGTGGCTTTTGCAAGAGGACTTGCTCGATCCCGATGGATCTCTCGGAATAGTGGATGTCTTGGAATACTTCGATGCCATTGATCAAAGCGTAGATGCCAAAGCAGCTGCGGGATTGTAAGTCCTTTGAAGAATTCGTAAGATCCATTTCTATTTTGTAACTCCCTACTTCCCCATGTATAGCAATGTCACGATCGGCGACGCTTGGGCCAGGTATGCCTTGTGTACTTTTATTCGTTTACAGTACTCAATGCGTTGCAGAGCGCTTTCATATCATTTTTTGACCGGAACTGATCTCTCCAATTTCTTCGACACATCTTCTCATGGTGCCGGCCAACTGTGGTCACAGATAGCAAGCGCGATCTTCTTCACAAATCATCAGGCTCCATTCCCATTAGTGGTTCTCAATAGTAACGGCACGTTCGACCTTACAACAGAGTCAATTCCCCTTGATTCCCCTGTTTACGAGGTACAGTCCCATATGCATACAATGATCTACAATGATTCACCCGCACCACTTGACTTCTTGCGCCATTCAGGTCTCGCCCTTCGAATTTACCTCATTCGATCCCGACATCTCAGCTGCGGCAGAGCTGTCATACATTGGCACATCATTGTTCGCAGGTGTCCCAGTCGACAATGCTTCATGTGTTACCGGCTTCGACCAAGCAGGTTTCGTGATTGGTACCAGTTCCAATATCTTTGCAGTGAGTTGGGAACAATTGTATGTGAAGATCTGCTCGTTGAATCTATCATAGTCAACGCTGTCCGCGGGTGATACAGAGGTAGAACTTGTACAAGCGCTACTCGGAGAACCCATTGAGGGAGAGAGTCCTGGGGATGCAGCTGTGTCTAAATGGCCAAAGTAAGATTTTATAATGGTCTGTTGAAGATGAGTGATTTGCTCACGCAACCTTTCTGTCAGCCCATTTTGGGGGATGGCTCCTTCGAATGTCGCCGCGACCAACGCAGAATTACAGCTGATTGACGGTGGTTCCAACGGAGAGAACATACCCCTCAATCCTTTGCTCGTGAAAGCACGGGAAGTGGATGTCATCATAGCCGTAGATGGCAGCTCGGATACCGACGACAACTGGCCCAAGTAAATCCTTTCATTCCCAATAATTCAGATTGAAGAAGTAGCTAATGTACATCTCCCTCAGCGGACTAGCTCTTCTATTCAGCGCAGAACGACTTTCTACATTACTTGGCGACTCTGTGAGTTCTATTGAAACAAGCATCTTATCAAGCCTCATTTGTCTCGATATTCAGCATCAACAACTGCCAGAATTACCCTCTTCCACTGATGACTTTATAGCTCAAGGTCTTAACTTAAGACCAACATTTTTCGGCTGCAACTCCACGGATGTTCCTTTGATCATCTATTTACCCAATTCTCCACCGCTTACAGGGGATGCTCCTTTCTGCAAGTATGTTATTCAACCTCTCTCCATAATCTCCAGTTGCTAATGCCTTGCAGCGCACCTACAACCCAGCTCCAGTTTGAAACAAGCGAAACGCAGACCATTTTGGACCAAACTTACATTAATACCATTGGAGGTTTCGTTCCCAACACTAATCTCCCCGACCCCAACTGGGGTCGGTGTCTGCAATGCGCTACAGTTGATCGTTCGAGGTTGAAGGCTACACCAATAATTGATCGGTCTGCATTTTGCACGACGTGCTTTACTCAATATTGCTATGACCCAGCGAATATAACTAACAGCTCGGAGCTGCCGAATCGCAACTTGACATATGCAGGTCCTGCGGTATCGTTGTTGTAGACTCTGGTAATTTATTAATTAAAATATGGGTACCGATTGCAGAAGGTATGTATATACTATACAGCCATTCACAGTATTATATTGAAAACGTTCAACAAGGTTCCACAAAAAATAATAGTACAGTATGTACCTAAAGTCGGGTATATTTGTAGAATGAACTCCGACCAAGGAGCCATTTTCATCTTATATGGCAGCAGACCTTGATGCCTTCCACCACCTATACGCAGTCGCTCCGACAATGAAGTTGAAAACTCCGACAACAGTAGATCCAGCACCGAGAAGGGCTAACAACCACCAACAAACTCCCACTATTCTGTCCAAGGTACGACCTGTATATCGTTTTAATGTCGCGAGTGGGTCGGGTTTGGGAGTATAGAATTCTGGTAATGCGATGGTAGGTATTGGGCGAGAACTCCCTGTGGTTGATATGTTGGATGGTGGTACATAGGGTAGTAGAAGTAAAGAGACAATGGGTTTCTGTGTGAGATTTTAATGTGAATTGAGCTCAGATGAACGGAGTCACTTACATGATCTGATATGGTGTAGGAGGGAATATAAGTATACAGTAAATTCCGAATATGAGATGCTTCCAAACTGCCAGGAGCATCAGAGTAGGTAGTGTACATGATTCTGTCTGTCCATGCTGGTACACGCTTCGTACTACGAGAAATGAGCTGGGAGGATTAGCAGAGATTGCAGAAACGCCTCACTCGTATTGATCCACATCACCCAGACGATGCTTGTACGTGCATTTGAATTGCCAAAATTCACCTTCCCGAAAGCCTACAAATATGGAATGCTTTCGACGTTCCAACAGAAGCTGGTCGAATTCTTTGAGGGTCTCCCTAGCCTCGGACTCTTTTAAAGCCTCCGAAACATGTGCCCAAGCGTTCTCGAACATTGGATGGGATTTGGGCAAGTCTATCCTGAAATTGAGGTCTCCAAGAAAGAATAGATGTGAAGTTGAGTAGATCGTGGTAGGTGACTTGTCCTCGCTGAAGGGAAGGGCAGGAAATAGAAGAGTACCAACGATGTGATGAAAGTCTGCAATTCTGTGCTGCAGTTTCTGTTGATGGGCTGTTAGATGTGCACAGACGAAGCTGAGGATTGACAGATTAGAGAAGTAGGAGCAAAAACGAGTAGTGTATTCACGTATACGTCTCCCCTTGTCGTTCTACGTCGTCAAAAACGTCAGAAACACGAAATCTGACGCCGACAGCGCCTTTGTTCCCCATGAATCCTGGACCACAACCTGTCCAGTTCGTTTGTACATCACAAACTTTCCGTGCGATTCCTTCATCTCGCGCATATACCAGGAGCGCAATGCCGACATTGACAACCTTGGCCAAGAGCGAATACTTTGCCTTTTCCGGAGAATGCTCTTCTATCTGGGAAAGGATATGGGAGCTTCGTTGGTCGATGACAAATTTGGAAGCACCAGAGACTGTGAAATAGAGTTGCAGGGGTTTAGGATATCCTTGAAGGATCGAGATAGAGTAAACGGAGCGTACGCCCTAAATGTAACGGCAGCAGCTCCTGAAAACCAACAACTACAATGTCTGGGCCTCGAGGCGAATGTGAGAGAAACGAGGAAACTTGAAGAGTTGGAGAAAGCCAGTCAACGAGATCTTGAGGAAGACCTGACGAGCCTTGAAGGGCTGTGTTATAAGAGGCAATTTGTACAAGCAATTGCTCCTTGGAGTTGGGAGCCGCAACGGACATGACCGTTAATGGTAGGTATATGTAATTGGTATCTATCAATTATTTAACTATAGACTTAGTTTTAGAGTTTTCTTCATCTAAATTTGTACAACTGTCTTTGCGTTATTTGGGTCCTTGAGAAATGCCCAAATCCCTAATCGTTCCTGTTGCAACATCGTACACCCAGCCATGAACCCAAACTTCCTTTCCTTTAGGACTCTTGCCATTCGCCCAGGCATTCGCGATGACCTTTGTCCGGCAGAGGTTGTCAACCTGCGCCTTGACATTTTCCTGGACGAGGAGAGGAAGAGCCTCATTGGGAGGAGCAGAGGAAATTTGTAGACTCGCAGCCAGAGTTGTAAGAGGCGCAAGCCAACGGTTCAAGGGTGCATCAACTGGATCGACGGGGATGGTGATAGGCATTTCGCCGGGGACGAAAGATGCGCATGCACCGAAGGAGGCTGCGGCTGCCCCGCACTCGGTGTGCCCACACACAACGACTACAAGAGAAGACGGTTGGGATGTAGTACAGTTGAAGGTTAAAGAAAGAAAGCACCGTGTTCTACGCCAAGATGCTCGACTGCATAAGTTAACACTGCAAGCATATTGTCATCATCCAGGTTGACTTGGCTGTGAGCGACAGTAAGCTACGGTGCAAATTAGAGAACCTAATCAATTACACACTTTCCAACGTTACGGTTGACGAAGATATCTCCAGGTTTTGCACCTGTGATAACAGATTCTGGGACTCGGGAGTCAGCGCACCCTATCCAGAGGGTCTACAAAGCAGCAGATGAGTGGAGTTTTATTATTTCGAAAACAAAGTTACTGACGTGGGGCGCCTGGCCTTTGGCTGACTCTTTGAAGAAACCGGGTTCTAGCTGCTCGACGTCCTTGGCCCACTGGGCGTTGGCAGAGAGCAGTTGAGTGATAGCAGGGTGATGGGACATCATGGAAGAATAATAAAAGCAACCCGAGACGTCCCGCTCTTTATATCAGTTGTCCCATACGACCACGGTCGGACAGGGGTTCCATTATTAGCTCAAGCCTCAATGCCAAATGGTTGATGTCTATTCCGGATCGTTTTATGGTCCAAACACTGATGGTGGTGTTTAAGCAATTAAACACTTCCTAATATCCACGCAAGTGAGTTTCTTTAACAAAAGTCCAGCCGGTGCCAGACAAAACCAGGCGGCAGTAGCGCAGGAACTATCACCCCATCGTGGTTAGGTCACGGAACACACAATCGATAGCTGATCACGTCCACTGAACCATCGGGCATGTGGCTTGGTGTAGGGCTTACGCATAGGACATACAAAGAACATGTAAAGGAAGAACGGAATTATTTTTAGCCAGCGACGAAGCCGCTCGGAACTCTCCTTCTCCGAACGGACGTATCATGTAGTAAAGAGATAGCGACCCTCGAACAACCCTCCCCAACTTAGTTCATTTGCCTGATAAGCTTGTTGATGTTGGTCTCCCGGTCACCGAAGTCACCACCCTGGACATAGTGCTTGAACTTCCGTGTTCTCCAGCCACCATTGGGGTTGGAAAGCTTGAAGGGCCATAGGAAGTTAGAGGCCTGAAAAGAGTGAGGATAACCAACGGGTTATATACAAATTTAAGTGAAGACACATACCTGTTTGAAGTTGGGGCCGACAGTGATAATTTCGTGAACAAGATCTTCGATGGAGAGTATGTTATATTGGCCAAGGGCTTGTTCGATGACGGCGTTGTTGGAGAGAGGAATGCGTTGCTTGTCGACTTTGCCGTACCCCCGTTTGTAGATCAACTCACGCACGGACTTCAGGTTAGGCTCGCTGCAAAAAAAAAAAACAGATAAATTTCTGGCTGTGATAACCAGACGATCACACGCACCCATAGGTGATATAAGGCTCGACGAGACGGAGCATCTGTTGAGTTGCCCTAGTAACCTTAACAAAAACACCGTTGTTGATTTGCAGTAAACGAAGGAGTTGCAAAATCTTCCGGGGTTTTGGTGCAATCTCGTTGATACTAAGCACAATATTAAAATCTTGCAAGAAAAGACAAGAGATATCCACGAACCCACGAATCCTGACAACAAAGTACACTTTGGGCTGAGCGGGCACGTAAAAGTCACCAGCGCTTCGTGCAGCCCTCTTCAGCCGTATCTCCTCCTTCTCCTGCGAAAGATACTCCTTCACATACGACTCTGCACGTTTAAAAATGACCTTTCGCTTGGTTTTGTTGGCCTAAGAGAGAAAAAGGTTTCGTCAGTCAAAAGTCCAAACGATAAAAGCACAGAAGAATCAGTCCCGAAAGATGGTTAATTGAAAGGCAACATCGCAGGGTTACTGCTAGCCAATCGTCGAATAGATCGTATGCATCATAATTCCAATGGCATCAAAGCACTAGTATTCACCTTGCGAGCGGCAGCGGCAGCTGCGAGGCGCTCCTCGCGAGCCTTTTCGGTTTGTTTTCTCTTCTTGAGGAGAGTCTCCGGTACTTCGATTGCCTGATATGATGAGAAGATAGAGGAGGTCAGCACGGTGAGTTATAGCATGAGCGATATACTGACAGAAGCACTCGGGACGGTCGTGGAGGGCGCCATTTCTTGAAGTCTTGCTGGGCGATGGACGAAACGAGGAGTATGACAAGTTTTCTATTTCGTGACTGTGGGAGCTACCTGTACAGTATTTGTAAGCAGATAGACGCCTCAGTTTCGTCCGCGCGCTTACTTTCTTCTTCGGTCAGGGCCAGGCAGGCTCGCTTAGACTGGGTTGTTTCACCACAAATGTATCCAGGACCATGCTATCTTTTTTCACAGAGCAATGTAGGCTTCATCCAGAGTTCATCTGTTAAGGATACGTTCCTCAGCAGAAACCCGGCGCATTGTGACCTTACACAGAGCGCCGAGGACCGCCTGCGAATTGAATATGACTCAACCCTGTTTACCTTGGCTGTGCCCCTCTGCTCGCCGGCGGGAGGTAATCGTTTCATATTCACTGTCAGGCGATCACAGAAAGGTTCAGCGCACAGCAAGATCAAATAGTGGCTTTCAAACATGCATATATCATAGACCCTCGCCATCGTTACGTTCGTTCACCTCTCTCTCCTAACTCTCTTTAGCCAGTTTGTCCTATGAACTCACCAAATTCCACAACCATATCGTGCGTTCAATATAGTTGGGCAAGTCCACTATTTGGTGATTGGCATCCCCTTCTGATTGTACTGATACTTGTCTTTAATCTTAGGCCAGTAATTCCCTAGGTCAAAATCCATGCGACATAGCTGAACGACTTAACTCTGTTTGTTCCACCTCCAATGGGTGTAAGTTGTTCAGACTTGATGCATTAGGTATATAACGATTGACACACATAATGCTACGCAGCGTATTTCGTCGAGCTGACCTCTGACGATGAATACACACTGTCATCGGAAGATCAGAATCCCTGTCTCTGCACCTCTGTGGTTTACAACCTCGTGTCGATGTGTCGACTATGTCAAACGGAAAATGGAAAAATCTATCCAACGTAGGCGACCAACAGTACTCGTCGAGTCTTAGTAATAGCTTGTTTGTTGCTGCAGGTGGAGTCAGTGGACGGCAAATTGCTCCAGTTTGAACGCAGGGTAGGCCTGTTCATCATCCTTATTTTGTCCTTTACTAAATCGTAAGCATGATAGCTTTCCCTTGGGGTTACCAGGTACTTTATTGATCGTTTACTCGTTTATTATATTCTAAACACAGGCCAGGCGGTACTGCAGTACCGGATTGGGCATATCAGGATGTATCGGTTAGTTTCCTTTCTTTTGCATTACCATCCCGTCTTACCGTGTTCAGGGGACCAATGCATTCAACGAAACTCTAGCGGCAGATGTTGCAACCACAGGTGCGAACTTCTTTTACGATTAGTGTCCTGCGTGACTAATGTGTTTCTTGGGTGTTAGATCACTCCGAGTCATCTAGTTCTACATCGCCTTCCTCAACGAGTACGACATCACCAACAAGTTCTTCCGTGGGCGTTCCGAGTGATAAGGGCAACAGAACCGCCATAATAGTTGGGGGAGTTATCGGTGGACTTGTCGGTCTGGCGCTTTTAGCTGTCGTAATCTTGTTTTTTATCAGACGGCGGAGACACTCGAGAATGGCTCCTTCAACTGCCTATTTGGAAGCCAATCGAAGTAAAGAAGATACCGCTTCACGAGGTAGATATGTGCCAGTTGACGGGTCCAAAGCTGATGTATAGTGGCTTCCTTTGTCAATGGGCGGCCGGTAATCTGATGATGTTGTTAATAGCAAGGGGTTCCGGACTTGCCTTATAATATTGCCAGTGATGATAATTCCTCGTTCTCGTTTGTGGGTCATTTTCTCTCATCTCGTTTAAATGTTATTTTCTTTACTGATTCCTGGATCAGGATCCCTACGATCCATCGTTGACAACTTCAGAAAAGAAATCCGCCCAGTGAAAAAGAACGCGGATCTCGTTCGTATCATCGTTCATTATCAGTTATACCAGGTTATACCCCCTTGTCGGACTTTTGCCACATATACCCTCGTTCATATACATTTTATACAACGAATGCCTTTCCGTTGAGGAATTGAGAAGATGGGTAGATCATTGATGATGGAGTTGTCATTTCCGGTATTCAATATATTCTTCAAACATCAAGCGTGTAGCTGAGGTCCCCGAAGCAGATGTGTGAATGATTTTATCAGTTTGCTGGAAAACCCAGAGGCTATACCGTAGCTCGAGTCTGCCTAGGGGAGACTACTGGAAAACCAGTTTACGTTTCCAGTTTTTTTTTCTGCCTCTTGCCAATTAAAAAAGATGCGCGAACTTACTGCCGACATGATGCCAGACTTTTTTCCCATTCCTACTGTTACGGATATTCTTCTATCAAGCCCAGTTCCAAAATCACGTCCCATCCGAAATCTTCAGCGTTCTATGTCGAGGCTGGAGTCATATTCTCATAACTCAGCCTCGTTCAGCGCAAATCGTCATTGAAGCGTTATCAGGAATGGTCAAGTAGGGCATATACCTGTTCAATCAGAGAATCGAAATTGCAAAAGACGCATCCGATACTTGTGACTATATGAGTCAGACATTAAGTATCCCAACTTCTTCAGATCCCACGAATAGCAACAATATTGCGCAAAAAGAGTTTTTGAAACGAGTGTGCGGTATTGGTTGAAGGCGCCCCCAGAAAACGTCGATTTCGCAGCTTCGCCTCTCTCAAAATATCAACTGGGAGCAACTCGAGTTAGAGACAGACTCATAGAGATTCGGACTCTTGCTCTTTCTGGGGTCGAGACTATCTCGCGAAGAACAAGATACATTTCATTCCTGCCGCCACCAACGTGCTTTATCTTCTGATGCGACTTTCTAGTCTCTACTTCACCGACGTTCTGCTAGGAAAAAAAGTGGTCGCAATGTACACGAGTATTTTTGGTGAAATTGACTAAGCTCTTTAATGGGTTTCAACGTCAAAAGCTAGACACAAATTGGCGCCGCATGGTGAACTGCATCTCGATCGGCATAGTATCGTTAAGATTTTCGTCAAATCGTAGCACTAGAATCCCCTACACCCGAGAGACTTCAAGAGACGGGTTGGATGCAAACTCTCTGCGATACAGGCACAACACTTTGACGACCTGGATATTTTCTCGAGAATGTGTCAGAATAATTCTTGCAAAATCGTTAAAGCGTGGCTTCGCCGTTGGCTCTGTGGTAAAGCGTTCAAATGGCAATGCTTACGTCCATAAAGACAACAGGCGAAACGAAGAGGTGAAAAGAAGTTACCTGAAAAAAGAATGGTGCACGTTCAGGTTAGATTAGGATAGTAAACTCTATGAAGTTCTATCGTTATTATGCGCTCGGAATATCAAGGGAGCTCAAGAGCTGGAGGCCGACCTCGAATATGTTTAAGATCTGCTTGAGCGATATCGATTCCAAAGAACTCCCGCAAGATAGCAATTCTTTCCATCTCTGTATGGAAGACCTTTAATGTCTCTGTACGTGTACCGACATGTCGTTTGAGTTCATTCGCATACAATCCCAAGCGTCCAAGATATCGAGACCTCAGAGAATGATCCCATCGCGGGGTACCTCCTGCAGAGTACACATCGCATTCGAATGTTTCAAGCATGCTGTTTTTCACCAATTCTGCCTCCATTTCTTCATCACTCAGCCAAAAACATCTTGCACAGACGATATTGTTCATGAATAAGGATTCTTTTTCGGCCCATGCTCCTGTATAGATGCCGATGTTCGAGCATTCGTAGTCCATGTCGAAGAACTCGTCTTCAATGAATGAGTACATGATTCTTGTGGAGGTAGGTCCGCTATCCGAAGCATGCGTGACAATAAGACGCCACTCTACTCCTGCAGGTTCTTTAGAATTGGGTATCTGCTCTGCAGAGAGAAGAAAAATCTATGAACAATTTCCCTCATTTCGAGTAAATGCCCACCGAGACTTGATTCGACACGTCCAGTCTTCACCAAGGCGTGGCATTCCGAGGGTGAAGCACCCATAACTTTAGCTCCATTTTTCAAAAGAATTGGACGCGTTATGCAGGATCCTCCTCCGCTAGCATCTACGACATAGGTGATATTACTACCCTTGAGAGGCTGAACAAAGAGTACTTCATGTACGAATGAGAGGAAATTTGGAGGAGAGTTGGCTGGAGCGGTGTTGATTCTTCCTGACCCGGAATACGCACTGTTACGAAATGAATGAGCTATCGATGTCAACAATACACAGGCGCCGAGTCACCGATATCCCAGAGCTTTAATCATCTGCAGAAAAAGTGTATTCTGTCCAAAGCAGTATGACCCTTTTCCTTCCACTACAAAACGTCGATACAAAGCAGGAACACTAATGTCCATTGAATGATGGCTTGTACTAATGAGCTTAGCGGTAAGTTTCATTGTACTCGAGTGAATGATCATTTCACGCACTAGTGCATCGCTGTGTTCTCGAAGGCAAAAGCAACGATTTGAAGACGCTGTAGAAGACACAAATTATCCAAGTCAGCTTCAAAATCACCGACATTGTCTTCAGACCAGCTCCCGGGATATTTTATACGAGAGAGCCAGTTAGCAGCTTGGGTCTTGTTGTATAGCGAGGGAGTCTGTTTGATCCATAGACCGTCGCGAAGTTGGCCGTCCTGCTGCATTTGTAGAGGCTCAGGTAGAGTAATCGACGTCGACCAGACGGAGGCGGTGATGATTGATCATTGTGGCGGAAGGAAAGCCGCTTACAGCCGTCGGAACTCGGATCGTTATGGCGAAAAAAGTTTCTTTTTTTACTTGAAACCACAAAGATGATTGCTTTGACCGAGACTAATCTACCTGATCTTACCCTTCTTTCAAGAGGAAAAGTGCGAGATGTATACAGCACATCCTCACCAGAGCACTTGCTTTTCGTCGCTACGGATCGGATATCAGCTTACGATGTTATTCTAAGGAATGTACGAGTCTAGTTCCTCAATTCCGGAAGGATTGGGAAACTAACCATGGTTCGGCAATCCAGGGCATACCAGGGAAGGGAAAGCTCCTTACTCAAATATCTTTGTTCTGGTTCTCCAAGCTTGGCCATATCATACCGAACCACTTTGTAACCGCCAATATCGATAAAATGCCAGAGGAAGTCAGAAAGTATAAAGATCAGCTTGACGGGCGTGCCATGCTCGTCAAGAAAGCAAGAGTTGTTCCTTTAGAAGCTATTGTTCGCGGATACTTAACAGGTGAGTCCGAATCTCCAAAATTAAACTGATAATCTTCAACATGTGCTTAGGATCTGCCTGGTCGGAATACAAGACATCCGGAACAGTTCATGGAATACCTCTTCCTCCTGGCCTGGTTGAATCTCAACAACTACCAGAACCCCTCTTCACTCCTTCGACAAAAGCCGAGCAGGGTGCGCATGATGAAAACATATCTCCTGAACAAGGTACCTCATCTACCATATCCGCGTTTCCAAACTCTCCTATGCTTACCATACATTTAGCTTCTAAACTCATCGGAGAATCTATATATGCACAGATCTCTCAAGCTGCCCTCAAATTGTACTCTGAAGCAGCTGCGTTTGCACATTCAAAGGGTGTTATCCTAGCGGACACGAAGTTTGAATTTGGACTCGTGCCGTCAACCAAATCTCCCAATGAAGAAACATTAATTTTAGTAGACGAACTTCTCACTCCAGACTCGTCGAGATACTGGCCTCTGAAAGGCTACGAAGTTGGAAAGTCCCAGCCTAGTTTCGACAAACAATACCTGAGAGACTGGTTGGTTGGTGTAGGTTTCAGGAAAGGATTAGAGCGCGGGAAAGAAGGCGAGGAAGGTCATGGTTGGACTATTGACAGTTCCGTTGTTGAAGGTACTAGAGACCGCTATGAAGAGGCAGTCAAGCTACTGACCGGCTAGTGTGACCGCGTTCTAGTTATCTATATACGTACAGCAGAAGATAAATTATGCATTTATTGTTATAAACTAGATTTCGAGCATAGCGTGAACTGAGATTGGGTTTCGTCACTGCTTGATCTTGAACCATCAACACAAAGAATGCCGCGTACCCTCCGCGCGCGTAAATCTCTGCCAAATTATGCCTCAATCGTTGGAATTGAAGACGATGCTCATGAGGCTGGTCCTTCTACGTTACTATTAGACGACAGCAGCGGGAGTGACTTTACGCCGGAAACAGAAACAAAGTCGCGTAAATCCCAGGGCGTCGACGTGGATGAAGGGGGCGAATTATCCGACGCGGAACCACTGGAAATCGCTGCTACCGCGCCATCTAGAGTTAAATCTAAAGGGAGGGTCAGGAAAGGGAAAGGACCGATCAGCGTCGTGAAATCGACAATTCCCAAACCAACTACACTCTCCGGAAACTTCAGGCGCCAGATGTATATCTTACCGACGCCAAGCGTTCACCATCGACATCGAGCAGTTCCTCTGTATTTTACTCCAGGACGTGTCGAACGATTGGTCTCGCGACCAAACTTGTTTTCAACCTCGGAAGTTGTTCTAACCAACAACTTCACAATGAATGCCACAATCATCGACCGATTGAACAAGGCCTGGGGATACAATGTAGGTCCAGGCCCGATGTGGGAACTTGTTGAAGATCGCGGATGGTTCAAAGAGGCGCAAGGTTTGATGGAAAGCGAGAGGAATAGAAGGCCAAGGGTTCATGAAAATGTCTCTGTTCTCAATGGATGGACTTTTCTGGATGCAGAGTGTGTGCGCTCGTCTCTCTTTCTTCAATCCCGTTTATCATCTAATTATTTCTTTTGCAGAGAAGGCTCAACATATCTCCCTACTGATGATATCATCACTGAAGAAGGCGACTTCAGACCACCTCCACCAATACCTTGCTACTTTGGTCCTTTCGGTTCACAGACAGCTCGCACGACGGAAATGTTATCGGCGTTCAAAATGGGTGTGTGCTCAAATTTGCAGGCACTGGGATTGGTCTAAGACATCTCATTTGCAGCGGATTTTATCCCAAATAGCTCTGCCCATGTATTCAATGCGGGGGCACCTGTTTGGGGTATTGACTGGTGTCCATTGCATCCGGACACTCGTAAAGGTGCATCTGACCTTGGATTTGGCCGTTATCCTATACGCTGACTGCTCTTTTGTTTGGTATTCAGAGAATGGATACAGGTATTACCTAGCTGTCGCGCCTCTGCCATCCCCGTCCCATTCGCCCGAAATCGGAATTCGGGTTCAAAGACCTTCAAAGGCATGTATCCAAATCTGGAGTTTTGGTTCGGACGCTGGCTATGAGTCCGCGAGTACCGGTAGGGAAGGAAGCACACATGGAGCTTCTGAACCTAATCCGGGGAGAATGAAATGCGATTTAGTCATTTGTATCGATTGCGGGCCTGCGTACGAACTCAAGTGGTGTCCTTTACCTTCTCCTTCAGCACAAACTGCATTTGCAGGGCCGAAGAAGTTGGGCTTACTTGCCGGAACGTTTGAAGATGGTTCTTTTGCCATATTTGCCATTCCAGATCCGAAAGACATTGCTCCTCCGAATCACGATTACAGTGAACCCCACTACAGTGAGTTCCTACTCCGATGCTGGTTCATCATCGCTCAACATGCTGCAGTTAGGCTTCCTGATCCAGTTCTACGGATAGAAATGGAGGAAACATGTTGTTGGAGTATTGACTGGGCTAATAGTGAAGTTGTGGCTATTGGAATGACGAATGGTGAGTCGCCTCGACAAACACAAGACTGAAGTGTTGACCTCTTGTAGGGTCTATTGGTGTCTACGACGTTGGTTCTGCGCTAAAGCAGGTCGATAACACCAGTGAAACTATTTTCCTGTATCGAAAAACCTTGATACTTACTAAGCTCAGGCTCCCTACCTATCACAAACCTGCTCCCAACACAGTATCTCAACATCCATCAGGCAGCTATACGGACCTTGGCATGGATCCGTGCGCCAACGAATGACAGATTGGGGGAACCACGTTTTGACGAGGACCCCATGATACTAGGAAGTGGTGGTAATGATGGAGTAGTGTGCTTAACCAATATTCGGTCAGGACATGGCTCCGTCATGAACAGGACGCGAGGTCTGCACCGATATCAAATCTGATCGAAGAATTCTACTTACGGCTAGAGTTAGATGTTATTAACTCGATGTCGTACTCGTCTTACGGGGGTGGACCTGTAACCATTGATCACGACGACGCGGTCAAAGCCTATTCTGCTTCGCCGAAGATGTTGGGGAGAGGTCATATGTTGGTGGAGCCCCAGGGCCCAGTTTGGGTCCGTACTCTACATCCGTTCAAAGAGTCTGGGTCTGATGGTTTTTGTCCAGACTATATCTGCCTCAGACCTCCATCCCCAACTTGCTGTCGGTGCAGCTGATGGAACATGTACGACGACAAATCTCTTAAGATCAACACGTCGAGGCGGCTCCGTTGTACGTCCAATAACCATCTACCCATTCTCAGTAACTTACACATCGGGCTAATGTGTAGCCCTTCTTCGCGCACAAGATCTATCAGTTGGATTACAACCGCACTACTAAGAAATTCCGTATGCTGGAGCAGTTCTTACCGCAAGAAACGCAAGATCGTGGAGCCGCCAATAACCCGAATAATGTTAAGCTCAAGAACGCTGCGAATGATGAAAGGGGCACGGGCGTGTGGCCAAGGGAAGTCGGCGTTCAGCGGGTGGTCTGGAACAGTGGAAATGGGTTAGCAGCCGCAGGAATGCTGGCTTCTGCGACAGGTTCGGGACTATGTCGAGTGGATGTGCTATCTGGCAGGTGGTTAAAAGAAGGAAACGTGAAAATGCCGTATGGCGGTATAGAGAATATCAGGCTAGAGGCTGACAATGTCGTAGACGATATAGAGGCTGATTCGGACGAGGGAAGTAGCAGTTGAGAAAAATTGAATACGCAATCTAGTACTTACAAAGGTCATTAAAGAGAATTTTGGACTTCAATTTCCGGCGTTCGTTTACGGGGTTCCTGCAACAATGCAATCATTTACATACGCGCAACCCGGACAAGGTAAAGATTTTTTTCCACGTCCAACAGCGTCCAGAGCCTTTGACGTTTCGTCGAGCTTAAACGGAAGTTTACACAAGGCTAATAGCAGGTGAGTTTAGCTCTCAGTGTTCATCGTTCGCACCTCGCTAAGGCCATCTCTACCTACAGGCTTGCATGGGCCCGCCCTCCTGAGGTCTACAAGTGAGATGGCCGCTTAGCAGTGCTACATCCCAACCGGTAGGAGAATTCATTACTCAGATTTTTGACACCTATGTAGTATTCGCTGTCGTGCTCTACCGAATATAAGTACTTACATTGGGCTTCTTTTTCTCGCCTCTCTCTTTTCTTCCCTCACCGATTGTACTAGGTATGCTCAGTCAATGTCCTTATATTCTTGTACATATATCTCATAGTCGTCTCTCTCTTTTCTTCCCTCACCGATTGTACTAGCTGTAGTACATTGTTTTTCGTCGCCCTCCCCTCGCTATCTCCAATACCTCGGTTTCCCGCCCTGTGTTAGCCTCATTTTTTGGTATTCTCTTGCTATTTCCCTTCTTGCACCCTCGTACGATATCTCAACCTAATACAAAAACGGCCTTTTGGGTCGGTTTCACTGGCTAAACACCTGTCCGCGGGTCGAACCGGAGCGATTGGTTGGACACTAGATCTACTTCTATTTCGTTCGAAACATCTGCGGAAGCGATGTAGGTCGTACCATTCCGACGTTCTATTTCGCGAGAGAGGCCTCGCAAAATTCATTTGCGAACCCTTGTTTCTTCATAGCGAGGGGCCGCATTGCTTGCTACAAGACGATTATAATGATATATTCCGAGGCACCCCAGAGGCATCTGAAAAATAAATGATGCAAGTAACAGAGCTTATGTTGTTTATCCATTTATCATCAACAGTTTGAAGAACGGAGATCACACACGCAGAGACGAGAAAAGACATATGCATAAAATTTCATGTGGGGTCATCGTGAAGTACATAAGGTAACTTTGAAACATTGCACAACATCTTCGAAAAATCGTATCCCTCATAGCACGAGTAACCTGCCTTGCTGTCTGCATTGAAGCCAAACATACATACCAGGTCAATCAAAAACTATGCCTCCATTCGGTGAAATCTACGGATAAAACGTTGATGTCCAGAAACTGTATAAAGATTATCATCACGTACGGTCTGACCTGTGAAGGAGGAATGCGCAACATGAGATCTGTGTTGATACTCGATACATGATGCTCACCCGTGATATAATGGGCTTCTTTAGAAGCCAAGTACGATACAAGGCTCGCTATGTCTTCAGGCTCGCCGAACTTGTACTTGACTGGTGTTGTCAAGCCCATCTGTGAAGAAAGACAAATAATTGAACAATGATTATGTATTACGAGAAGCCGGGTTTGATCACTAACCACAGCCAAGACTGCGTCGTCATTTTCTCGAAACGATCCAGCAGCTACATTATCTCACAAGTCAGAAGATTGCACCGAGACAATGAAACTTATGTACTCATGGGGGTGTTGATAAGGCCTATGTCATGTCAAAGTAGTTTCTAAAACATTGGGCTGATGATGGAATACCTGGTGCATAAGCATTAACTGTTATTCCATGTCCACTAAGCTCCAGGGCTATAAATATTTTTATAGACATGCATAAAAATACTGATTCAATACAGAGGAACTGACGCACCGAGGCTCTGAGTTAATCCTCGTACAGCGTACTTTGAAGCAGTGTAAGCACTAAAGTGAGCTGCAGCTGCCGATTCCTGGAAGTTAGCAATGTGATAGATATATAGAACGACGAATCACGGACGCCTTTTGCCAGCTATAGAGGACGCGCCGAGAATCCTTCCTCCGCGACCTTGGGCAATCATCTGTCTGGCAGCATACTTGTAGCTGAAGAACACGCCATCGACGTTGATAGCGAACGTCTTCTTCCATGTCTCCGTGGGAACTACAAATACTACTTTGATTAACGAGCTATTCGGGGGAGACGATATGAGCCCACAATCGTTGACCAGCGCGCCTTCGTGGAAGATACCAGCATTCGCAACCATCTGTTTTCGGGTCAGATTCGAACGAGTCTGCAACCCACGACCCCAAGAGAGGTGTTTCTTACCACGTCTAATCCACCCAGAGCCTTGGATGTTTGAACAACCATTTTCTCTACTTCACTCTCGTTCGAAACATCTGCTGGGGTGACGTAGGTCTTCGCACCGTATTCACGTTCTATCTCGCGAGCGAGGCTCCTTAGCTGTGGATCCTTGTTTGGAATGTCGTTGAGGGCAACGCGGAACCCATCCTTGGCTAATCGCAAGGCAATCGCTTTACCGATGCCTTGCGAGGCTCCAGTAATGAGGGCAACACCAAGGGACTTTGTCGACATGCTGTTGAAGGGGTACTGAGAAAACAACTGGTCCAGCTGATAAAAGGTAGCCTTAAAAGGATCGGACAAGGTGAGATTAGAAGGCATTTACTTTGGCGATTCCATGTCCAATAAAATGTCAGTTATAGCACAGGGCTGGGATCGGGCTGGGATAGTGTTTGAAAGGCATATGGCTTGCGACTTCCAACAATGGTTCTCATAGTCACAGGATAAGAAGTGAATGTCAACTTCAGAACACTTGATAAAATTAAATCCGAAGTAATTTCACAGCACCTAGAATCCTAGAATAGTATCATGCTCTACAAGCAGAGGATATAACTAATTTCCGTCCATTCTTCCTGCTCTCTTCAATGAAATCAAGATGTTGGTACACTAGGTGACTGAACCGTCCACGGTGAGAAAGAACGTCCAGCCAAAGAGTGCAACTTTCCTTCTGAGGCAGCTGTGATGAAAAACTACCATGAAAAGTAGATAGTTAAACATGTGGATACAGCGCCTGTCGTTGTTAAAAGATGAAAATGAAAATTTCGATCAGCGTGAATTTAAATAAGAGAAGGCGTGAGACTTTGATGGCTTAGATCATGATCAGAGAGACCCGCTTGTTAAATTCTTGCTGCCATCGATGGGTCTCTCGATGTTCGCTCTCCAATTGCATACCCGCAACGCCTGTACACGGTTTGGTTACTTAGTGCAATGTTTTCATCTAGATTCAGCTAAGGTTATCACTGCCTGTACTGACTAGGCTGACTAAATATTACCTCGGCACCGAGTCGCGCGCGCCATACATAAGTAGACGCCGACAAATTTCCCATTATCTTATCCTCTATGTCTTCATCAGACACCACCACTCAGCTCAGGACACCCTTACCAAAACTACAGCTTTTGCTGCTTTTGTTGATTCAAGTAACAGAGCCGATTACTGCAGAGGTCATCTATCCGTTCATCATTGGCGCTGTGAGGCATACAGGGATCACACACGGAGACGAGAAAAAGACAGGGTATTATGCCGGAGTCATTGTAAACGGTTTTTTTGGGGCAATTAAGTCTTACTCATGATTTGTTCCAGGAATCAATATTCTTCCTTTCTGAATGCTGTACAGTAAGTATTCGCACCTCGAGTCATATCCCCATATCATAAAGACCCATCATAAGGTGTACTACTGGGGACGCCTATCTGATGTCCATGGTCGAAGGATGATACTTCTGCTCGGTCCTCTCGGATTGACATTAGCTATGCTGGGTTTTGGTTTGTCGAAAGCGTTCGTAACTCTTGTTATTTTTCGGGCACTTCAGGGTATCTTCAATGGAAATATCGGTACGTTGCTCTTGTAACCTCTAAGTATTCTCTGAATCATTAAGCATCTTCCAGGTGTCTCGAAGACAGTCATGGCCGAGGTTCATTCAGATCTTGGGTTAAAATTATTCCTCTAGTACTGAACTCGACCCCAGATCACTGATTCTACAAATATGGCGGATGCTTTTACCATGATACCAATTATGTGGAGTTTTGGTTCAACAGTCGGGTATGTCGCCTACAGGCTGCGTCCATGACAAACTTTTTACATTTTCACAGTCCCGCTCTGGGTGGTGTTCTCGCAAGCCCTGCCACGCAGTGGCCTCAAAGTTTTGGCAAGATCGCATTTTTCCACGATTATCCTTACTTCCTTGCTTGTGCCGCTGCGGGCCTTTTCGCCTTTGTCGCGTTCGTCCTCTCATATATAGGATTAAAAGAGGTATTTATCTGGATTTTTATCGCCATATAGATGTTCAAGACGTGATGTATTTCCAGAGCTCACCCAGGTTGAAGAACAAAAAACCCCAAAATAGAGCTTCATTCGAGGAAAGCGAGCCGTTGCTCCTAGATGGTGAACCTCAAATCGATTATGGTGGTTCCTCGCCTTCTACGGGCAAAACTAATAATGATCATCCCAAGCCACCTAGCGCTTGGGAATTATTGACCCCTGATCTTCGAATCGTCTTGCTCAATTATGGCCTCCTCTCATTCACCGACATGTCCTACTTTGTGCTTATCCCCCTGATCTACTCTTCTTCGCTATCAATAGGCGGTCTCGGTCTGTCTCCATACCAGGTCGGATTGATACTAGGGATATTCGCATTATTAAATGGATTTTGGAATCTATTGGTCCTATCCAAGATCCTTAAAGTTCTTGGGCCTCGCAAAATGTACATTATATCTTACTCAAGCTTCCTTGTCACATTCCCTCTTCTTTGGATCCTTCGAGACGTCGCTCACCTTGCAGGAGGAGTCAATGCCTTAGTATGGTCATTGATTGTGTGCCAGCTTTTAGCTGCATCGTTTGTGAACACCGCGTATAGTGAGTGAAAATCAATTCTTCGCCTAGACCTAACAGTCTCATTGAGTTTTTAGGTTCAATGTCATTATTGATCGTACAAAATGCGCCTCCAGGTGCATTAGGTGCAGTCAACGGATTAGCTCAAATGACTGCTTCTGGAACTCGAGGACTTGCGCCGCTTTTCGCATCCTCACTATTCTCTTTATCGTTGGAATCTCGCATTGTCGGTGGACATCTGGTTGATATCGTCCTCATCGCCCTTTCTGCGATAGGCCTTGTCTGTGCATTCCGACTTCCAAAACCGACTCTACAGATGTGATCATTGTATCTCATAGTAAGAGTGTGTACCGTTTACTATTGTGGCCATTGTTCGGAAATATTAGAAGATCGTGGGTTGGCTTGATGCCTTTCAACTTTGCAAGCACGTTCATCTGGATATACAAGCTAAGCTCTTTTAATGTACAATTAAAGCCCAACTCGAGCGACTAGATGCATTTCTGCTTAGGTGCACTTACTGCGAATTCCCGTTTTTCTCTCGCCTCTGCCTCCAGTGCCTTTTCCAAATATCCATAAATGACAATACAACATACAGTGTGCGATGTTCGAAAATTTGATTCAAGATTCGGGGATAATTTGGCACTGCCGAACTCAGGCTCAATTCTAATGATGAATCCATGAAAAGATCGAAGACAGGGCATTAGACAGGGAGAATTGGCGAGTGCGTCTTTTGCGGGATGGCCTACTGGAATTTCGGACAAACGAGTTCAATGTGAAGTGGAAGGGTGATGTTGGTGTCAGACATCGAGGAAGATCGAGGAGAACGATCGGCATCTCATCGTCAAATGTAAAAAATGCGAGGTGTAACAATTGGCTCAGCACTTGAACGAGGGAGGTCCAGTTAGTCGGGTTTTTACAGACTCCTCGAGCCTTTTCATGTTGAGTTTTCATAAAGCCACGATTTGATTCGAGTAACTTTTTTTTGTGGTCCAATACAAAGGAGCGGTGTAATACTACAGGATATTATATTCGAGTTCACCTAAAGATAATGTCAAAGACATATGTCACGCGAGATTTACACCATGACTGCTCAACGATCCAGCCAACCAAAAGTTCCTCTCACAATTACGAGTCCGAAATGAAATGAAGGATTCGTCCTATGGCGGTTTCAGCGTGAGAAAATCTTACCTCACCTTCCTTTTTCGCTTTTCACCTTCCTCCTTGAGCTACTTTTTTCCCCATATTGGGACTGTCACTTCTGTGAGTCACCGTGACGCCGTTAGAGATTTTTTTTTCCCATCACGGGTATATGGTCACAAATAATCGTCACTTTCTCCTCTGCACAAATTCACCTCCCACTCCGAGTCCTACCTGGTGAACTCTCATTCGCGGTATGGTATTATTCATCAATAGGCCTTCATTCTCACTCTGCAGCTGTAGGCCCTAAATCTCCAACAGCCACTGCGCCGTCATGACAGAACTTATTCACGGAGGGTGATGGTTCCAATGCGAAACATATCTCTGCAGTCCTTTCGCTGGCGCCGCGTTGGTCAATGGCAATTTTAGAACAATTGTAATATTACCCAAGTATGTCGACGTTATGGCATAGGTTGCTGCCAGCAGTTCATGTCCTTTTGATTGTTTGAACTCTTATTTATCAACTTATTCTCAACCAGTTTACGATCTGAATGAATTCTATGGGTGCATCATGGAATGTTGCATGCAGAGTTCGGAAAGCAGGTCTTGCTCTCAGCGTCGACGTCGCCGTGATCATGTCCTCTGCCCAAAATCTATTCGAAGACAAAAATGTTTTCCCTACCATTTCATTTCTGCCAAACAAACGTGTAAGACTCAGTATCAATTAGGTGAAGACTTTCATAGTGAATCGTTTCCGGTCCATCAATCTGGTTTATCGCCAATTCCTTTGCATCAGATACTCCATCTTCGTGCGGAGCCTCATTTTCCTTACCTTCCGTCGGGAATACCAGCTGCCAGATGGGAACGACATTCACAGTGACCCTATGCATCAGTGGGTGCTGGTTCACTTTGGCAGTGGCAAACTTCCAGTAAACTTCAGAGGTGTTGACGAGGCTTATGCATCGTTGTGTTTGGGGTGTCTGGGTCGATTTTTACCATCAGTACTCAGTTTTTGGATACCTTTGAGTTTAGACCACACCACCTTCATTAATGTTGCGTACACTTTGCTATCAACGAAGCTCAACGCTGGATTGGCCAAACAACAATATATTACATTCTGTCCTTTTGTCAAGTCCATGCCTCGGGCCTCCATTCCGCCGCTCGGGATTCCGAAGATCCATTCCTTATTGTAATCTCTTCCTATTGTTCTTTCTCGCTACACATATCCTTTCGTTCTAGTCTCTCATTATTGTCTTTTACTCTTTCATTCTAGTCTCTCCTTATTGTCTTTTACTCTACCCTGCAGGTACTTCTCGTATAGCTCCTAGTAGTTAGTCTGGCGCTCCGCACCGATGCGCCGTTCCGTAGATATAAATACTGCCTGTACGCTACTGTAGTTCCTCAGTTTAATTATCGACTTAGATTCCCTCTTTAACTCTGTGCTCTCTAAGTCTTTAGGCTCAACACCTTGAAGTACGTTCTACTCTACCTTAGGACTTAGACGTCCTCTGGCTCACTCCTCGTCACCGGCGATACTGCTGCTCCAACTTGGCTGCTCCTCAGTTCCTCCCTTCTCTACTCTCGATCTCCGGGGACTAACGGCGTAACGGCGGTGTTGTTAATAACTTCACTACTGTCCCACTCGTCTTCCGCACTTAGACACCTTGTAGCTTTGGCACAGTTACACGGTGTACATGATCTTAACACCTTTCCATCCTGCGGTTACTGGGACCCCATCTGCAGATGGAGCCGCGGAGCCGTGTGTCAATCTACTAATCTATCTATTGATTTCCGATGTTCTTCAAATGAGTATTCCAATCCGATGGACAACCTGCATACTACAGCATGTCTATCTGTGCCCTGCACCCACCTTCTTATCCTGCGACTCTTTCAGTGTTTCATGCACCTTTCACTCAAGTGCCATTATCAGCACTAGAATGGCTCGATAACATCCCCCATTACGAATTTGGGCCCCGGTGCACAACATGCAGTGGTTGCATACATAAATAGCACACATTAACCACTGCACCACCCATTTTATCATTTAATATAGACGAAGTGTGCCCATTTTTTATTGATCTTCGCATAACTTCAGTTATTGGGGGTAATAGAGTACATTACAGGCTGGCGGGAGTCTCGTATAACAGTATGGAACAGATGTACTTTGTATCAAGAATTATAGCAGGTAGTGGGGAAATTTATGTTCATGATGGTATGCACAATAATGGTGATATGGTTCACAAAGCAAGTTGCATTGACAATGTACATCTATTAACATGCAGAGAATACACTGCATCTGCTCTTATACATATATATACGACTCTAAATTTCAGACTCGTATATGCTACGCCGCGAAGCGGCGATGGCCCGCCTTCGCACGTACCAATACATGATGAATGGACAGACACTTTATATCAGGAAACGCTACAGAGTGGAAAACCTCCACACCTATTGCTCCGAGACTTTTATGGTCCAATATACTATGATCAGAATCCAATCTCGGTATACACAGATGGTTCATGCTTGGAGAATGGGAAAGACTATGCAAGAGCTGGTTCTGGGATATGCTTCGGACTACAGTCTAACCAGAACATTAGCCTAAGGGTACCAGGGCCTGAGACTCCCACCAATAACAGAGCCGAAGCATATGCTGTCTTGATGCTACTAGCAAAAGTCAACCCAAAAAGAGCAATGAACATTTTCTGTGATTCAACCTATGTCATTCGAGAATGCTGCTATTGGGCTGGCCGTCACCTATCTACAGGATGGAAGATGCCAAATGGGGACCTATTAAAAGACATCTGCCTATTGCTGAAGTATCGCTTAGCTTTCACCCGCTTTATATGGGTCAAAGGACATAGTGGCATTCCCCAAAACGAATTGGCAGATGAATTGGCAAAAATAGGATGCACAAAAGATATTCCAAGGGATTATTCCCCCCTAGTATCTTCACCATGGGAGCGGGACCCAGGAAACAGGCAAGCAATTGATGTTCAAAAAGTCTCCACGGATCTACTGGAACACGCAGAACCCAGAACAATGATTGGTAGGTCAATTACCTGGGCTGCGGAGCAAGGTCACCGAGGAAGATCTAAAGTGGCAAAAATCCGGGATGATAACCTTGCAAAATTGCGCAATTGCAAAACTAATGCACAATTTTGGATGCTATACAAGTTATGGCTTGACCCAAAAGCAAAAGACTTTGAGCTTTCACTAAACCACCTGTATACTGAGTTTAAGACAAGGCTGAATACCCCTGTGGTCCCATCATTGCAATTAAATCACCAGCATCTGTCATATCTAAAGCACTTGGAAGCAATGCTACCTGAGGCAAACTTAGACCCAACAGAGCAAAAGTTCTTTAGCTTGACCATCCATGAAGAGGAAGTGGCAGATGCCAAGGAACATGTACTAGAATGTAACCTGAATAGCACTATAGGCTCAGACAGCATTTCATACAAGGAAATCATGGACATTCCCAATGAAAATATAGCTTCCTTTCTCAATTTCTGTGTCAAGAACAAGACAGCACCTTCAAAATGGTTATATGCAATAGTGATTGGCATTCTAAAACCTGGAAAGAATGCTTCAGACCCAAATGGTTATCGCCTTATTGTATTAGAGTGCTGTTTCGCAAAATTGTTGGCCTATATAATTGACCGGAGAATAAGGTCTTATGCAGATTTGAAACATTTGATACCTGACTCACAAAATGGCTTCAGACCTACATACCGAACAACTAACAATCCGTTGATTTTAAGAACTATGATAGATAAGGCTAAATCTCTGGGAACCCCACTATATTTTGCATACATGGACTGGACAAATGCATTTCCCTCTACAGATCGATCTGTAATGTGGATAAAACTATTCTCGATGGGTGTAAAAGGTCCAATGATAGACTGGTTACGTATGCTCTATGCAAAAATGGCTTATGTGGTTAGAGTTTGCGGATCTCACTCGGAACCTTTTGGAGGTGATATGGGGGTCATCACAGGTAGTCCGGTTTCACCAAACTTGTTCAATTTGGTTGTTGCAGATTTAAAGTGACAGAGCACCCAACAGATGTTGTCCTTCATGATAAGCATGTGAACCATATGCTACAAGCAGATGACACAGGAATGGCTAGTACAACACCTTCTAGTATCCAATCAAAACTTAGACAATTTGAACAATATGCATCTCTCACAGGCTTCGAAGTCTCTGTACCTAAATGTATGATCACAGTGTTTGGACAGGAAGCTAATGCAGACACAGTTTTTATGCTGCATGACAAACCTTTGCAAAAGAAAAAGAAACTGAAATATATTGGAGTTCATCATCAGACTGGTCAGGGAGGTATATACAAGGACAATTATCAGAAGCTTGCAGACAAGGCCAAGAATGCTGCTGGTGCTGTGCTTCATGCTAAAACTTTTGTGGGAAATGACATGCCAATTAAGGATATGATTACTATGTACTGGGCAAGAGTAGACCCATATTTAAAGAGTGGGTCTGAGTTTATCATGGATGTGGTAGTATCCCACAGAGAGCAATTAGAAGAAGTACAACACTATTTTCTACGAAGGGCTCTCTCTATCCAAAAGCGATCATCTTTGGAGGTTCTGTTCACTGAAACAGGAGTGATGCCAATTCGATACAGACAGATTATCCTTTTCTTCAAGAACATGCAGTACTTAATCAGTTTACCACATCACCATCTGGCATAGAAAGCAATGCGAGAAGCTTACTCTTTAGCACAAAAAGGACATACATCCATCATTTTGGAGGCATGCAGAGTACTTGAGAGCCTACCAATTCCAGTCACATGGAATATTCCAGAGTTTGAGGATATCACTGCAGCACACCTAAATGGTTTAATAGAATACATTCAGGACTCCATGGAGAGGACTCTACAAAATGCATTAATGACATGTCCCAGAACAGCTGATACTCTGAAAGATCGGAAAGAGTATGACTGAAAAAATAAAAAGATGGTTTTCAAAGCTCTCGCTTTTAGACATTATTTGACGGTCCCGACAGGCAAACATCGGAAAGCTTTGATCCACATGGTGACAGGCAATCACCAACTTGCAGTAGAACGTCTGCGATGGAATGAACGGAACAGACCTCGAATCATCAGAGAGCACCGAATTTGCCGCATCTGTAAATGCTCTGTTGAGGATCCTGCCCATGTGTTATTTGAATGTAAAGGAAGCACTGAATTGATCAAACTGAGGGATTCTTTCATGCAAAAAGTCATCTCAGAACTTCCACAGTATGCAAAATCCTATTCCAATGCATGGATGCGATTTCGCATATTATTGGCTGAGACAAGGATCACTGAATTGTTTGCAAAGCTAACATATGATGTTTTAGAAGTGGTATATAACACTGAAATGTTTGTTCCAGCTTAATGCAGGAGCTGCTCACATGCATTGTCGAGACGGGGAAGACCGTGCACGTTTCACAAGGTTTTTTTCTTGCTTTTTCCTCATCAAGTGTGAGAGTGGCATAATCGCCCCCCCCCGCATTAAAAATGTGTGTTCCGTTACTGTAATCTTAAGTAGTGATTGTACAGTACGGTAAACTGGTTGTTCGGGAATCGGACCTAGCCAGTATAATTTAACTATCCTATCCTATCCTATCCTGATCATGAATGGGCACTGTTCAGAGCGAACCAAGTTCTCATAGGTTTTCATCCTTCCCCACCACGGACCCGGTCCCGCGCCCGGAGCCGAAACCAGTCGAAACCGGCAGACAAATCTGTCGCGGCAGGCATTTCAGTACCTTGTTCCTTTACTTTCCAGTCGTGCCTATTTTGTCACGAATTCGCTTCAAATAGATGTCTGTGATTGGGTTCGACGCACAGGAACAGACAGGAACTCACTTTATCAAACTGTCATTTGATTTCTTGTACAACCTTGAGCTCAACACCAAATCTCACTCTGCCAGGGTCACTTCAAGTTATTCCTCACCCCATAGGCTATTTAATTGCACATAGTCCCGCAACTTGCAAGCCAGAACTCATGAGAACGAAGAAAACCATTCGAAGAGATAGCACGGTATAGCTCTCTCCCCATCGGGCTTCTACAATTCAACGGATGAAATAACTATTCCTGATATCATCCTGTAGCATCCTGTAGACTCGGACGATGTTGGCCCGGACTAGATGTCGATCAATTCGAACCATTCTAGCAACTCTCAATACTCTCTACTCAAGTCTTGCCGCATAAGTTTGAGTGACAATTTCTCTGGGGTACTAACGTAGGTCCTTTAAAGCAAGGATCACCGAGGGTGTCATTGTGTTCCGCTGTTTTTGAGCGGCTGGAATTATGCCCTGTTCCTCAACTCCGTAGGTTCCCATTACTGATAGAAAGACCCTACGTATGATACAGTTTTTGTCGTATTCGAGGGACGAACACCAAACCAAACCAGGGCATGCTTCTCATTCGCTGATTACAATGAAGGACACTCAAAGTGTTATTGAGTAGGTTCCTCGTTGTTCCTCGAGGAACTGGAAGAAGGTATAGTGTTCAACGACGCCAAGGGCAAACTGTCACACATTAACTCTCAATCAGTTGGCATGACTGATCGGAAGCTCTGACTGCTGGACATGTAAAATCAAGGTATTTAGACTGATGAACAAGGACTGGGCCTGTGGGGTATCCTCGTCATGGGTGCTACAAATGTTGTCCGTTGGTTGACGACGTGTATCGCGTTGGCGGCCTTCTTCGAACTTCGCGTTACTGCTCAAGATACAGACGCCGTATGCACTCTGGCTTCTCTACAATGGGTAAGCCATGTAGATACCGAGACCTCCAATCACTGACATTAATGTTGGCTTTCTCTACAGTCCTTTAACACCGAGAAGCAGAGCCCTTGTGCTGTAGCTTCGTCTCTGCTTGGAGTATGCAGTGGCGGCGGTAAATGCTAAATCGCCATTGTTCGCGAATTTCGGTGACATGTTCGACATTTATTCGCAGATTACAAGGTCGTTGCCTTACCTGACACAGACACAGAATATCTGGGTCCTTCTATCGATGCAGCAAACCCATGCCAGTGCAACACCGTCGTCTATTCCTTGATGAGTGCTTGCGCGCTGTGTCAAAATGGGACTATAATAACGTGAGTAAGACCTGAATCCCTTATCTCTCTGTGAAGTTATGAATTTTGAATTTTGGTTGAAAAAGATGGAGCGAATGGATAACCAACTGTGCTCCCATATATACCACGTAGGCGAATTTCTGCTAGTTGCGCTGCCTAGCGCCTCATCGAGTTGGTGTTTGAATTTTCAGCTTTCCCAAACTTATACCCGATGGATTGCGCGTTCCAGCATATGCATATTTGGATGTTGAGGTAAATACCGGTTCTTATACAGTAGCACTTTCACCTGACCCGCATTTTCCATGTTTTCAGACGCAGGATACATTTGATGCAAATGCTGCCATGCAAGACGCCAGTAAACAATCTGATAGATGCATTCTTCATCCCCTGATTCAGTTCTATGTGTAGATGCTACTGAGTCTACGGCTTTACCCTCAACTACATCAACAACTAGCAGTACACAATCATCCGTCACGGTTTCGCAAACATCTTCCGCTCCGGCTTCTGCCAGTTCCACCACATCCACTTCAGAGTCATTGACAGCACCAAATAATCCTCGTAGCAATGCTATCGGCGGCGGTGTTGTCGGAGGGATTCTCGGTTTAGCTTTACTTTTGTTACTGATTGGATGCTCGATCGCTTTCCGTAGACGCAGACGAATAAGGGCTCTTCTTCGAACAAATTCAGACTCAGAGCAAGGTGCTCTGAGCTCTCCCTCTCGAGGAATTCTTGATAACTCTTCGAAGAGCGCGGATTCTGAGTCAGCTTCTGCTGATATGTCCGAAATTCAGAGTGGCGTCACTACTACTCAAATGGTGAGGAAATCAGAAACAATGTGTTCAAAGACCCGTCTTTGACTCAATTCCGTTTTCTGCTTTCAACAGAATTTCCAGACGCCAAGCGGTGTTTCGCAAACCGTTCCATCGATGAATGTTTCGTCTTCGTCGGATAAATGAACTTTGCTTTTCCAACTGATCCCCGTATTTGTAGACGAGAGTTGCTTATGCAGAAGCTGGGCAGAGGACTGGATTCGTTCCGATTTCCATGTATTGTAGCTTGACTGGTGGTTTTTGACCATGTATGTAGACCTCTTAATTCGGTACCCAGGCCCGATACAATTTGCCTTACGGCCAAAAGTGACTTTGGATCTATGCGCCGCAATGCTCGGGTTAAGGTGAGAGACTGACAACTCTTCTCCAGATAACTGAGTCCCGACTCTGGAGCGAGGCCGTGAAAGCAAACGGAACGACCAAGAAGTGGGCTTGAGGATCGTATAGTTTTTTTTGCTTTATTTCGTTTACTAGGATTACCTTTCACAAGTCCAACGAAGAGGCTTTCCGGAATCCGGCGACTACTTAAAACGTTGATTGGTGTTATCAGAATGGTGCCAGTGAGGTGAGCTTTAGCACTGCTTTAACCGTTTCGAAAACGTTTCACCGAGTTACTTGACCGGTCCTGGCGGTTTCGCCTTCGTCGCATATGGGGGAGCAGCAGCGCATATACTTGTACCAAGTGGTCAGCCTAACACTAACAATAGACTGGGGTTTTTTTTTCATGCAACTTGTTGTAGGTTTAAAGAGGTTTAAAGGTAAGTATATCCTCAGTCCTGGGTACATCGAAGTCGGACGTTAAGGAGAAAATGCTGTGCCAGCGGGCGTTCCATGTTTGATCCGGTGTCATTTGTGTGCCTGCGCTAAACACGCTTGAGAGCTTGTGGTGTGGCGAACATTTTACGCAAAAATGCAGCTTTGCTCTTGGACCTATACGGCGACGACTAGGCGAAGACAATAGTGCTCTGAGGTTGTCTTGCTTTACAATTTCCCCTCGATTTTGTCAGATCATGGTTCAAATGATCTCTTCTTCGCTTCTGACGGCAATCTTCGCGCTGTTTCTTTATGTCGGTCATGTTCACGCGCTGGATGTCGCCAGTTGTAATGCTAGTGCGGGATTTGACTGGGTGAGTTTAGAGTTTATGAATCCCTTATATGTTTGCTAATCGATATGTTGCACAGTCATACAATTCCTTGAGCCAGGATCCTTGCACGGTAGCCACTTACCTTGGAGCGGTTTGTAATAACGGTCGTACGTTCATTCATTATTCTGAAGGATAACACAAAATTCAAGTCGACCCCGATCCTAGAATACACCATACCAGCGATTAACAGTACAGAGTTCTACAGTGGCCCAACTTCTGTCACTCAGAACGAATGTCGTTGCAGTTCTGTCTTTTACTCGCTGTTAATGGCCTGTGCACAATGTCAGGAAGCCTCAATCACAACGTATGGTGCCCTATGCTTTGAGTCAATCATTCTTGACTAACGACGGACATCATAGGTGGACAAGTTACGCTCAGAACTGCTCAACGATTTATGTCGGAATGTCCGTCTCTTGTTCCGTGTGATCGACTTATCATTGAATCCACTTCTAGTTTCCCAGATGATATTCCTTCTGGTACAGCGGTTCCTCACTGGGCTACATTGTCCTCTGCCGAGTTTGATGCCACCACTGCTGAAGCGGCTGGAGGTAAGCTTGTATTCGAAAACCTCTACCTATTGCCTGTTTTTGACCCCATCATCTAGATTCTCCTGAGCTCACAGGCGCTACACAAGTCACTTCGTCGAGCACGCCGACATCTTCAACTTCAAGTGTATCTAGCCCTAGTTCCTCTTCTACCGCTAGTTCCTCCTCAAAGTCAAACACAGGTGCGATTGCAGGAGGAGTGGTTGGAGGAGTTGTTGGACTTGCTCTCGTAGCGGCCGCCCTATTCTGGTATCTTCGCAAGCGCTCTCAAACTGGATCAACCGTACAGCCGCTCGGATCGGACAATGAGAGGGATTTCAGGTTAAGTCCTGATATGACCGGAACGACGCATGCGCCGACTGTAGTATCTCACCCACCATTGCAACAGAAACTTTACGTGAGTCACCAAGATCATTCAGACTGCTGGACGCTGAGAGATTTTACCCATACAGGACCCCTCTGATCCGAGCACTTTTCCTACGAATATCATGTCACCGACCCCAACACATGGGCCAAACTATCCTCAGGGTTCTTCCGATTTTGGCGGTAGTGCGTACCACCACTCTCCAAATTCTAGCCTCAATGTAACTCACCAAAACTATCCTGGATTTGCCGAGGTTTGAGTACTTGGTGTTCCGTTCCAATATATCTTCGTTATTATAGGATCTCTGTACTTTGCTTTTAATATATGGTCGATAATTCTAGTGCTTATCGATGCGGTATTGCTTAGCTGTTCCAAACTCTCACCCTGTCGGATTCTGGGAAGATGTGAAGAGAAGCTAAGTACAAGCCAGGTACAAGCTCTGGTTCCTGTATCACTCAGGTCGTGTCACATCCATTTCTACATACCATGTTCTGGACTCACAATGTGGTAGTGAGTGTATTGGCAAGCATCCTAGCTTTGGGCTCATTGTCGCGGGGACAAACTACAAATGCAACTTGCGCGCGGTCATTCTCTTGGGTACAAGCCATATATATTCTCCGTAATCAATCTTCATCTTTCTTCCCTCTTCTTCCTAGGCCGAGAATTCACTTCAACAATCACCTTGTCTCGTCGCTGCCCTGCTCGAAAGTCAATGTGATCCGCTCGGAGGTTGGTTTACTGCCTTTACTCTAGAACAGGAAAACTTATGCCTGTGTCATGCCCATGCGTTCTGATCTTTCCCAGTACAAGTCCCTGCCTTGCCTGCTTCAAACCATTACACCGGACCAAGTTCTGGCCAGGCGACTACCTGCGAATGTAGTACATTGACTTATATGTTGATATCTGCGTGCGGAGCATGTCAAAACCGCACCTGGATCTCTTGGCAGAATTGGAGTCAGAATTGCCCAATAATAGAGTTGAGCGTGTAAGTACCTCAGGCTCGGATGTTCCAACAGACAGACCTACGAGCGTATAGATTTCCAGTACCATTGCCAACCACGACTGATGTTCCGTTGTGGGCGTATATGAACATATCTACGGCACGTCTATAAAACTATTCTGATATTATCTTTGTGCTGATGATATAGTCAGATCAATGGCACTTTTAATGTTGAGGCCGCTCAGAATAGTAAGGAATGCTTGAATTGCGTCCCGATTGTTTTCTTAAGAGTAAATAGACGCAACCCTTTCCCAACCCACGTCCACCTCTGACAATGCATCCTCTTCATCTGCAAGCTCACAAACATCCCCTCTTTTCATTTCTACCTCCATCTCCACATCGACATCTGTTTCATCATCAACGACTACCGTCAGTCCCACTTCTTCAGTCTCTTCGGCCTCTCCGAATCATGCCGGTGCAATCGCTGGTGGGGTTGTCGGAGGACTAACATTGCTCGTCGCGCTCGCTTTGGTCTTTCTGTGGTTCTGCGTTAAGCGTAAACGGAACAGAGCTGAACCTCAACCCGTGAACGTTCAAACTCTGAATGATACTTCTCCCAAAATGAAAACAAACAGCACCAGTCACAACGCATCAATGTCGACAGTTCCCACTCCCTATACATATGTCGGTCGATTTCTCGAGCGATGAACGTCTTATAGCTATAATTTACTAACTTTCATTATTCTCAGGAAACCCCCTCTTCCGGACCGTCTTCGAGCATACACACGACGTTTGGTTATAATCCTTCTTTGGTCACAAGGCCTTACACAACGTTCAGTCACATAAGTTACCCCGAAGGTCCCGAAATGTGAGAGTGAGATATCTCCGGCCTGGATTGAATTATCTCTTGTATGTTTAGATGAAGATCGTCTCGTCCAATCATACTTCGGTTCTCGACTTTCCATATGACAGTAAGTATGGAACTGGTCCATTAGTACTTGCTGCCAATCATCATACTTCTATTAGTACAGCTTAGTGAGCTGTAAACCTAGACCTGTTTTTATGTCATTTGCGCCGTCTTGAACACGATTTGTACTATTAAAAAGATTGCATTGAGGTCCGTGTCATCATCCTGATGTCCCCCAGTATGCGAAGAGCGTTATTCCTCCTTCTCAAAGTCCCTTTGAATGGTTTAGTGACCGGCCAGGTCACCACGAATATCTCTCGAGGTGCTGCATAACCTTGTCGTCAACAGCGGTGACGTGTAGTCCTATTTTCCGTTCACTGACCGTGACGTTTCTTCTGTCCTTCCATAGCTTCGTCGACTATTGTGATCAGGGATAGTTCAACGACTTCTGGTGTTTCCAGTATATCACCAAGTCTTGAATCGATGGACCAGCAGCCAACTTCCGGAAATCACACTGCCGTCCTCGTGCCCACTATCATCGCAATAATATTATTGCTTATTCTCTGCATGGGGTTTCTGTATTATTACAGGCGGAGATGGATTCGGAAAAATCGAAATTCACGTCATTCACTTCCGATTTCACCTGTGGCAACGCCCTCGATATTGTCATTTTCTGCAGGCTATAGTAGCGAGGGCGGTCAATCCGGCTATAGAGCGGTGCCAAATCCTTATACATACTACATACCTCCCCCATCTCTTGTCAGAAGCACCTCCCCTGATCGACTCACTGTTTCAACATCCTTCCTCTCCCTGCCAAAATCTTTGTATGTAAGTCCTCATATAGCTATTTTGCAAATACCTTGAGCAAGTATGGGTATCACATAGGAGCCTGGAAGTGCAGACACATATTCGCCAGCAGCACCCTCATCCGAAATGAATGCGCACATGCCCTCAGTTGAACATGCGATGGCCGCAGGCGGGAAAATTGATGTTCAAAAGCCCTTGCGTCTCGAACCGTTACGTAGAGTAGACTCAGCAGAGAAGGAGGATGGGATCTAGGGGAAGGACTTTGAAGCGGATAGACACTGTACAAACCACATATATATTCCAAAATGCGTGGGAGTCCTGACAACTTGTTAAGATTCACCAAGCCTTTGTCTCCACGTATCATTCATTTCGAATAAGGCACTCTCGACCTCATTCTGGTCAAGGTTGAGCACCACCTTTCTTTCTGCTTCGGCTTTTCGCATTGCGGCAGTTCCGTCTTCGATGAGCATTGCCCGAGAAGCGACCAGGGATTCAAGAACCACCCTCAGCTCGTTTGTGGACGGCTTACGCGTAGGATCACCAGCAGAGGTAAGAGCATCGACGTAGATCAAGTGTTGATATCGCAACTGTCCAAGTGCATTCAAATATCAGTCATAGCCAGAAAAAAGCGGGGAGTTAACGTACGTCACCCAATTTGATCTCTTCAACCCCTTCGCGCTTCATGCACTTGATGAACGACGCCAACATGATACGCTCGTGAAGACTGCACTCGCGCAGGTACGCTGCAGTAGGACTGTTCTGCATTTCCTTAATCACATCTTTGACATCACTTGTGCGAGCTGCTATTCCTTTCGGACGCATGAGTTCCAACGTGCGTCTAATGAAAAGGCTCTAGTCAGCAGCTACTTGATTCACATAGGCATGAACTTACCTGCAGACATCCAACGCACGCCGCGCATCTCCACTAATAGAACTGATCTTCATCGCAATGAATTTGATAGCGTCAGTAGTGAGGAGCTCCATGGCTTTGCTCGAAGGTAAGCTTTCATTTGCACCTGCAAGTCGGGCCTTGACAATCTGTTCAAGCTGCTGAGTTTTGTATGGCTCGAAGTTTATAGTGTGCATGCCTTAATAATCACGATATAAGTGACAAAGCTGATGAGATTCAATAAAGTGGTTTACCTAGACGACTTCGCACTCGGCCTGTCATCCGTTCTGGAAGATTCATAGTGTTTGCTACAGCGATCACCACGAGCTTACTTCCTGCAATTGTGGGCCAGTTGAAGAAATTGTAAACCACATCCTGTTTCGTGGTCATTACTTGGTCCAGTTCGTCCATTAGCACGACGCTAGGGCACAGGGTTGTAAATCCGCTATTCGAGATGCTCGTAAAATGAATTTACCAAGCATGACTGCCGGAGCCCCTCCCTCGACCCCCACCACCACTGAAATGCCGCGTCAACGACTTCAAGCTCTCTTTCGCACTCATCTTCAAATGGCCGTCTTGGGCCACATCGTGTCCTGACACAGTCTCCCACAAAAGTGTATACGCCGCAGATGGTTCTGGGATTCTGAGACCATTGATTTCACAGTAGGTAAATGGATTGACTTCCTGAGGGTTATATCTCGTATGAGCTCAAAAGCAAAGGGATCAACTAAAAAGTTCACATTATTCTCTGCGAGGCGCTTCAGCTCTCGAATGACTGCATGTACTGTCGCTGTCTTTCCTGTTCCAGGGACACCTGATATATCTTCAAAGGTGAAGGTGCGAGTAAGTTGTACGAGCCACAGAGTAACACGAGTAACAAAAGAATGACTAACATATACACCCTCCACTACCCTCTTCGAGGAGCTGGGATACAGATTTATGAACCAGTTGAAATTCTGATTCTCGACACGGCAATGCGTCTGGTCGGCTGCCAACGTGCAGAGCGTGCATTGCCCGAAGCCACGGATCTTCCGGAAGATGGTGGAAAAGACTCTTAGAAGCTGCATATGTATTTTGCGATTTAACAGGAAGAGCTCGTTTCTTGGAAGGTGATCCAGTAATGGACCGGTTGCGACGAGATAATGCCGCCTTGGAGTGTGGTGTGGGCTGAGCGAAGGTTCGACCTCGCTGTTTACGGGGAGTGGTTGTGGCTGCGCGTTTACGTTTCCTAGATGGAGTCTTCGGTACGTCGTCGTCGATGTCGTCCTCATCGGAAGTTGCAGGTTCAGATGCGTTGTCAGAAAGTTCCGCCTCATGCTCCTCGTCTTCGTCTGAAAGCTCCTCATCTTTGTATTCAGCCCCGCTAGAAAGGTCATCATCTAATTCGAGCACATCCTCCTTCACCATCCGTACAGTGCGTTTAGGCTTGGGCATAGGCTTCGTGGACTTGGAACGGTCCTCGCTGTTGGTTACAGCGCGTCTCTGTCGTGCGGGCTTCCTTTGGGTATGTTTCTTTGCCGTGGGTTTATGGGATTCTTCCTCCCCCTCCTCCTTCTCCTCAGATTCATCTTTGACTCGTTTACGCGGAGATGCAGATGTTCGGGATGATTTCTTCTCCTCCGCCTTCACCCTGCCCTGAGCGTCGTCTTGGAATTCATCCATAGCGGTAACATCCCAAGCATTGCCTGTACCCCATTCACTGTCGGTTAAGGTTGTCCGTGCTTCTAGTGCCTCTTTGCGATGTAGAGACCAGTCAAAGTTGTAGTAGATACCACGTCTAGAGTCGATAGCGAGCAAGCACTGGAACTTCTGATCAACATCTTCTATGGACTTGATGATCCAACGGCCTGTTTTCGAAGTCGAAGGTTTAGCGAGGGCCTCACCTTTCTCGACCGTACAATGGGATATGATGGTACTTGGGTATAAGATTGAGGTTTCCGATATATTATAGTATATTTCGTTCTAAGACGAAGAGATATCAGCCTCCGTACATGAATTAAACAAATATATACTCACATCGTGGTGATATCTCTTAGCACGAATAGACGGTAGATCACTTGGTCTATCAAACCAATGTACTCGGACGCGTATTTTCTCTGATTCTGCCCTTTCTAGATCAGTCTCCCACATATCGACAATGACAGCTATACTAGGCAAGCGATTGCTCGAATTGACGAGCACAGTGTCACCGATAGCATAGGTTGAGGTTGTGTATCCCTCGCCGGCTTTCCTTTTACCTGCACGGCCTTTACCGGATTTCTTCGTGGTGGCCCCAATTCTGAACTCCTCATAAAAGTGGGTTTCGAGCCCATCCTTCTCCTCCTCGTCCAATGTTTCGAATTCTAAGCGGTCGTCGTCGAGGAGGTCCCATTTCAGATCCAAAGCCCGAGTAAAGATGGGAATATGGGAGGTCCAGGTGTATTGAGAGGCATCTACCGCTTTGGTGGGAGAACTGACAATGTGGAAGTTCTGTGAACGCGTCGAACGGCGCGTAGGGGTCCTGGGAGTAGACATAAGGAAGCGACAAGGGATGTGTGTGACAACTTCGACGCGTTACACATCAGTGACCCTGCTGCACGTGCAGCAACACGCCACGATTCCTTTGTCTTCTTCGAGTTCTTAGCCTAAAGCTTCTTCCTCTTTCATCATGACCTCACGAACGCCAACACCTTATTCTTCGCCGTATAAATCAATGTCTTCGACAATATCAACCCCCCCATTTATCTCAGGTTCACGATATAGACTTCAGTCTCTTTATTCCGACTTTTCTGAACAGAAACGTTCAAATCCTGCTTCGTATCAAGCTAATGTCGATTGGTGGCGACGAACGTTGGAAACCTACGTCTCTGAGGGCTTTCATGGTTCAAACAGGCTGGTACTCAAAGCAGGGCAACAGCTTGTTGATAACTTTCGAGTAGAAGGTGTAGGGAAACCTATCTGCTTCCATGCTGTTCTCGTGAGTGTTCAATGTTTGTGTTGCAATTGCCAGAGTTTCCTCTGACCCTTGTTCTCGTGCTAGTAAAGACCGAACTTTCATCTCCACCTCCATCATCTGCCACTGCAGTTCTACCCACATTACTACCACTTACCACGTTCATCTCACTCGCAACATCTTTATATTCTTCCAAATCCAGATCATACCTCACTGTGATACCCAGTCTCTTTCTATCTTATGTCGTCGCAAAACCACTCTGGTGGGCATTAGAACAGGTTGGCGTTGTCGGAGAAGACAGTCTTGCGAGCAGTGTCTCGAGCACGTTTTCGTCATTCGGTTCTGCAACACACAAGACAAACACGCAGTGGTATGGTGATTACGTCTTGCTTCACCTCGTGGAGCGTGCAGGAAATGAAATTCTAGAGAGCCAAAGACTCAAGAACACAGGACCTTCCGATGCACTGTATACCTTCGATTCATTCAGAGCAGAGTTTGCGGAATGCGTGATTGGCTCTGATTCGAAAGACAAGATGACAATGAGCGACCTTGATATGAAAGTGATATTGCGATACTTGGAGCGGGACAAAGGTGTGGTCGTGGTTGAAAACGGAGTACGTATGTCATTTTTTCCTACTTGACAACCTTTAGTCATGGCCTTTTCAAGGTTGTCAAGTTCATTGAGGATGACGCTGAAGCAGAGATAAGTGGTGTCGATCGAGGTATACTTGAACTCAAGACTGCAGTGGCAAATCTGCACGCACAGATCGAAGGATTGCAAAAAAAGATTGATCTGTATGTGCTCTTTTCACGCTCAGAACATGGATATTCATGAATTTTCAGCTGTGCTCAGAAGGCTGGCGAAGCTTTGAAACTGAAACGCAAATCAATTGCGTTAAGTTACCTTCGCTCGAAAAAGCAGTTGGACGAGCTCCTTACAAAGCGGCTCAGTGCACTGAGTAATTTGGAAGGGACTTTAATTCAGGTAGAAGGTGCAGCAGGTGACATAGAGGTCAGTATGTTTCACTGACCCGATCTTTTTGTCCTGATCTCAACTTTGACAGATATTGAATTCGTACAGAGCTTCCACTGCAACATTACGGTCTATCCTATCACACCCATCTCTAAACCGTGACTCTATCGAGCAAACGATGGAGGCGATGGCCGAGGCTAACGCCGATGCCAAGGAAATAGATGAAGCTGTCAGAATTGGTGGTGATGTTGCAATTGGCGTCCCTGATTTCGACGATGCTGAGCTAGAAGAGGAACTTCACCGGTTGGCTATTGAATCTGTGGAAGAGAAGCAGGATGAGTCAAGGGAGACGAAGTTGGGATCTCTCCCGGCAGCTCCTTTGCATGATGTGTGGGAAACAAGTCGAACGAACCCCGAACGGGAAGCGGTTGCGTCTTAGGATCCCGAATATACGATTAGATATAGACTCAGAATATCATACAGTTAGGTTTATCTTCTTCCGAGACAATCCGAGAGAATGAGCGTCTTGAACGGTCTCGAAGAACATCCAAAATCAATGCTGTATTTGAAACTATGATTCACAGGCTTCGATTTTCGCTTCTCGACAAGTGCTATCGCGTGTTGAAAAGCCACTCTCTACTACTACGGGTGTGTGATATTTTCTTTTTACAGGCCGGTGTCCGAGAATTGATGCAGTTCTGTCGACCGACGAACACAGGAAGAGAAGAAAGATCCCAGCTTGTGTTTAAATAGTACATATGACCCTCTTCGGCAGCTTTGCTTCATGAATACAGAATACAGCCCTATAACAGCGGCATTCGCAAGCATAATTTAGGTTCAGATAAAAAGGGCACTCTATCTTCTCGAGGGTCCACATCAACCCTCAGCAGACAGTTTGTTCTCCTTCAGACTGTCCTCGAGCCTGATCTCATTATCTCGCAGTCAAGACGCTCTGATAATGTTGTGGATTCTCTTCGGAGCTCTGTTAGGGGGTGCAAATGGGCAGATAAATGCTCCAAATTGTAATTCGAGTTTGGATTATCAATGGGTGAGTTTATCCCTTGCCTTTATCTTTCAACTCTCATTGTAAAAGATGTTCTTAGTCATTCAACTCTCTCGACCAGAACCCATGCGTTGTAGCATCGTTCCTCGGTCAAGCATGCGATACTCGTGAGCCTGAGTCTACCCCCCTTGTAAATACTGCTTATCTTGTAAACTTTTATTATGATCAGAGTATTCCATTCCCTCCCTCAACACCACTGAACATTATGGTGGACCCAGTACTGGACAGGACAACCCGTGCCAGTGTAGCTCTGTCATGTATATCTTGCTAAGTGCATGTGGGGCATGTCAGGGAGGATCGTTCATTGCGTGTGTGGTCTTTATTCATTGCCTCGGTCACTTATCCCAAGCTCTAACCTATGGACATTTGACGTCGGATGAAAACGATGCTGATTCTCGCGCAGATGGTCCGCCTATAATCATAACTGCACCAATGTCTATCCTACGATGTGAGTTGCTCGTATTCTGCCCGTACCTGAACTTTGATTATCGTGTTCACTGGACAATCCACCTGTCTGCTCGCATCTTTCTGCGCTCCTTTTGGTCATATTACCCTCAAATATGGTTCAACTGAATCATTAATACTTCTGACTCTAGATTTCCTGAAAATATCCCGTCCGGAACGAGGGTCCCTCGTTGGGCGTATCAAAATGTTACGGTTTGTAGTCGTCATATACTGATTCCCCATAATTCAAGCGATTGTGAATAGGCCGAAGACAACTTCAATCCCACAGAAGCACAAGCAGTTGGAGGTGCGCATTACCTCAATCTAGGATGTGTTTTACTTCCGTGCTAATCACTGTCCGCTTCACAGACGCACCAGAATCGACCGGAAGTTCTCCATCTACAGGCACCCCAACTACAGGTACCAGCACCCCAACTCTGACCCCCACAGTGTCAAGCCAAGGCAAAAAAACCAACGCAGGCGCCATCGCGGGCGGAGTTGTTGGCGGAGTCATCGTCGTTCTCCTTGCTCTCGTAGCGTTGCTTTATCTAAGACGCATGCAACGACGCAGAAACAAAAAAGGTGCCACGCGTGCTGAGATCGACGTTGACGACAAACCACGGCCGTACCCCGTAGGGCCAGTGTCGATGTCGAGTTCTGCTGAGACTGGGACCGAATTTCATGCTTCCATTCCGACTATGTCTATGCCGTCTGCTGCGATGAGGCTTTATGTGAGTGATACTTACTCACCAATAAATTCTATTGATGGACGAACGTATTATCATCTTAGGATCCTTCGGATCCAAGCACCTTCCCTACGTCTATTCTCTCGACTTCGCCTTCTCCACACGCAAACCATTCCCCTCAAAGTTCGGAGACGGGTGTCACCGGGTATTTCTCTTCTGCTTATCATAGTATCATGCCGAACCGCCAACCAGGATTACCTGAGCTTTAAGGCTCGAAGTTCGGCGTACGGAATAGGGGCGTATTCGGATAGGGCCCAGACGATTTTGGCTGCGTAGACGATCACAACTGTATACTCAAGAGTAGTGCTACTCTGAGTTGTATTTTCATGCAATGGAAAGAAGCATATCGCATATCATGATCCTTCATAGAGAGTTTGGCATATGAGCACCCAAACAAGCACCCAAAAAGTTTCGTCGAAGAAAATCCTTAGCGCCGTGCTTGCACGGCAAATCCCCGACTTCATGATGAGCGGGTATGTCGAACTGTTGAGTATATGCGATTAGATATATAGGTTGAGGTTATTGTTGGACTTTTGTGTCATGGCGTAATGGGTGTATGGTGTACATCCCAAAGTCCACATGTACAAGAACTTGCAGCACTATCACTCGCAAATTCTAACAAAGCTTGAATGATATTTTCCACTAGTTTCCACTACCACAGCATGTTTCGAAATTCCTCAAAATTCACCTGCCGAATTCCTATGGATTGATGACAATGCATGTAGAGTAAGTTCACTCAAGTAAGAATGGATGACTTCCCGTAAGGATTTTGAGTCGAACATCAGATACTTTACGAGCTGTCTTGGAATTAATAAAAAGATTAATTATCGCCGTTTTCAAAATAGTTGGCGCCTGTTCAGAACCTAAGAATCGCGCTCTAGGCGCTGCGGATCCTCAAAAATTTGGACGAGGATTTGCTCAAATTTAGGTTTACTAATTCGGACATTGTTCTGGTGGAGCTTCCGGGGGCCCTATCCTGAATTAATTCTCCATCATAATGGAATTGAATGCGATATAGTACAGTAATGCGAGAAAAAAAAACATAACCAACAGAAACACCCAGGAAATAGCCTTGAACGCGCTACCTGAGACCTTGAGGGAGAGACAGAAAAAAAGAAAACAGAAAACAGAATACTACATACGATACGATACGATACCGGTGTCGAGTATTTCAAAGCTTTCTCCTTCGTTATCAACACTTCATCATCTGACATCTTGAGGATGGGGTGTGGTTGTCGTGGTATCAGGATAGGGATCAGGATTAGGATTAGGAACAGAGATGGAGCTCGAGGATGAATTTCGCGTGAGAGTTTACGCTTGAGTCTGCGTGGTTACGGTAGAATGTACTCTAATGTACTTGAGGATTGTTGACCCCGCACAGACAACTGATCAGTGTCTTATCTCATCTGTATCTATACCCCAGATCAATAAGGCCTCATACCACAGCATACCACCTGCTCCTGCGTTCCTTACTTTTCATTGCCGAGTCATAGTCTGTCATAGTACATATCCCGCACTGACAACTGATCAGTGTCTTATCTCATCTGTATTTACCCCAAATCAATAAGACCCTCATACCACCTGCTCCTGCGTTCCTTACTTTTCATTGCCGAGTCATTTTGCTGAGCCTTATCGCCTCTCATGAGTACATAAAGAGGACAGTGTCCTTTATTAGTATCATCAGGTATTTTCTAACATCACCTCAATACTCAACGGGACAAAAAAAATTTGCTGGTCAAAAATTTTTTTTTGCTCGTTTTCAACCCTGCAACTGGTGAGTGTCGACCGTTGGTTTTAATAAGGGAATGCTTGAATATTATATCGTACCTAGAGACTGTTCTCTTGATCACGTGCGAAAGTGGGCCATCGCGCTGCGCGCGTGGCAAGAACGAGTCCGAAAATCAGAGTTGCATATAAATAAGTGCAGATGCTGTGTAATCTCTGCAACAGAGTAAATCTATGTGAGTGATTGTGTTGGCCTCCAAAACCATATTCCCTCCATCTCGCATCCCATCGTGTACCTCATATTGAGGGTGACGGATGAGGAGGAAAGCGCTCGAGAGGGGCGGCAGTTCCCAGCCCAACATGGGCACCAGTGGATGCAGCAAGCCAGGTGGCAAAACAAACACCATGCAAACGCGAGGAAAGTAATGGCCAGGAGTGCAAAAGTTATTGAATTGCGCAGAGTAAATAGATGCAGTACGTAGCAGGGTAAACATGGGGTAGATACAGAGATAAGTAAAGCACCAGCATTTGGGAACAAAAAGTGGGCCGACCATGCGAGAACAGTACGAAGAATGCGGGTGATGGGATAGCGAAATACGCTGAAAATGGTGTTTATGGTGCTAGAAGATAGCGCAGAGGTTGTGTACCACAGGTGGCAAAGGAGAATGTGGACGAAGTTGGAGAAAATATTGGCGATGAGAGATAGGCTGGTGAGCGGTCGAGTACTTCGTTGTGGTGCCAAAGACCGAGCAATATACCTGTCGTTCCCATCTTCAGCTGCAGCCCCGGCGCGCGTGGACAAGAAGAGGAACGCACCTCTCTCCCCTTCGAACCCCGTCCCAAAATCAGACTGTTCTCTCCAACCCACCTCCCCCTTGGTCAGCTCCATTCCCATCCTCGAATACCCCAGAAGATGTGGCGAATTGGCCATCCTGATTTGGTCGTTGTTTTCAAGACTTTTGTTGATGAGCTGTGGCAGAGGCTTTTGCAGAAGAATGCCGGAGAAGTAGGACGAGAGGGGGATGTAGTGCAGCCAAGAATTCGCGGCAAGATGTAGGGCGCAGACAATGTTGGAGGTGGGGGCGCCGTAGGTAACGCAGAGTGACGAAAAGGTGACGAGTGGCGCGAAGCGTGACAGTCCAAGTATGGGGAAAAAAAAATCGCTGAAAGAGGAAGGTCAAAAATATATAAGGAAGGTCAAAAATATAAAAGGAAGAATTCCCACGCTGGAACCCACTATAAGACGAATCCTTCATTACATTTCGGACTCGTAACTGTTGACGGCGATCCTGATCAGCACTTTCACTCCAACTTCAATTTGCATCGAATCTCGTCCATTTCTGTCTGCCTTGCCCCAAGCCAAACCTGTCTCTTCCTAACCTGCAACAGCTTTGCTTCACGTTTCGTCGTCCTAACAGATTCTAGATGATGCGTTCCATCATATCGTTCTCAGGCTATAACCTCACGTTCACTGTGACGGTCCTCCTCATTATTATTTGCCATCTTGAAGCTATTGCTTCGCCTTTGGTCGTCCGCGAAGCTTCTTCTGCGGAAGTGTCCTTACAACTAATGGCTCGGGCAGACAGCTATAGTCCTTCTCAAGCGAGCACCGAACACAACCATACCGTCGGTGGTGAGCGTTTTTTTGTTCAAAAATATCTCAATAGCTCATACAGATAATTCTTCCGATATTCCCAATTCACAGCTCTGGAGCGGTTTTATGCTGGAATTATCTTACTCCCGCGGCGTGGAAGGAGAAAGACCACGTACTACAAATACGGTGTGGTCCTGGGGGAACATGCTTACCTGAAGGAGCTTGGCAACGTGGAATACAAGCAACTGAAGACCGCAGAGCGTGGAAATGTGATTTCCGCAGGCGTGCACGAACCCATGACTCTGCGCATGGTGGACAGTGTGACGGCGGACCTGTTTTGTGCGTCTTCCGAGCACAGTTGCAGGTGGGTGGTGGAAACACTGGATCTGATAAAGAAGCATTCGGACTCGCTTGAAGGTATTGATGAAAAGTGGAGGGGATTGTCGGACGAGGAGAAGACATATATTAGACAGCAGATAACTGGCCAGGAACATCTTCTGAACATTCCGATGACATGTTAGGAAGGATTGAAGCTCCAGGGTATTGAAAATAATTTTCAACGGCGGCTGGGGGTCTTTCTTTGGGCAATAAGGTTGAATTGGAACAGTCAGAAGTGAGGGTAGATAGTTTGAAACCTTGTACTATGGTAAACTTTGCCTCATGGAATGTTCCTGGTATGGTGACCCTGTTAATGTATAGTCTCAGTTTGTCATGAAGACTCATTCTTGGAACTAGGGTGATGCATTAGAATCAACGGGGACTGTACATCGTGTATGTACAGATATGGGAGTGTATATATATGTTTTTCTTGAGGGCTTATGCACATTGGGAGAAGGCCGAAGGCCTTCGGGTCCCAGCGGCAATGAGATTCTGAGGAAGAGGTATGCACGGTCAGCTGTGATTCCCGGAGCGTAGGAGTGCACGACGCATCCAGCGACCGTGGATACCCGCATTGGAGGAGGGCACTCACATCTTACTGGGGGCATTGTGTAGCGTATCAGTTCTTGGTGTAACTCCGGCTGCATATATGGTGCCATGATTTCGGCATGTTTCCGTAGGTATAGTAGGAAGGCGTCACTTTTCCACCTGCCTATTACGCGGACGGCATCGAAAGGGACCCCTCGGAGGAGGTATTCGAGGGTGGCGCCGATGCGGATGCCATGGCCTTGGAGGACGGGTAGGCCCCGGTTCTTGGCTGCCTTGCTGATGTGTTGGATGAATGCATGCTTCGTGAGGGGTCTTCGGACAGCTTTGTGTTGGTATGAGAATAAGTGTTCCGAAGAGTTGGGTTTGTTGACTGCGAGGTGATTTTGGAGTAGTGATTCTGGGTCTGTAGAGCCTAATTGTTTCGAGAAGTAGAGATCTTCTCCTTCTAGTTGATTGCTTTTGGTGCGTGGAACGTGTAGGACGGTGGTTTCGAACCCGTTCCGATCGGTGGCTTTCCGAACGTGAGCTGTGGTGACGTATTTTTCGGGAGTGAAGTCTTTCAGGTTGACTACGGTTAGTTCGCCTACCCTTGCTGCGCAATAAAAGCTTGTCGTAAGGCAGGCACTGCATGCTGCATCGAAGGGGTTGGAAGTGTCGAAGTCTTCCAGTAATCTGGCGATGTAGTCCTGAGTGAACGGCATCCTCTTTTTTCGGCGCGATCGTTCTGGCTGGAGACGTTCTGCTCCGTGTATCATGGTGTCGAGGGAATCCTTGTTCGTCTTCCATTCGATGCCATGGATGATGTGCCATGCCCGGACGCCATGAACATAGTTTTTGACTGAAGTGCCTGCGTAGTGACCTGCCATGGTGGATATCCAGGCGTTGAGTAAATCACTGCTGCACGGGGCGCGTTGAGCTTCCGGGATGTTACGTGAATCGCAGAATACATGGAACGATAGCCGTCCGGAGGCATAAGTTTTGAGGGTGCTTTCTGCATACCCATTCGTGAGTACGCGTTGAATACGGTTCACAAATTCATCTGGAAGATCTAATGGAGATCCTGTTGAGTCTTGAAAGTTACGCTGAGTGGCGGGTTTCCAGAGGATTAGACGTTCGCGAGCGGCACAGTGCGGGCATAGGGCAGAAAATATAGGTGTTAAATTCACTGGATATGGACGAATAGTATGTGTAGCTACGGTATTCACAGGAAGGGTAGTAGCAGTAGGATAGTTCGAAGTGGCCGGCCGGCTACCAAGTGTCCTCAAAGGCAGTGAGTAAACGTCCTTCTTCTTCAGAGTGCCACTGGTCGTATGATGGCCGTAAAGAGGGTCGCTCCGGTTTAGGTTCATAAGCAATGCGTTCAGGAGAGCTGTGCTCGCGGCGTTCGGCTGTGGTGTAAGGTGTGTCGTAGTCGATAATGAGGCCTGTTAGGTGGTGAGGGATGTCAATCTTTGGGAGGAGGTATTCTGCTCTGCCACGGGTGCCTCGCGAGAACGGATCGGCTGGGTTGTGAGCACTGGCAACGTATCGGGTGTGGACTCTGAAATTGCAACGTGAAGTGATTTCGTGAACGTATCGGAATATATAGTTCGTGGCTCTGTTTCTGCTTCTTCCGTTCCACCACCCCTCGACCACTCCTTCATTGTCACCCCATATTTTGTATTGTCTCCCTGCGGTTGCTTCCCTGGCGATGATGATGACAAGGAGATAGAAGCTGTCATAAAGTACGCAGCCCCTATCATTTTCCTTTTCTCACCGTCTCGACGCCTTTACTTGTACGATACATCATCCCATCACTATCAAACCCCCATCGATTACTGATCCACCTGACCCATCTTCTCCTTCTACTGGCTTCCGCCACCTTCCTTGTTCCTAAACTGTACAGTATTACATCGTTGTTTCTCGCAGACCGGATTATGTATATATAGCCAACCCTCCACAGCCTGGTCCCTTATCTTGACCTCTCTGTCATTATCTGGGACCAGGTATGTGCTTACTTATTATTACCTATGACTACGATACTCAATATATCTCTGTCATTATCTGGGACCAGCCTGCCGCCGTTCTGCTTAGTCGCTCCGCCTTGTTGCCTTGTCCAGTTGCTCCGCCTCACCGTTCTGCTTAGTCGCTCCGCTTTCCCGCTCCGTTAGTCACTCCGCCTCTGCCGCTTCGTGACATTAGGTCAAGATCCATTACTGCACTGACAGCCTACCGATAAGGTTGTCCTTGCAGGGTCTATAGACACCACGTCTTCCCCAGTTCCGCCCGACTCTGAAACACCTGTTGCCAGTATAGACTGCTCCGCACTCCCGCACGCACTTGACCCCAGAGACCAAGCTCACGCCCATAACAACGACGATACTTGGCGCGATTGCCAGTCTCAACCTTGCCCCAACGCCCTTTCGAACTCAATCCGAGAGCCACTCACTGTGAGCAATATAACCTTCCTGCCGATTCCCCAGCCTCGATTGCCTACTCCCATCATGTCGACTCCTATCCCGCCTGCCCCAAACACCTCTGCGGAGGATCTCATGGCTCAGCTCATCAGACAAGTAGCTAACCTTGCTACAGCTATGGAGGAACGCTCATCCTCTAAGTCAAGCATGAACAAACCCGAGGTTTTCAAGGGTAAAGATGGCGCTGAAGCCCGTCGCTTCATGGCTCAGTTCCAGAATTGGGCGTCAGAACAACCGGATCTCGCCAAAAGCCAAGTAAAACTCATCAAGTCCGCCTTGGGATTCTTCACAGAAAGTGCCGGAGATTGGGCAACTCCCCATCTGCTACATTTCAATGCGGAAAATCCCCCTTTCGGAGGAAATTGGGAGGCGTTTCTGAAGGAATTTAGCCAACGGTTTGAACCAATGGACCCAGGTATGGAAGCCCGTAGCGAGATCAAGAATCTCAGGCAAAGTAAAGGACAGACAGTTGCGGAATTCGCTCAGAAGTTCAAGGATATCGGAGATCGGACTGAAATGTCTGATATTGACTTGCGGGAACGTTTCTTCACTGCATTACTCCCAGAGATCCGACAACACCTCATCACCGTAAACATTGCCCAAGGAATTGCTCCGACTCTGAAGGAGGCAATCAAACGGGCCATATCGGTGGATGTCTACCTGCACGATCCCACCATGACTGGCCGGAACTCTGGATACCCTCCCACGCATACCGCTCATACTACCCCTGCTGACCCCCACGCTATGGACATTGATGCAACCCACACCAGTAATGGGAATACTAGGGAAGCATTCCTAGCTCGCATGTGAGGACGATGCTTTGGCTGTGGTGCCCAAGGTCATGTCAAGCAAAACTGCCCACACCAAGAAACCACCTGCCGTTACTGTGGATGCCGAGGACATCTGGAAGCAGTCTGCCAAGACAAGTTCATGGGACTCAGACGAGACCGAGGCCGACGCCAGCAGATATCCAGTACGGGACCCATGCCATTCTCCCTGTTCCCAAATGAATCCGTCCAGATTGCTTCCTCGACCCCAACATCTGCTCCTGCAACCATACCTGCTACTCCGAGCCCCCCTAACCAGGACTTTTCCAATCAGATTGGTCAAATAAGGGAATTACTTGATCGTGCTAACGCTATGTCCTCCTCGTCCTCTGGCTTTCAACAGGGTTTTTAAAGAGGGTACCCGCTTCGGCTGCACCGAGAGTACCCCGTAATCAGTTTGTTATGTTCGCTACTTCCTCGTATGACTCGCACCCATCATGTACAATATTGTCGATCCGGGAATTAAACTCTACTTCCCCACATTTCCGAATTCATGCGAGACTAAGAGGAAGGAATCACAGTATAACAACTGCAGCCATGGTAGACTGTGGAGCTACCGCCCTGTTTTTAAACCAAGACTTTGTCACCCGGAACCATGTAAGATGTGCACCCCTCCATAAACCAATCGACGTTTTTAATATCGATGGAACACCTAACCGAGCTGGGCGGATAACCCATTTTGCACGTCTAGCACTCACAGTGGATAATCAAGAGCGATGGATGGACTTTCTGATCACCAACCTAGGAGGTGAAGACATCATCCTTGGACTCCCCTGGCTACGGAAGGTAAATCCGGAGATTGATTGGGAGAAAGGACGACTTTCAGTAAAGCCTCCTCGAGTAACGATAGAAGAAGTCCCAGACGAGGAGATCTTGTACTCTCATCTAGCCGCCACTCACACAGAAACCCCGATCCTCGAACTCCCGGAACTGGAACCTCCCGCAGAAAACCCCCACATTGAGGAGCCACTAGAAGCGACCCTTGAACCGAGTGAATCAGCAGCGGTGGAAGAACCACCAATACACCGAATTCGAGCCAATCATAAAACTCGCCGGGCATGGGTAAAAGCAGGAATTCTAGAGGAACAGACGGAGGAAGTCTGGTGCGCCGCAGGATTCACTTACTCCCAGCAGCTAGCAGAGGAAGCCAACCGAGACAAACCCGTTAAAACCTTCGAAGAAATGGTCCCTGAGCAGTATCGTGATTTCAAGAAGGTTTTCTCAGAATCCGCCTCCGAACGATTACCTGCCCACCAACCTTGGGACCATGCGATTGATCTCGTACCTGGAGCACCGGCAACCATGCGTACCAAGATTTATCCCATGTCCCTAAACGAGCAGGAGGAGTTGGATCGTTTCCTAGAAGAAAACCTACGGAAAGGCTATATCGTCCCCTCAAAATCACCAATCTCATCACTGGTCTTCTTCGTAAAGAAGAAGGATGGGAAACTCCGTTTCGTACAAGACTACCGGAAACTGAACGAGTACACTGTGAAGAACCGATACCCTCTCCCATTAGTTGCTGACATCATTAGCCGACTTCAGGGAGCCAGATACTTCACGAAGTTTGATGTCCGCTGGGGTTACAATAACATACGGATTAAGAAGGGGCATGAATGGAAAGGCGCATTCGCAACAACCCGAGGCTTGTTCGAGCCTAAGGTCATGTTCTTTGGTCTCACAAATTCCCCTGCCACGTTCCAAGCACTTATGAATGCTATATTTGCTGATCTCATTGCAGCTGGCAAGGTGGCAGTCTACCTAGATGACATCCTTATCTTCAGTAACGATCTCGAGGAACACCGACGAATGGTACGGGAAGTATTAACCCGGTTAGAAAAGCACGACCTCTACCTACGACCCGAAAAATGCGAATTTGAACAACAACAGATTGAATACCTCGGACTCATCATCTCAGAAGGGGAGGTGAGAATGGATCCGGTAAAAGTAGCGGCTGTTCGTGACTGGCCAGTCCCTACTAACCTTCGGGAACTACGAGGGTTCTTGGGATTTGCAAACTTCTACCGACGCTTTATCCGGAATTTTGCCAAAATAGCACGACCTCTGAACGACCTGACGAAGAAAGACACCAGCTTTACCTGGACCGACGCTCGACAGAAAGCATTTGATACCCTTCGAGAAGCCTTCATCTCCGCACCGATCCTTGCTCTATGGACACCAGACAGGCCTACTCGAATCGAGGTAGACGCATCAGGCTTTGCCACGGGAGGCGCCCTTATGCAGAAGCAGGACGATGGCCAATGGCATCCGGTAGCCTTCAGATCGGCATCCATGCAGCCAGCGGAACGGAACTACGAAATCTACGATCGAGAAATGCTTGCTATCATTGAAGCACTGAAGGATTGGAGGAACTTTCTAGAAGGACTCCCTCAACCATTCGACATCATTACGGACCATTCAAACCTCGAATTCTGGCGCACTGCACAAGACCTCACCCGCCGACAAGCCCGATGGGCCCTCTATCTGTCACGGTTTGACTTTCATATGATCCACCGCCCTGGCAGAGTAAACACCCAAGCTGATGCTCTCTCCCGCATGGCAGTTCATCATGTATCAGACAGCGATGATAACCGACAACAGACAGTCCTTAAACCTGGCCACTTCGTACAAATTGCAGCTTCGATCCTACAGAACCCCTTAGAGGATCGTATCCGGAAAGCCTCAGAACGGGAGGCACAGGTATTGGAGGGTCTCAAAACAGTCAAAGAGCACGGACTACAGCGCTTGGCCAATGGGATAGCCGAATGGGAAGAAGACAATGGGTTGGTCTACTACCGAGGTCGAGTATACGTACCAGCAAACGACGACCTACGCACTGAGGTACTCCGTCAATGCCACGACCATCCAACTGCAGGACACCCCGGACTACACGGGACACTCGACTTGGTCAGTACCCATTTCTGGTGGCCTACGTTGCGCTCTTTTGTGGAAAAATATGTTGAGGGATGCGAGGTTTGTGCCCGTAAGAAGATCCAGCGACACCCACGGGCCGTAACTCAACCATTAGATGTACCATCCGGTCTATGGGAAGAGGTAGGGGTTGACCTGATAACACAGCTGCCTAACTCCCAAGGCTACGATGCTGTCTTGGTTTGCACAGACCTGTATGGAAAACAAATTCACGCTATTCCTTGCACCAGCTCCATCACAGCCGAAGGCGTTGCCAATATTTACTACCGAGAAATCTTCCGTCTCCATGGTCTTCCTCTTCACTTTAAATCCGACCGCGGACCCCAGTTTGCAGCTAAACTCATGCGATCCCTTCTTGCTAGGCTAGGAATTAAATCAGATCTAACCTCCGGATACCGTCCTCAGTCTAATGGCCAAACCGAACGAGCAAATCAGGAAGTAGAGAAATACATCCGCCTCTATGTAGGACGACGACAAGACGACTGGGCAGAGCACCTTCCCATGGCG